ACGCTGATGAGAAGAAGCCAGTTCGCAAATCAGGAGAATTATGCGCCCCATTCGCAGACGTGCAAAACCGAATGAATGGCTAGATACCGCTTTCAGCTCCGAGCGGCGCGAAAAATGATGCTATCGTGAGGATGAGCGTGTCCATTTTGTCCGAAAACCGCAAATTAAATTCCCCATACCTTTTTAAGGGCGGGCGATAAGCTTTTTGTTAGTGGTGTGCTAGGCCTTAACATCGATGCATGTTGCTGCGCTGCATTCACATACATCTAGGATATTGGTTGTGGGAATGTTGGATCAGACATGTGAAAAAGTCGATGGATTCTATTTTATTATTCTTGTGCAAATTTTCAGTCCACTATCCGTTTTGGGTAGGAGGTAAGGAAACTGATTATTATACCCCATTTTGCCAATGATACTCTTTTATATTGAATTTATTGGGGACCCCAGACCTAAGAGGCACTACTGCTTTTTTTCATAGAGTAACTAATGCAAATCTCCATGGCATGCCAACTCTAACTGTCAGCTTGGAGATACCAAAGTATCGGGTAAAGCTAGGGGATTCGGAAAAGTTTTCTTCCTCCTCCAGATCAAAAAGAGTGACGAATCCTCGATATCACAGCCAGATGTACCATTTCTTGCAATCGGCATTGTTACATGTCATCTTTCATATCTCGAAAACTCTATTTTATGTTTGTAGGTTTCAGTATCCCAGTTAGTCAATATTACATCACTTTCCCCGGAATCTTGCATATACGCTCGCTCTCTTTTTAACTTTTGTTCTTATCAACGCCAATTTAATGTCAAGAAACGTGCTCTAGACATTGGAGGTGGCAAGATCTGGGCACTTCTTTTACGTTCTCGAAGTTCTATTTTATGTTCCATTCATTAAGCTATCACGACGCGGCATTTCCAACTCCATGAATATGGGCTTGAGACTTTGGCTAGCTCGTGTCCCGCAGAGCTAAATGCTAGTCTAGGTCTATCTCCTAAGAAATTTTGAACAATGAATGTGGCTACAAGCCTGGTATCTAGATATGGCTTTTCAAATACGATGGCACTTACCGTTTCCCAAGTCCATCTACGGAGTATTATAGTAATGCAAATACTTTTCCCTTATCTCTTCCCTCTACGCTCCTACCCCTCCATCACCAATTCTGTCCATGTCAAATTAGCCATTGCAATCTCCTTCCTCTCGTATGATCGATCCATCCCCAAATAGTCACAGTCCCAGATATAATACGGCTTACCAACAGACAGAATTCATAAATCTCGAACCCAGCACAAAACACCAACACACATCAAGTGGGAACCAACTATAATCCAATTTCATGCTAATACGGAGTACCCCTCCAAGGTTTTCGAGAATTCCAACAATTGTTACCTACGGGCTAGTGTTGCCAAACCCCCACAATCTGACCGAATCCCGCTTGACCTATCCGTTACCATTATCAACTCTCCACCTTTTAGGGTAAAAAGGTCCTTTTAGGACTTAAGTAAGGCTTGCGAAGCCCCAAGTCCTACACAATCTTGTATTTAGCGGAGGAGGACATCCACTTAGGAAGGGGCGTGGTGATAATTTCAAGATTCTATAACCAAACTCTCCAGGGGACGGACGGGCTTTGAGAGAGAAAAAAAAAACAGAGGCCGGTTAGGTCAACAGAAAGCGCGGAGGAAGCTGAAAAATCAAGCTGCTAGACGAGGGGGAAATACGCCACATAGACCTTTATCATTCATCACGTCAAATCACGCATTTTCCACTCTCTCACCCGGACATACTATTTCCATTTCCATCCCGTAACAACAATACACCGTAACCGCTCATCCGTCTTATTCGTCCAGCCTTCGAAATGACCTTCCTTTTCCACCTTTTCGAATATCCAATACGTATTACTATATAATTTTATCTCGAAAGAAAAAAAAAAGTAAATTAAAACATTATAAAACCTCGTAAAACAACACTAATGTCAGGGCCACCGAAACACACCCCGCTGTTCCAACTCACTCGGCACCTGATTTATGCTTGAAATGCTTGGAATTATGCTGAGAGTGGCAGTGATTTGGGTGGTCGGATGTTCCTGTTCGATATCTGGTCGGCTGTTGGAACGAACCGCGAAACCTAGGTATCTACGTATGGGTGGATGGGGATTTAGGTTATGCCATGAAATACCCGAGACTCTACCGGTAACGCCTGGGGAATCGTGGAGGAGAGGAGCCTTTGGATTTGCGCGGTCACTCGGTCTTGAGTGGTTTTGAGAGGGATTGTGGAGAGGAGAGGATGAGTGGTACGAAGCGAGGAGAGGAGGAGGTGGAGAGGATGGAATGTAGATGTTGGTTGGTAACCCAAACGAAAATGCGAGTGCGAGGACGAGTGAATTGGGGATGAGCTTTCACGATCCCGAAGTCTTCCCGCCAGTTTCGTGCGGTGGGAGAAATAACTTTGACATGTTGATGGTCATGTGCTCGGATCTTCTCTTCCCGTGAATAAGATCGTCTATCACGAGAGTAGAAAGGATTATCTTTCAGCAGGTTTACGTGCTGCATCCAACAAACTATTGGCATTTTTTCAGCCCTTCCAGCTTTCTTTCCTTTTTCCCAGTTGGCAAAGAGTGAAGGCGTCGCGTGAGTGATCCAAACGAAGTCGGAAAATCACTATAAATCGCGTCCTGGAATATTCGAGGCAAGAGCGCTTCGAGTGCCCGTATGGTTGGCTGTCGTGAATTTCGTCAGTCCAAGAATTATTCATAACGTTATGATAACATGTAGTTGTGAAGGATTTTTTTTCTCAGCTTGAGTGTGTTGTTCATTTGGTCATGCGACCATGGTATCATGATAATCCAGTGAATGATGTCGATTCGCAAGTGGATTGCGTGGTAGAGTTGTCGGATTTCGAAATATTGCATGCTTGTTATGGGGTACCCCGGAAACTTTTACCGTATTGCGGGGCATGATCATCAGCTAGACAGGGCTTCATATTCCTCACGGTGAGTCAGTGATGTGCGGTTGCCTTTTGCAAGGAAAATCTCTTCGTGCGTTGGGTCGATGATCATCCGGGTTGCAGAATATCACTGGTAGTGTTATCAAGCTGTGCCGAGAAAGGCAATGAGTTGTGAATGAAGTATCTTGGCACTTAAATGGTACCAATGATCATTGGGGGGATAGAGGAGTATGTTGGCGACAATCTTTAAGTTGTCATTTGTGTTTGTCGTTGCTAGTATTGATTTGCTACGCGTATAAAATTGGCTGCACTAGCACGATGTTTGTTGTTGAGGTGACAAGATTGCCTATCTTGGAAGGAGGCAAGAATTCGAGTTGGCTATCGCCTAATTTGTGTTGTGCAAATGGGGTGACGAATATAAGAGAACTTTATGTTTGGATGTGCGTTTTCTCATTTTCAGGATCTATTTGTTGTATGAGTGGCTACATCTCAACCATAAATCAAGGCTACAAATTGATATTCACATGGATTGACGCACTCACACGAAATCGTTGAGTTCACAGATATTACAGGTTCACCAATCTAAATATCTAGAAGCAAGACTACAATACAAAAACACCTTGGAAGTTGTATCCGATTGCAACATACGATTTCTAGAATAGTGGTCCAAAGTATAGAGTTTAGAATGACATCATTTTCTCAAGGAGAAAGTAGCATAGATGTTTCTTCGGCTAAATGTTGATCTGAATGACGAAGGAGGTGGGTAAATCGCTATATCAACAATTTCACCTCAAGTTGAGGAATTTTAGTCAACGATACTGTGGTGCTTCTCTGTCTTCTGAAATCCATGTATGAGAGCTTTGTCGACGTCATTGTATTCCTGGTTGAGAACATTTCTTCGACAAGACTTCCCGTGGGGAATAGATTAATCTTCCTCTGCATTTTGTATCCGCGTTTGATACTTTATGATCCGGGGGTTAAAATTGAATGTAAGCTTCATTGTAGATGTCAATATTAACATCGCTTTCAGTGAGAATAGCTTCATTCAATGTTCACGCGATGGGGTGAGTTTTAATGACAGTACACTGTAGGTGAAGGAATAAGATTATTGCCGTGATTAAATTAATTCTTGTGACTTCTTTAGACTACGATACAATGTGAGTATAATCTCTGCAACAATCATTTCATAGTGATTGCTTCAGGCAAGAATCTGTTCTGCATGTTTACCATGCTCCCTCGAGTTCTTGATGCAAGATACTTGCCTTTCTTCAACTCTTTAAACTTCCCGAGAGCTCAGTCAGCATCTATATTGCGGATCTAGAATCCCATAATACTTCCAAGCACATCACCGTCAATATAATTTTCTTGCGGATCGAGTTGAATGGATTTTTAAGATATCTGCTTTCCTTTATCCATTACGCGCTGGGAAACTCGTGTATGCGCAACTGATTCATCATCATCGGGCTTCATCTTTGTCTTTTCAGAAAGCAACTCCACCTGCGCCTTATTCCTACGTTCCTGGGTTGTTCTCGTATAAACTCATTAATGCTTGCTTCGTACTTTTGGGGGATTTCTCTGATTTGGCGCTGTGTTTTCATGTCTTATTATGAGTGCTCATCTCCAGCGACTGAAAACTCAATAACTTCCCCGGAAGAGCTCTAATGTTTTGCTTTGAGGTCTCAATAGCGTATTCCAAACCAGCCCAGAGTTGGATCGTCCTGCGCCTCAGGAGTTTGAAGGAATCATCAATGTAGGCGCCCAAACCGGAGCATGGGGGACCTATAATCTATCAAGGAAAGACAAATCTCACTACATCAATATGTATTTCTCCCCTGGACCCTGGAATTCCAACTGCCCTCCAATTTGCTTTCTTTAACCTCATGGCCGATTTCTCAAATTTCTTTGCCGCCGTCGATATGCTGTCCAAGACGGATAATTCTTCCGCATCAACCTGTTGATCTGGGAGAAATTTCTAGCCATCTTCTGGTTCCATTTTTAACGCAAGTAATTGAAACCATCCGTCCACCAAAATGATTGTTGGCAAGAATAAAGTCCGTTAACTTTACTACCCAAATTCCGGAGCCACAAGTATCAAACAACAAACCAGTTGATCGGCTGCATCTGTAGCCCCAGAATTGGTTCTGCTGACTCGGTCTCTGAAGCAAGCAGCATAAGTCCGGCGTTCATCGGATTTAAACTTACATATAATCTTACAAAGCCTAATGGCAGCATTCGGTGCCCGCAGTTTGGTCGCAGGTTTTGGGGGTAGAGCAACCAATGTATTCTCAATTGTCTGAACATGGATAGGAGCTGCAAATGCGGTGATTATATATGAAAGAACCTGAAGGATGACAAGAAGTCTCATTTTGATATTGTGTCCGGCTGCCTGAATTAGTCTAAGATCGTAGTCTTCTTTTACCATTGGAACTATTTACCTAGAAGCTCGCCTTTAGTTCTTCTTGGATCAAGCAAATAAGCTGGAAAGTTATGTAATGTTCTATTTTCATCACTAGTCCTGAGGAACCCTTGGAGGTCTTCGACTTGAGTGTTCACCCATTCATCACCATGCTTATGATTCTCAATGAAATCAAAATATTAAGGCATCTGAGTTTTTCTATGGACGCCAAACAGCTGATATTACATTGCTATGATACCCAAAAAACAATGTAAGAACCGTAGTGATAACAAACGCTAGACTCAAATTAACGAGATTTATAATCTAGTTTTTCTTTCCGCTGCGCTTACTCCCGTATTGAACCAGGATCCCTCTTAAGCTATATCTCCTTCTGCAAGGTAGTCTTCGTCATAGATACTGTTGATTTCAGGTGCTTTGCTATCTGGAAAGATCCATTTGTGCGAAACCTCATCGTTTCTTCTAGATTGGCATAGTGCATGTCTTCAAGCGGCACGGCTTCAAACTGCACATATCTAACCACTGATACTTCGGTCTACAATTCTCCAGCTTGTGAGTCTCCAGCTTGTAAGTCTCCAGCTTGTAAGTCTCCAGCTTGTAAGTCTCCAGCTTGTAAGCTTTCAGCTTGCGATTCTCTAGCCTGCGATTCTCCAGCCTGTGATTCTCCAGCCTGTATATCTGCAGACAGTCTGCGTTCGGGCTCATTCGCGGGGTCAGAGGAGGTTGTGTGTGCTTGATTGTGGTTGTCTGAAAGAGAGTCACTAGGATTTTGCCCCTCAGAATCAATGGTGTTAAGTAGCCATGCAAAGCAAGATGCGCTGTTCGAATATCGTGGGTATTGGAGGGATTTCAAGATATCGCTTAATTTTTTACTGAGAGCATGTCAATTGAAGATGCAAGTTGAATGAGTTTTAACAAGAATTAATTAGACTTATTGTTCAAAGCTTTGTGGAATGATCAAGGGAGCTTACAGTGATTGCCTAGTCTTCTGATCATATAGGGCAACATTCCATACTTGATGGTCGGGGTTGTTCTTAAACCACATAATGAGTCCCGAGAGGTGGTAAGCCAAGAACCCTTGAACTTCTGGATAGTTGATAGCCTCCTCTGATATCCCCTCAAACTTAGAGACAAATGCATCAACAATAGCGTGTGTATTTTTCCCGTCTGATTGCTTGTTGTGTAATTCCATACCCAGAGCTCCCAGTTGATATATAACCTCCGTACTGTTGAGATTGTGAAGCGTTCTCTGGGGAACTTTATGAATAGTAATGTTGTAATCATCTGTGATGAAGCATCTTTCTCCTAGACTGGTGCATCTCTCACAGTCATCGATGTAGTTGTCTAGATTACACTGAATGTTTAATCTTCGACAAGTATCGCAGGCTGTGGGCTTCGCTTTGGGAGACACGATGGACATAATGGCTTGGAATCTTCTATTTCGAGAATTTGCAATTCTAATGATGGTTTAGTGATATTTGACAATGATATTGTAATGATATTTGACGTAGAGTAAGTGAGAAACAAAAAGAAGATGTGAGTCTTGTGATGATTCTCACAATGAGGAAACTATGACTACCAAAACCACTATTGGGGAAGCAACTTTCAAACCGAGAGGGAAGTTACAACCAAGCAATGATTCAAGACTTCTTTCTCTGTTCTCAAATAAGAACTTGGTATTTTTTCATCGATACAGACACAAATACTCAAATGTCTTCGCCAATCACCGACTGGTATAGAATTGAAGTTGTTTGTCCAAGTTTTCGCTGGTCTCCCTCCGATGGAGACTAGTTCTTGAATGATAACCTACGACGTCGAGTTCTGCATTGTCAAAAAACCACGATATACGAGCGAGTTAATCGCGGGCTAATTGAATAGAGAAATACTTGAGACTGTGCACGAGTCACAAATTTCAGACGGAACTACGTTGTAGCCAACACGTGTATGTATTTTTCACTTCTCCGCCATACACATCACCGTCCTCATCAAAAGCTTTTTCGCAAATATATAATATACTATCTATTATTCCCCATCTAAACACCCTCGAGTCACCGCATCTCGCGAGCTATAATTCAATTCGACAACAATGTAACATTCTCAGCATCCCATATCTATATTTCGCCCACTAGGGTTGCGAATTGACCGTTTCTCAGATTGCTTGTCAATTTCTGTTTATCAGTTCAATTAGTCAATTCAAATGAATATCATGATTGATAAAGAGCCAGTTATAGTCGACTGAATAACCAAATATTGAGGGGGGTTTCGAATAAATGAATAAATGTAATTTTATTCCTCTTCCACCAAACTTCAAAACATAATAAACGAATCCCAAAAGCACACAGTAACTCTATTCGCGAAGGAAATCCATCAACTATACCTACCAAGGTAGTAACATATAGTAAGAAATAATTTCCACTAGGTTATCTCTCCATAACATATCACTCTCAATCTCTCTCATCCACACTGCCCAACTCCCACATCCGCAAGATCCTAACATCGCTATGGGACTAGATAATCTCATCTCTTACTTGAACACAAACGAAATCCATCCATATCCAATAACCATCCTAAGATCTCCGACTAAGTGGAGGAGAGAAGAGGAGTAAAAGAAAAGATATCTCTTTGAAACTTCTCGATGAGATATTCGTCATTCAGATACATGTATATGTACCTAGTGGATATGTAGAGGGGTCATAGTATACGATTCATCCAGCATCTGATTAGATTATAGAGGTCATATATATGTTGACTAAGGTTGTGAAAGGGGAAGAAAGCTGGGTGAAGATGTGGAAATGTATTGCTACTATACATTTATCCATTGCGAGTATGAAGTGTATTTCTCCCCGCCTCCCTCTAATCTTAAATACGCTACATAGTCTATCGATAATATCAAGATTCATCTCATTCTCCATCCCAGAACTTCATTTCAGGTATCCAGTATAATGTGATATGAATCGTTATCCCACACAGCATTCAGGATAAAATATACATCCTCTTCACCAAGAACTAAACCAGCAAAACTATATTCAAAGATTTCGTAGTATTTGGAATCTGGCCTACCTACGAGATACATCAACTCTTACTTCCTATCTCAAAATCCCAATATGCACCACAAACCCCGAGTCTTCTCCTAACCCACACGCCTGAATATCTCCCTCCTGTACACGCCATACTCTAAAAGATTTATTGAATTCCTTAAGCCAGGATTCGAAAACATCAGGAGAACGGAGTTGTTGGGCTATGACACAGAGAGTGGGATTACTGGGTTCTGTTTGATCTTGATCTTTTGGAGATGAGGATGTGGAACGAAGACGACAGAGATCAACACACGTTTGGACAAAGGGTGGTATTAATGCGTCGTTGTAGATACAATCACAAGCTATGATTGTGTCGAAGCTGGTGGTGGTTTCTGAGCAGGTGAGAGAGGGAGAGACGACGTCGGTTTCCCAGTCGAGGGTTAGAGGGATGATTTTGTTGGTTGAGGGTTGTTGGGTTGTTGATGTGGATGTTGACGATGGGGGTTTGGATTTTCGGGACTTGGATTTGGAGTTTGTTGTGGTTGATGATGTGGAGGAGTTGGAAGAAAGATTTTGAGAGAGAAATTTGAGAACATATGGTTGATCTGTAAGGATGTATGTTTGGAGAAGAGGTGATAGAGTAAGGGCTATTAGACCGGATATTCCACAACCTAATTCAAGGACTACTGAATCAGGGGTGATTATCTGATGCTGGAGGAGCGGATTTGTAGGTGAGGATATCCATTTTGCGAAAAGGGGGGTAATTTTCCATATCACTGTGCTTAGCATTAGTAAGTAACTAATTGTAGTGATAGAAGGGCTGATTTACCTGCTCCAGTAGTACCCCCATCACGATTTGATGATAAGATTGTAGGTGATTGATAAATTGTGAGATCTCTACCGTTAATGGTGAAATCTATTTCAGTAGCCTTTGAATCTACGAATCCGAGATTCTGGGATGGGATGGTTTGAGAGAACAACAGAAACGCCTCTAGAATTTAATATTTTAGCTTATTAACTTGACCAAAATTCAAGGTCTAGGACATGTCCTATGAATCCACATGAATTCTTTGATACTCTTGAAAAGATGATACGAAGTTGTGCTCATAATCTCAAATCCGACGACACCGAAACGTCTCAACGACCACTTCGATTGATTATAAAAGCAGCCAAATGTTAACCCCCCTTTCGGTAAGCATCTCGCGCCACAATAGACTGCTGTGTTACCAAGGCTCTCACACTGCCTCGTTCCAAGCAATTGGAAAATCACTTGACTGTATTGAAACTCTAGAAAAGTGAAACAGATATGTAATGAAATCGTTTGTTTACCTTACCTTCTTCGGGGTCCTCCACTTCTGGGCCAAGAGAATCAAGAAATGGTTGAACGCGGCCAGCCATGATTGAAAGTTGTAGTTGGCTGGTGAAACCTTTTCAATATACCTGAGTAATCCTTGGTCTATTAGAGAAATAGGGCTTGATGTTGAGATAGTTAACTGCCTATCAGATTCGTTTTTGTGAGACTATCGAAAGTGTAACAGCTGGCATATCAGACATGCAATGGTAGTATGTGCTCGAGTAGAAAAAGTTCTTCTCTTTTTGCCGTATTGACCCACCTATATGAATCGTACGTGAGTGATGCTTACCTGTACAGGCAATCAAGCTCGAGCGGTCAGAAGGTTAAGGAAATGTACAGAGTAGATAAGGAAAATGGTTGAATGAGGTGTGAGGTGTGAGGTGTGAGGTATGATATTTCCCTTCTTATCTCAACGTTTGCCTGAGTGTATAATCAAAGTTCTGACATGTAAATGATCCTGAGGTAGTGAATAGATCGATAGTGGATAGACAGAAGCAATGACCAAAACATGCTATGATGTGCATATATGCTCCAACATCGCCAATGTCAGTAGCATCCAGGTGCTGTAAGATGGATAGACAGATAGATGTAAGTAAGATGTAACTATAAGTAAGATGTCTAAGAGCACAAGCAGATATCCAGGTGTATACTCCGTACGTCGGTATAGCTTTACTAGCAGGGATTTCTCTACAGAGTAAATGGTTGAAGTCTAGGCTCTAAGCTCAATTTAATCCTCAATCCTCAATCCTCAATCACTGCTCGATGAACGAATGGGTGAGAGAGAAAGTGGCAGTGGCAGCTTTGAAATAATGTTGACCTGGTGGAGCTTTTTTGTTTTGGTGAGTCCAGTAACCGTGCATTGAATTCAGCATCAACAATTGGTCAAGCTCTGACCTTTACTAGATGGGATCTTGGTTGTTCCAAAATAAAGGAAAGCAAGGCAGCGTCATAATTCTATCTACCTGGCAATTATTAAGGCGATTTATTATTTCTTCCCTTTTCCCCAGCCTCAATTGCTTCCCCAAAATCCCGAATATATCTCAACCATTTCCTGGAACTGTATTGAAGAGAATTATATCCTTTCATTGAAAATACAGTACTGGTAGCAGGTACCTATACGAATTCAAGACCATTCGCGTACCTCTCTCGTCTGCTAAATACATAACACGAAGTCAAATCAACAAAGACCGGAGCTTGCGCATCACCAACTTCCTCTATCCATCAAATACATCAACTCTCAACAATTGAGCTTCATCGTCACCCGATCAAAATGTCGTCCTCAGGGTCGCTCAAGAACATTTCCGTTCAACCTAAATTCTATCACTCACCACCTTTCAGTGCAGAGGTGCCAGGCCACAAACCCGTAAACGGGGAGACTATTCCAAGAAGACACCCTTCGACAGCCAACAAGCTTGCGACTCGCCCATCCGAAGATGTCTCAACTGTTTTCGATATAATCAAACGAAGTTCCGAGAAGTATGGAAATGCGAAAGCTGTCGGAAGTCGATCATTGATCAAGACTCACCAAGAGGTGAAGAAGGTGAAGAAAATGGTTGATGGCGAACAACAAGAAGTCGATAAGAAATGGACATATTTCGAACTCAGCGAATATAAATACATGAGCTTCTCAGAATATGAAAAGTTAATCTTACAAATTGGAGCTGGTTACAGGAAGCTTGGATTGAACAAAGAGGATCGAGTACACATTTTTGCGGCAACAAGTGCTCATTGGTTAGCAACTGCTCATGGCGCAGTTTCTCAATCGATGCCAATTGTTACCGCATACGATACTTTGGGCGAAGAAGGTCTCAAGCATTCCTTGGTTGCGACCAGAGCCAAAGCTATCTTTTTGGATCCTCATCTATTGCCAACCTTGATTAACCCTCTCAAAGAAGCCAAAGATATTCAATTTGTAATCTGGAACAGTCAGAATGAGGTTAAGCAAGAGAACATCGATAGCCTCAAGAAGGCACACGAGAAGCTCAAGATTTTGAGTTTTGAGGAATTACGAAAGCTTGGCGAGGATAATCCTGTTGAACCAGTACCTCCCGCACCAGAAGACCTGTGCTGCATTATGTATACCTCCGGCTCTACCGGACCACCAAAGGGTGTACCCATCAAGCACAAGGCAGTCGTAGCAGCTGGTAAGTAAAATTTATTGTTTGTGAAATATAAACGTCGTGCTGACTAGCGCTTGCGCTTACTATAGTTGCTGGTGTCAATGTTATTGTTGAACCATATCTTGGTCCAGGTGACGGTCTTCTGACATACCTTCCTCTTGCACATATTCTCGAGTTCGTTTTCGAAAATGCTTGTCTGTATTGGGGTGGAACTATGGGTTACGGAAACCCTAAGACTTTGTCGGATACATCAGTCAAAAATTGCAAGGGAGATATTCGAGAATTCCAGCCAACCGTTTTAGTTGGTGTTCCCGCCGTGTGGGAGTCAGTCAAGAAGGGTATCGTTGCTAAGGTTAATGGTGGAAGCCCGATCGTCAAGAACCTTTTCTGGGGTGCACTTTGGGCTAAGAACAACCTCTTGCGTTATGGTCTCCCAGGTGCTGAGGCTTTGGATGCACTAGTATTTAAGAAGGTAAAGGAAGCCACTGGTGGAAAACTCAGAATTTGTCTGAATGGTGGTGGACCAATCTCCAAAGATACTCAGAGATTTATTTCTATGGCCATTACACCGATGATCAACGGATATGGTTTGACCGAAACTTGTGCTATGGGTGCTTTGATGGATCCTATGGAATGGACCGATGAAGCATTGGGTGATATTCCTGGTTCCATTGAAATCAAGCTTGTTGATTTCCCAGATGCTGGATATTATGCAACCAACAAACCAAACCCCCAAGGAGAAATTTGGATTAGAGGAGATCCCGTCATGGAAGGTTATTATGAGAACCCCGAAGAAACAGCAGAAGCTTTGACTGCAGACGGATGGTTCAAGACTGGTGACATTGGAGAATGGGATAAGAATGGTCATCTTAACATCATCGACCGAAAGAAGAATTTGGTTAAAACTCAAAACGGAGAATATATCGCCCTTGAGAAGCTCGAATCTATCTACCGTTCCGCTACAGTTGTAGGAAATATCTGCGTTTATGCCGATCAGCAGAGAACTAAGCCAATTGCTTTGATCGTTCCAGCAGAACCTGCCTTAAAGAAACTCGCCGAAAGAATTGGTGTCCCAGGATCCAGTGTGGAGGAATTAGTACATGAGAAGAAGATTCAAGATGCAGTTTTGAAGGAATTACAACAAGCTGGTAAGGCTGGTGGATTGTCAGGAATTGAAATCATCGAAGGTGTTGTCTTATCAGATGAAGAATGGACTCCTCAGAATGTCAGTATTTTCCTCCTTTTTACAACATGGTGCATGCTAACATTAATAGGGATTGGTAACATCTGCACAAAAATTGCAGCGAAAGGCCATTTTGGAGAAGTATAAGAAGGAGGTTGAGTCTGCATATGCTAGGAACAACTAATTGCTTTTAAAAACAACTTGGTAATGGTTTACGAAGAATACGTAGGTCATGAAGATTTTGTGGTTTCGGTGCGGTTCGTTCTGGTGGTTCGCATTTGTATGATAGTCTGGCAGTATTGGTAGTATAGGCAGGCTTTGCTTAATTTTAGTTTAGATTTCTTACGAATGTAACTTATTTAATTATACCTAATATGTTGATCACTTTGATGCGTGAATATTTCTCTTCCATGGTATGAGACAAATAATAGCTTTGGAAGCAGTGTGAGCGCGGGTGGGTACTACAACGCACTTAATCCTTAAGGGTCACGGGATCACCTATCGTCGAAGTCGCGACTCGCGTTCAACCTCATTTTATGAAAGGAAATCGCGACTCAACAACCGTTTTCACCATCTAAATTGCTGTTTCCAACAACCCCAACTCTAATCGATTGATCTGAAGAAGATCCAAGTCGATTTATTTACGTCGTGCGAGTTTCAGCTCTTCATTAAATCAATTAATGCACTAGATTGATGGAATGAATTGATTTGCGACCGTATATAATCTTTCTATTTACAAGTCACACATTTTTAATCTCACAATTTGAACATCCTACATCGTCGACCCCAAACTCATTAACTCCGCACATGCCATTAAACTTTCCTTTTAACAATTTCTTTAATAACGTCTATAACATGGCTGGCAATCCTCGCCTTAGCGGCTTCCTTCAACAAGAATCTAATCCGCCTCACCCACCATCGCCATCCCCTCAACCACTCCAACAACGTACAGATCGTCAAGCGATGGCACAGAAGTTGAGATTACCTCCCAAGAAGCAACGAGATGCATCTGCCAATACGAATCGAGCTCACAATCAGGAGCCTGTCTATGAACAGCCGGCTGAATTTTCGCAAAGAAATACAGTATCTGGAATAAACCAAATGCAGGCAGAGTACAACCCAGAGGAAGAGCAAGAAAATGTCGAAAATTTCGAGGACTCTACAGTAAACAGCGCTTTTGATGAAACTATCAGCCAGGGAAACTTTCGAGGTGGACAGGACATGGGAGTCATGCCTACTGGCGGCAATCGTGAATTTGATGGCGGATATTACAGAGGGCAGCAGGAGGAGCTGGAACAAAATAATTTTCACGTTGCACATGAGAATGGTTACGATGGGGACTCACCAGAGGAGTCTGTGTTCGGTCAAGAATACATCGAAGATGCACGAGCACCCCTTCAATCGCGTAAGATTTTTCACCAACCTAATGCTCAAGGACCACAGACGCAAGCTCTTGGAGCCCCCATTTACAAGCAAAGTCAGACTCCCAAACCTGCCATTCAGTCAGAATTACCACTACAACCCCAAAAGCCGCAGCATAATAGCCCGAGCAAACCAAAGACATTTGATCGTTTCAATCACGCTATTACAAATCGTCCTAAGAATGGAATGCAAACAATTGGAGGTTCTCGAAAACGAGGTCTTGACGAAGGGGTATTTTCGCCAAAGCCCAAACCTGGAAAGGCTCATGTTGAAGTATTAGAAAATGCTATACTTCCCGGAAATATGCAATATCGTCTTCCACCGCTATCTCCTCAGGATACGCAGCAAGGTCAATCTGAGGAATCTTCTGATGGCGAGCGATACTCTGAAGATAGCACCCACATGGACGAACAACCAGCCCTTCAATCTCGACCAAATTTTCATGCGGGAAACACGCAACATCAAATTACCCATTTGAACCGTGCTGATATCCCACTTGATTATGATGATTCCGCTTTGAAAAACATGGATTATGAACAACTTAGAGATGAATCTTTTGAAGGTCCTTCGGCTCTTAGCGAGCAGCCCAGCGAACCGGACCTATCACTTTCAGATCGTCCTATTAATGAACGTGTCAGTCACCATGTTGAACAACATCGACCAGACAATCAAGAAGAGATGGACAAGCGGCGAGCAACTATGGTTGAATTCTTTGGTAGTTTATCTAAAGATGATTGGGAAGAAGCAGGTGATTGGTTTTTGTCAAGGTTTTCGGATACTTTAGAAGCATTGAAGAAAGCTAGGAAAGAAAAAAGAGCTATGGTTTCAAAGTTCGAAGAGGAAATTGAGAAGAGAGAAAGAGATGTCAGGGGATGTTTGAAGAGCTACAATCAAGACATGGAACGTATGAAGAGGGGTGCTAAGGGAGTTATTGAGGGAAATAATGTATGAATAAATGGGCTCGATATAATGGCTAGTTGTGCTGCTAGCGGTACGTGGAGAAAATCCGGAGTGTGTGGAGCATACGTTATCTAGGAAACTCAAGTGTTTATAAGCAATATGTTGAGCTTGTATATAGCTACTAGGTTATCTTAATGTGCGAAGGATTATTTGGCTGTACACAAACGCGCTGGGTTTTGGGGTCTGGGAATGAAATGGAAATGGAAAGGAAAGGAAAGGAACGACAAGATGAGTCTTGTGCTTTATTTGCATTTCGCAGGGAGTTCTGTGCTAGCTATTATGAGATACCCATTTGCTTCTTTTTATTAATGGAAATGGCATATACAATGTGTTACAACTTCTATGTACTCGCTGAGATGACCTCGACGGACAATGCTCAATTTTGACTGGAATCTAAATCGTTTGAAGACTACCTACCGCCTTGGTCAAACGAGTGTGTTGATAATGAACTCCCCCGATCTGGAGACAGGATGGTGTCACAAGTAGTAGCTCTGAATTATGAGGTAGAGATTTTGATATACTGATATACTTGATAAACTTGGCCTTGATGTCTTATTTCTTTTTTTCAGACGATAGCCTTTCAATCTTCCTCGTGGGCTCGTCTCTAGTATCAATTTCCGATTTTGATATTCTAATAACCTCTTCTGGGTAAGCAGCTGGGCGAATTATGATTTCACAGGAATCTATCTATATCTACGAGTCACGCAACCCCTCAACGCCTACCTCAATCTCATAATCACATTATCAACAATTCAAACCTTTTCCACCTGCACCACTCGTCTATCTCTCCCGACCACCAATCTCAACTGTCTCCCCTCCCAATCCTCCCCAAGTTTCCCGCCTCTGAATATCCCCCGTCGCACTCCGTCAAGATATAATTCATACGCCGGATAATAACCATCGACGAAGATTTTTACCTGTTCATCGCTCATACCGGTTCCTTTTTCGCGGCGCAACGCAGCTTCTTGTTCTTGTCGCCAGGAATACACGTATTGGGTATCGAGCGCATCGATGTGGATGAAGATATCGAAGGTGTCAGTTAGGATGTCGTAGTCTTTTAATTTTTGGTTGATGAACAAAAGGGAGGAGAGGGGATGATCGCGCAGGGTGCTGGGGGTGGATGGGGGGAGAGAGAGACTGTTATTGTGCAGGAGGGAGATGCTGGTTGGAGAGAGAGAGCGGAACCCGACGCACCAGCCTTCGAAGAGGATTACTTGGATGGGAGGTTGGTTTTGGGAAGTGTCGTTGACGGTGCGGGTGGAAGGGGAGCGGTCGCCGAGTCCACAGTGGAGAGATTTGTCGTAGGAGGGGATGAGGGTGGGGGTGGGAGGGGATTGGAGGAGAGAGGTGAAGAGGGTGCGGGCGAGGGGGATGTCGTGGGTTCCTGGTAAAGAGGGGGGTGGTTAGCTGGGTGGTTTGGTTTGTGGGTGTGTGGTTGAGGATTGGGAATTGAGGGGAGGGAGGGGATATAAGAGATAGAGTAGATTGGGTATAAGATAGAGGAGATTTGATGTAAGAGCCAGAGTAAAAATATAAATACCAGGTTCCCCTCTAAACTGCACAAGCCTATTCCCTTCATTCTCCCTCGCCAATTTCTCCTGATCCGCTCGTGTTAGATATAAATCATCAATACTCAATACTAGCGTCTCGAGCCTATGATCTCGAGTAAGAATTCCGTAGAGTGTATTCACGAGGGTGGTTTTTCCGGCGCCTTGGATTCCGTTGAGACCGATGATGAAGGGACGTGTGGGATGCGTTTTTTGATGGAGAGATAGATAGTGGAGGATGAAGGGGAGGATGTGAGGGGTTTTGTCGTCAATTATGGGAGGGGTGGGAAGGGGGTTGGAGGAGGAGGAGGAGGGGATCATGGTGAGTGTGTGTGGTTGTGGAGGGGAGGGAGGGGGATTATTGAGGATGGGAAATGCATGAGGGGAAATACATTACGTACGTGGGGTGCACAGTGTAGGTTGCTGCTTCCTTGCTTGCTTCCCCACTCCCGCGCCGCTGCGGCTGGTGGTGGTTCACGGGAAACCGGTCGGAAATAGTAGAAGGATTGTTCCGAGCATTTTTCTGAAAGTGGCGTCTTATTATTTAACATGTGAAAACACTCGTAGAAAAAGGAACAATGTCACATATGTATGAGGCTGAAGATCAACTAATCAATCCATCTCCCAAATTTCATTCCTCAGTCCTAATCAGGTAAGATTTACTATCTAGATTTGCATGTGAAAAATAAAAACAAAAGATTCATTATTATACTACACGGGAACAACCACTACTTTTGAATATCCTAGAAAGTATAGGCAAGCGTATGTAATGTACTAACTTTCCAGATATCAAAGAGGAGATGGAGAAATTTTCTCGAATATTCATACCTGCTCACTATCATGAATATATCAACTCTCCACACAATGCATACTTTCTGTATCATTCAGATCCAGGGTGATTAGTATTCACTGACTGACTCATTCTATTCATAACATACAACATATCAGGTATACTAACCCAACATCTTCCCAACTAATATAAACCCTTATCCCCAAATCCCCCAAATCCTACAAACAACCCAACCAAAACCTTTAATTCATTACCACCCCTCTACCGCCACCCACTACAACTTCTCCTTCCCCTCTCCCACCAACTCCACGCCCGCACCACCAATACACAACTTCCCCGTCTCCTTAACCTTCGTTTGGAAAACCACTCTATTATCCCCCTCCTTCCACATTTCCGTGACCAATGTTTGTCCTGGGATGACTGTGCCCGCGAAGCGGACTTTGATGTTTTTGTAGGGACCGAATCTATTTATTTGTTAGCGAGGGATGTAAATCTTATGCAGATAAGAGAAAGGGAGAGTTGATAGTGAGGGAGGAGGATGAGATGAAAGGAGAAGAAATAAACAGGAAACAGAATCCCTACTTTTGATAAACCGCTTTCCCAGCAATTCCCATAAAGCAAAGACCATGAAGAATAGGCGCTTTGAAACCTCCCACCGCTGCGAATGCTGGATCAACATGAAGAGGATTATACTATTCACATTAGCAATTATCCTATTATCTTGCATGAGAAAACTCACATCACCACTCAATCTATAAATCACAGCCTGTTCCTCCGTCGTCTTTTCCTCTACAACCACATCTGGGCTTCTCTCGGGGACTTTGTTCGCCCTTGTACTATTTCCTCTATCCGCCCCTTTTCTGTCACCTCCGAATCCTCCACTGCCTCTTAGGAAAACTGTTTGTTCGTTATAGAATACTTTTCTTCCAGTTTCTTTTTCTGTCGTGGTGGTTCCTACTTTGACAACGGCGGCGCTTCCTTTGTCGACTACCTCTAGGAGTTTTGGTGACGAAATGAGGGTACCAGAGGTAGGAATGGGGTAGGAAGCAATTTCGAGATATTGTTCGCCGTGAAGAAGCATCATAGGGGAGAAATTGGGTACAATATCGTCGAAAGAGAAGGGGGCTTCAGCATTGAATGGTGGAATGACACCAAAAGTTGGGAGAGGTTGGAAATTTTCATCTCCCTCACTACACTCCGATTAGTCGAGGTTGGTGTGAAAGAATTGGAAACCTTACAAAACAAGAGACAATTCAGATTTCTTTGCACCAACTCCAAGGTTGTATAGCATTACATCCCGCTCCTCGAACGTAAACTCACTTCCACTTGCTTCGGCTTTCTTGGCTGCGGCAATTTTATCAAGGATTTCTTGATTCACTTCAACCTTCTTCTCGATTTTCTGTAACGGAAGGATATGTTAACGAATATCTTTATTGATTGACTATAATATACATAATGCTCATTCTAAACATGAGGAGAAGGTTCATACCTTGCTCGCACCCTTCTTATTTTGCATGTTTGCCATAATACTCTTCAAACCATCTTGACTATCCTCAGGGTTATCAGATCGTCCATCATCGAAGTTGATAATTTTCTCCCAGTTCTTCAAAACTTCTTCGGGGGTAAGCTTGACATCGACTGGGAAACCATGTCCACCAGTTCGTTGCCATCTTGTTCGTCCAACCCATCCACTACCAACTTCGAAAAGACCTCCAGTTGGTGGTTTTGGAACTTTATCGCTGCAAAGTGCGACAACTAATGGCGCTATGTAGTCTGGTTTGAATGCTTGAACCATCTCTTCTGGCATGATGGTTCTGGTCATTGCGGTACCAGCATTTGGTGCAATTGTGTTTACGTAGATATTGTATTTGGCACCTTCACGGGCGAGGGCACGAGAGAAACCGAGAATACCACATTTCTTTCAAGGTCAGCAAACGTCTCTCAAATCAAGATATTAAACTTACGGCAGCAGCATAATTGGATTGTCCAAAGTTACCATAGATACCACTGGTAGATGTGGTATTTACTACGCGACCATACTTCTGTTTCAAGAAGTATGGCCATGCAGCCTTGGTGACCTTGTATGTACCTCTGAGATGAACAGCAATAACTTGATCCCACATCTTATCATCCATATTGGTGAAAGCTTTGTCACGGAGAATACCAGCATTGTTGATAATGATATCAATGCGTCCGAAAGCATCAATTGCAGCTTTAACGACAGCATCTCCATCTTCAGCAGATGCCTTGACACCGACGGCTTTTCCACCAAGCTTTTGAATTTCTTGGACAACGTCATCTGGGTTCATCAAATCATTGACAACAACTGAGGCACCATATTTGGCGAACGCTAAGCAGTAGCATCGACCAATGCTAACAGAATTAGCTTAGTCTCTTGGAAAATGAAAGTTTGAATGCTTACCCAGCACCTCCACCGGTAACTAAAGCGACCTTGCCCTTGAAATCAAGAGTCTCTCCTTGCTCATTTGGACCCATCTTCATTGATTTCTCAAGAAGACCCATGAAATCCGCAGGACCAGAAGGATGTTCGGCATCCTTAAAGTTACTGACTTGATCCCATTTTTTCAGGATAGCTCCTGGAGTATATGAATCATCTGCCTTGAGCAATAAACCGCTTGAGCGTTCCCATCGAAGTTTAGCGACATGTCCACCACCAACTTCGAAAATTGAACCATTCTCTTGAGCGTCTTTGTGTACCAAAACAGCTACAAGAGGAATGACCCAATCCGGTTTTAAGTTATCGAGAATCTCGGGAGGCATGACAGTTTCAGTCATACGACTAGCAGCTATGATTCATTAGATTCGATACCAGCCGATAAATCAGGGGTAATTTAAAACGTACCAATAGGAGCAATAACATTAGCGTGGATGTTATACTTCGCTCCTTCCTTCGCCAAAGTTTCCGTAAATCCGACCATAGCCAATTTAGCTGCTGAATAGTTCGTCTGGCCGAAGCTTCCAAACAAACCCGCCGCACTGGCAGTATTGATCACTCTTCCATACTTTTGTTTCCTGAAATGTGGCCATGCTGCTCTCGCGCATTTATATGATCCCTTTACATGGACATCGATGATCAAATCCCAATCTTTATCTTGCATGTTCTTGAATGAGATATCGCGAAGGATACCGGCATTGTTGAGCAAGACATCAATGCGGCCATAAGTTTTAATGGCAGTTTCGATAATCTTTTCGCCCTCTGTGACGCTGTCGTAATTGGCTACTGCCTTTCCTCCTGCGGCTATAATTTCGTTTACTACAACATCTGCGGCCTGATGATGATGTTAGTTATGTTCAGGAATGTAAGATGGCTATGTGATAGTTGGAAAGAATACATACCTTTGTAGAATTGCCCTCGCCCTTAAACGATCCTCCAAGATCATTCACAACTACACTCGCACCTCTTGAACCAAAGAAAAGGGCATATGCCTTTCCCAATCCACCGCCAGCTCCCGTCACAACAACAACTTGGCCATCATAGCGTAGCTCTGACATGGTTGCTTGTATGTTATCTGTGATCCTTAACTGTTCGATTGTTTGTTACAAGAACTGATGAAATAGATAGATGAGAACGAGGAGAAGACTAATAATAAGATGAAGAGGAAAACAGTTGAGAATGGGGATGTTAAATGCAATTGATGTTTAAGCACAATAGAAGATGGCTTGGTCGCTTTATTTGAATCTCATACCTCCAAAAATAACCTCGGTAACTCAAAAAACACCCAAACGCGCAAAGATCGAAAATCTGTGAAAAGCACTATTTTTTGAAATTGAAAATTAAAACAAAACTGTATGTCAGAATGGGTAAAAAGTGACGCATCTATAGATTATCGAGCTTTTGATGATCAGGCTCAGTTTATAGTTGAAAATATTGATGTTTGAATTTAATATAGAATTTTGAAAATGAAGGTATCTTTTTGCATCCTCGGTCTTCCATTCAGCTGGATCTCTCGGTACACGCTTATGCTCGAAGCTCTGTTCCCATGACTCCACATTTCCGGGGTATTCAACGGTAGCTGCACGCGGTGTGATGATGGATCTTTTATTTTTATTTTTCACATGCAAATCTTCACTGAAAACAATCTTCTCTTCTTTAACTGGTGAATCTGAGCTTATTAGTAAGCACTCATTAGAGGTGAGACTTGAAAGCTTGATGAACCAATAACAATGGCTGTCTGGTTTTAACTGGTAGAATTGCAGCACCGATTGACTATCAGTCTACACGTAGGAGAAAAAGGAGGCCAAAATTGATCACCCCAATCAATTCTACAATAAATCAAGCACAAATAAATTTCTGAGAGTTAATGATGCCAAAAAAATCCTAGGATAATCTTCACTTATATGTAATATATAAGGCTATTTAAACTTTCAATTCTCAGAATTGATATGGCACAATTGGATTGTTGAAGGGCCTCGCCAGTGGTCAATTCCGGCTTGTTTGTTTTTTCCTCTTACGAACAGACAGCCCATCGAGAATTGTACCAAACCCTCGCTGAAGGATGATTACCTAGGCATGTCAGAGATTTTCTCAAGAAAGAATCGAAGGGTTGCGTTGGTTCGAAACTTCTCTATCTCAGATGCCTGCCATGACAGGCTAGCAAATAGGCGCCAGGTTACACTCTGGATGAGATTTCGAAACTTTCTCCCAATCCATAATCATCCCTCCATTCTCGTTCTCTTACACCAATTTTTTCTTAGTTCGGCCAAAATTCTCCCCATCACATTGACTTCCTTTTCGTCAATATCCAGATCAATAATAGTGGTTTTGACCGGTGGAATGGCAGAGCCGATTGACACATCATTCATGGTTGTACCAAAACCCCGCTCAAAGAGGACTATTACAGATTTTCCCCAGCCGCTCCCCTCCTTTTATATGGTCTTTCTCGGATAGCGTATTCAAATATCTGTGGACGGCAAAACTGGTCGCTCTCAGGACAGCATGGCAGTGGTGATCCTCGAGACGAAATGGGTTGGTCTTTCTGTCGCATTGCATGTCCTCTCACAAGTTATCTGGCCGGAAGAGCGATAGCATGGCCGCAATATCCACATCCTGATTCATTACGGGTGGGCCGGTCAACAATAGGAAGTTGCGAAGGACTTCATATTTTCCTGTGTTCTCGTCCTTCATGGTATGGGCCTTATCAATGATAACAGTATCGAACACTGCTCGTAGATCGGGTTTGTTTTGGCCTTTGTGCTTCGCTCTTAACCACTCGAAGTTGGCGACAAAAATATGATACTGGGGGAGTTTCAAGCTCTTGAGGCTTTCCTTGCTCAAGATGGGAGTTTTCCCTCCCGCACAGTATAAGTGCACTTGATATTTTTCGTATAGAAAGTTTTCTACAACTCTTTTCCAAACATTCAAAACTGCAATTGGACCAACTACCAAGCTAGGCTTTGGTTGTCCAATATCACCATTACCCTTCTTCCTCTTATTGTTCATGTGACATATGAGGCCCAATGCCTGCAAAGTCTTTCCAAGACCCATATCATCTCCAAGGATACATTCTCCTATTTCGGCTGATTTATTTACCATCCAAGACATACCAGACGGCTGCCAAAACTTTAATGTTGTATCTGGGCCAAGTTCCCCAATCCACAGCTCCTCAATGCTCTCAATGTCGAGTTGTCGACATGCCTCCTCCAAAGTTGGTGCTTTTTCTGCGTACTTGTTGAAAAATTCTTCTTGCTGGGGCATTCTGTTCTTTTCAAATGGAGTTACAGGCGCCAAAGCAGTTGCAATTGCCATGTTGGCCATATTCCCCGTAAAGCTCTCTGCAGATTCAGCATTATCTTGTTTCTCAACGGGTCTGGCAATATGCCCAAGTAGATCTTTGATTTCGGATTCTGATCTCATAACTGCATTGAGTTTAGAAGGTTTAAATGTTGTGGACAATATTTCTAGTAAGTACCGGCTGGTTGTCTCCTTGGAAATGAAACAATGAGGACTGGTTGTCGACGTGGGTTGATAAGTCAAAACTTTCTTCGTTTTCTCCGCCGAAATATTGACGTCCTTCCTTGATCAAACAGTCAATCAGATCTCCACGTCCGTTCCGTTTTCTGTGCATGTCATCCACTCCCAAAAGTAGGATGAATGCCACCAGTACAATATGCAATAACATCATTTTGATTCAAAAGGGCGATGGCAGGTGTATCAGATTGAGTTTGTAAGTTCTTATTGAAAGGATAATTCAGCATCGTGGGATATTTTCGAGAATTGGAAGTATTCTAAATAACTATACAAATTGAATTCACTTTTACTCACTGTCTTGCCCTCGTGTTGGACTTCAACTTTTCAACCTCGGACAACAATTTTTATCTGGCGCCATTGTATCATTCCTCAGTCGCACCCATTCTTTTACTTATTGTTGCTATCACCTGGGTGGTGATTATGATGTCTTCATAATAGGTTTAATGCATTGATTGATATTGCGTCTGTTGTCTTCTCTTTATTGAAGCTATTCAGTATTGAAGACTTATGTCCCTGTAGTGTGGCCATGTGACCATACTACCATATTCACTACATCGATACTTATCAAACGTAAATATCTTCATTCTTAATATTCAACTCCATGGTACTTGTTCTATTTGAAGTTAAGAGACAGCGGTAAGAGAGCTGCAAAGGTGAATTCTGATGTTGAAGCATATATGTAAGTATCTGACTTTCTTCAAACAAGACCGCGATGGACAGAAAGATGAAACGAGCCAACAAAGCAGAAGACCTCACTCCTTCTAAGAGGAGGCATTGATGCGGCTTGAAAGTAAGTTATATTCCAAGAAGCTTATATTATTTTCTCTGATTTATGGCAGGATTTCCATAAATAAAATGGTATCCTCCGCCTTCACCAAGAGAAAAATCGACACGACGGATTCCTTAAACCAGAAAGCACATATATTCAATGATGATTATAAAGTCAAGAGGAGTGCAATGATAGGGGCACTGGAAATCCTTGCCGACGAGTTGAGACGCTGTTCTGGAAGTGTTATGGAGTCGGATTATGATGAATGGTTATTAGACAAGACTTGAAACGACAAATCGCGGAGAAAGGAAGTGGCATCCAAGAAACACAAAGTTTAAATCGAGGATCATATGATGCGATGGGCAAACTCATGGTCATTGATACAGAGATCATGGAGTTTCTATTGGAAGCGGAGGAGGGAGAGGAAAAGGTCGAGAAACCACGAGCATTCCTGACTCAAAAAACCAAGATTGCGGAACATTGATGGAGGCCCGAAACGTCTCTCACAAACAAAACCTTGATTGGTCGATAACGAGTGCACTCGACATCATTTTTTATCAGTTACATTGACATGGAGGAGACGTTAGATCGATTATCACATATTTATTATTTTCAGAGGGAATGGGGACAGGGAGATCATTTTTTATACAAAAGGGTGGAGGCGGGACTTTTAATCACAACTATTATTATTATATCATTTATTTTTTTTCAAAAGATTAGTACATAGAATGGAACTAGACCATTTTACAAATTAGCAAAAGGCGTTGATTGACTTTGGTCGACTTATCTTCAAGGTGTACTAACTTTTCCCTTCTCCTATCCTTTTAAGTGTGTACCAATTTTTCATTGCCCCTACCCCCTTCAAGTGTGTACTAACTTCTCATTTATCCTAATTCGCCTATAAGTGTACTAACTTTCTAATCCCCCCTTGAAAACGTATCAGCTATTGATGATCTAGAAACAGTTCACCATCTCACCTTTTGAGATGGTGAAATTTTCCCCGTTCATTGGGAGTCCGAAGAACTACTACACTATACATGCTTATACTTGAAGCTCTATATCCATGAATTCGCATTTCTGGAGTGTTGAACAGCAGCTACTGCACGCGATGTGACGATAAATTTCTTGTTTTCGTTTTTCATATGCAAATCTTCATTTTTCTCATTTACTTCATTCAATTTGCCACCCACAAGCACAATCGTGTAATCAGTGTAACATTAGCTACAGGCATGAACTGTTTTTCTTTGACTATCTGAATTGGGATGGCGTTTACTTAATTTGCCCATCGTGTTACATGTCATGAGTGAAATGAGAACTTGGTTGTAAATGAGTCAGTTAGTGAATACTGATCATTCTGGATCTGAATGATACAGAAAGTATGCATCGTGTGGATAATGGACAGTTGATGTCTTCATGATAATACAGGGTTACCTGGGTACTTGCATGTTGATATCGAAGATCTTGAGATAGGCAGGATGGGGATTCGAAGATGGTGTGTGTTGGTTTGAGATTTTGGGGGGTTGAGTGATTGATTTTTTGTGTGGATGGATTGAGGGTATTGCTAGGTAGGTGGATGAGGAGGGAGTGTGGGAGTGAGGTTAGATAGACTAAGTGAAGGTGATTTGGAGTTTGTTCAATAGAAAATATTTTGTTGTATTCTTTTATTGATTCTGTAGAAACTAAGTGTGTGATGAAAAGATGAGGTAGGAGAGGAGGGAAGAGGAGAGAATGTAAGGAAATTAAAGGGGAAATTTGGTGTGAGGGAGAGGTTGTTGTATGTGTGTGTGGAGTAGTTTGAGAGATGACGGATATGTATGAGATAGAGGTTGGAGACTTTGAGACTTTGAAGGAAAGTAGGTATATGTAATGTGATCGATTTTTGAGGGATGTGATAGTTGGGAGAAAGTATTTTATATCATTTTTGGTGCTGAGCTGGTATTGGGTTTGAGTTTGAGTGTAGGAAGAAAGGAAGAAAGGAAGAAGGGAGATAAAGTGGTACTTGGGGATGTGAATGCGGATGCGGATGTGCTAATTGATGGGTGCTTGGAATAGATTTGATGTGAGTTTGTGGATTGAGAGGATTCATTTGGAGGGACTCATTCGAAAAGTGAAAAATTGCACTTGGGAGCGTGTAAACAAACTTGAGAAGCCAGTCTAAAAAAACTCTCAGACTCTTCTGTCTTCTGTCTTCTTCCTTATTTACTTTCCCTTGTCCTATCGCAACCCTCCCGGGCATCGACTTCTCTCGGTATTCACGCTATGTTGTTCTTTTTGGCTATTCCATCTATCTAGTGAGGCTGTACCAACACGGTATTCCAAAGACAATGAAGCGGCTCAATTGAATTGAGAAAAATACACTTGTCCTTATCTCTGGGTAATCCAGAACGGGCCCGGCGAGGCCGAATATGTTACCCTGTATATTCTAGATCGGGATGGTGACGGAAATGTTCAATCAAGACCTAGAAATTACGGAAATATTTGAAATGACTCTCGTTGCATGCGATCCATGTGCTTATCGTATCATTTGGTACCTTGAACCGTCAATGTTTTACGTAGAAAAGTATAATAAAAGAATCTGTGGATCAATTGAAGCAATGATTAGAAAATGCAAAGTATCTGGCTCGCATCATGCAAGACAAGCTCCATATAAATGTTGATATGCATCACCAGCTTGAATGCAGTAGCATCAGAGTGGATTGCAAAGCTCGATATTGAAGCCCGGGCGTTTGACTGCATGCACTCGAGTTCTCTTCTCTAGTACGGCTAAGCTTTATCTTTGAGACATGAGACTAGCAGTTTTGAAGTTACTAGGTGATCTCCAACTTCATGATGGCAACCGAAGAGCAAAATGAATGAACCATTGGATACAAACATCACGGACATCGGCAAACTCATGAGGCTGAAGTTATTTTATGAAATTGAAGTGGAGTAAAAGAGGCTGTATCTGGCGGTGAGAAATTATCCGAGATAAAGGGGAGATGCGTTGTATTGGATTCTGCGATAATTGAGATTCGAATTCTAGAAAGAGGCCACAATGCAGATCCATCCTTGCAGCCACCAACGATAATGTGTACAATCCCAGGTACCCAAGAAACGGGTTGATGGAGTACATTGCATTGATTCGTCTTAATTGAGACAACATTGATCAGAGAAATGCACTAGGTGTAAATCATTCGCATGGATATTACCGATTCCAGAACACTGCATCTTCACCGTTTCTTCAACTTTCTTTTGCGACGTTGTTTTAATGTTGAAAATATACCGGCTGCTATGCCTTACAAGGCTTGGCAAAGATGGATAGGTTGCAGCCATCAATCACATCAAACAATCGATGACCAACTACCGACTCCACGTTGAGTCTACTTGTTGGTGTGATGGAATGATGGGATGATTGTAGATCATTACTTTCAAGGTAATCTCCTAAGCGACTTCCGCAGTGTGGCGGAATTCTTGACTGGATAAGCTGACTGCATCATAACACAGGTACCTGACCAATCGCCGCACGAAGAAACGCACACTCACTAGATACAATTCCTCGAATCATCGCCCTGCAATAGATGTGAATTCCCAACTTTTGTCGCGTGAAAAAAAGGTCTTGAAGGCGGTCAAGCCCAATTTCACCCCCCTCCCCCCACATGTTGCCATCCCACTTCGCCCTTTCCTTTACCTGTCGCACTACCTTACGCTTGTAGCAAGCTAGCGTGGATAATCATCATGCCTTTGATTAAATCTAGCTCTTCTTCAAGCACCTCATGCAAATTGTTTCAAACACGGCATGTAAATCGATCACATGCGCAAGCAATTTAAAATTTAGCAAATAGTGAGGTCATGCATGGAACAATGTGAAAAAGCAAGATCTCTTACCGCTACTCTCTCACCATCCCGTTGGAGATTTCTTTTTCAAAGCCTCGTCCTCTTGTACAACCACAAACCCGAGAACTTGGAACCCTATCTCTATCCCTACTCGATATCATTTGAAATCCGTCAACGTGTTCGATAGTCACGGGTTGAGTGCAATTTTTTTTCCAGGAGGCAAATGCGGTTTGTGATCTTCTGAGTAGCTATCACATCGTTCAATGGGACGAGAAGACTTTGTAGTCTCTATGCAAACGCCCTCGAAAAGAAATGAGCGATTATGCCTCATGCGTCGGACAGAAGAGCCCCCATTTCTTCCAACATCCTAAAGTGATTTCAACCCATATACCGCTCTTTGTGTCACCAGATTTGCATCCGCTGAGCCCCATCAGAGCAACTCAAACCGACGTTCATGAAGTATCCATCGTGTAACGAAATGCCAAGGCTACGAAATCTTGCTAGCTTGTCTAGTTGGGGCGAGTCTAGCATATGTTCGTTCTGCACTACGACGGAACATATTGAGGCACTGGCTCGCTGAACTGCATTTGTAAAATAAACACTAGCAGCCCTAAACTGAATTTTCTGTCTGGAGCAGGTGTCACAGTTGCGAGATTTCTGCCCCCCACGAAGCTTACTTATGCTGTGTCTCATCTGGTTCTTCATGATTACCTTCATGCTCGAGACTAGATGAGGTAAGGCCTGAAGAAATATGCAAATCATTGCTACTGATATCAACTCAAATACCAAGTACCCAGTGAGTATCCATGCGCGCAAATTGTGAAATTGTGACCCTATATTGGGGCAAAAAGCCCCTCTGAAGTCACACTAGTGCAAAAGTATGGAATTCTATAGGAGACACTGTGTGCAAGCCCATCGTGAAGTAGGAGACTACAACTCGGAACACCAAACAGAAACAATCATTGTAAACGTGAAGTCAACATATTCGCTCATCAGAATGCGCAATTGAGGTTGTGATTATCATTATGAGATAGTTTGATGCCGAGAAAAGAACCTTGTAACTTAAATTATCTCTTCCGTTTGAGATGAAGATAGAAATTCAATCAAATTGAATCAAAACACAAATTTCGATGTTAAGAAATCAAAAGTGTGGGAACAGTAGTCAACGAGATGAACGTTTATTGGCGCTACACTGTCGTCACATGACTATGCGAGCCTTCGTATGTTAGCAAATCGCACGAGTCGCTGCCAAATTGCAATGGCCAATTTGAAAGACGTGCGCGGCACTAAAATTTTACCAAGAGCCCCTTTAAAATTCGTGTTTTTCTCGAGCTCAAGAAAATAAGGTTATCGCCCTGTTTTGTCAAAATTGCCTCGCGAAGTCGCGTGAGAGATCCTGCACATTCCTACAACGTCCCAACCATGCCGATTATACCGAGACGGAATTGTATATCATCAAGAAAGAGGTCGCAGGGCGGGCCGCATGATCGACACATGTTGAATTGGCCAAGTAGGTCATGAGCTTTTTGGTTGACATAAAAAATTTCAATTCAAAAGCATGCAACCATGCTATGGCGCAAGCCAATGTAGTACTCGGCAATCTTGAACACGGCGTATATGGTGCTGTTAGAAAAAAGGCCCTGCGACCGAAAGATTTTGAATGGTCTCACAGCTGCGGGGATGAAAGTTCCTTCCGGGTGTCTTCAAATCAGCAACCTCTCTTGACGTGTTTGGATTTTGCAGGTCCTACGCGGTGAGAGTTAATATACTCTAATCTCAATCGATCTTGTGATACGCTCGTGGCAGTCATGCTGTCCGCAGATCGTTTTGTGTTGATTGGGATTTTTGGAAGAATATATTCCGACTTTTATTAGTTCTTGTTAAATGCGCAAAATGGATGTTTCCGTTCCTGAATGCATCTGAATTTGATACTATCATGTCACACACATCACAAAATGCTTCAGAATCGATGGATATTTGGCCGCAGCCTTTCATTGCGTTCTTTCTTCTGTTCGAGCCTATTGTATCACAGAACAAACCTCCGGGCGTCAATCATACCTCAATAATCGTGAATATGTGCTGGTCCAACAGGGCGTCTGCATTTAAAGCAAGAACGCCTCTATTTCCCCACTTGATAAAATAACCTTCAGCATTGCTTTCATCGTGTAGAAATTTTGGGGTTGCCTAGAAACAAGTGACGTAGCGTTCCTGTTAGACTTTACGGAACCAACCGGAATGATACAGTATAAGTTATTAGAAAACTGGTAGTACAGGGACCCACAAAGCCCCGACCGACCTAGTTCAGGGCGACAATAGGTACTCGGCAGGGCTGTGAATCTGATTGAGCCTTGTGCACTTCTATCTGTTATTCTTTCCTTCTGGCGTTGCTCATTATCTTACGAATTCGTTATGGTGAGATCAAAACGTATGGCTAGGGATGATTAAATCCGATCTCCAAAATGCAAGGAACCACCGGATTCGTGATCAACATAGTAGCGTGCTCACTCCGTAATATTTCTCGTCGATTTACAATTTCGCTTTGATTAGATCTCAGTGACGTATCATTATGCCTTGGTGAAATAATTATACAGAAGAAAGGAGATAATTTGTTCCCAGCGTATGTTGTGCAAGTATCAGCACACTTCCTAGGAGCCTGTGTATATTGTCCGGAGCGCAAAGCTTGCCTTTCCGAAACCAGAATTCGACCTTTTGGAACCATGTAGAAAAGGACCATCAGGATGACACTTCATCAGATCGAGAATTGCACGGATCCTTGGTTCCGGTCTAGTCACAGTATTGATAATGCAGCAAAGATTATTGTATGAACAATACTTGGATGACTCTTATGATCTACAGAACAAAGGCAAGTCTCTTGATGTAGTTACTCTTACTAGTGTTCGTCTGTGTTTGGAATTGCTTGCGCTTTCATACTTGCACATTGGAGCCAGCGCATACATCATCTTTGCCCAATTCGTGTGTAATAATATGCGGAACCTGATTGGATGGTTGATTTTCTGTTTTGGGCCATAATCTTATACTATCGAAAGTGGCGAATTTTATTGTGGTTGAATACTTCACCAGGCCATATCTGTGGTAAACCTGCCGCCTGTATTGATGGAGCGTTAGATATGTTATGCAACGACAATAACAGGATGAACCACGCCTAGTAACTGGGCAATTGACACAAAATGCAAATGATGATGTGAGTCAAAACAAGGTACCGGTACTGGTTATGTGATTCTTTTGAATCTAAGAGAGACATTATTTGACGCATCAATCTAAATTTCTCTAGGCTCATCAGCGCTTTCCCTCCATACTCTTCCAGGGAAAGTCAGGAACAATGTTTGTTGATAGACGGTTCAAGATTAGAGTTTTGGTGGGGTGGTAATCATTAATGATGCATCGAACAATAAGTTTGCCAATGTTGGCCGAAATATAATACTGTATTGTAGAAAATAGCACAATTCTCACAGCTTTCTAATTTCCTTCTCTCAGTCCGCTCTGGGTGAGACTTACAGGACCAAGATTCTAATAAACCAGGGCGTGGTGCAGCGATGCAGCTCAAAGAAGACTCATCACCGACAAACATGAAGAACTTTAAATCTGTACCACTGTACCGGACCTTCAAGCAGAGATTACCTCCAAACTCAATACGTTTTTTTGTGAACAATTATCGCCGTTAGCACTTGTCTATGAAACAAAAATAATCTATCTCTAGAGAAGGAGGCTGGAATTGACAACACATCCAATGACCAAGATTTTCCGTGTATTTCATTCCATCGATACTAATTAATTGTTAAAATAAGAGAATTTCCTATTTGTTCACTTCAGGATTTAAAAAGGCTTTGTGGAGAAGTCTAGAAAAGATATTGTGAATATTGGACAGGCAGGGACAACCAGTGGGTGTACGAACTGACGGGACACTGCAAAAAACTGATTTGTAAATATCTTTTGATATATCAATTCGCATATTATAAAAATTGTCACAATCATTCATTAGAGATAAAACAATCAAAATATAAATTCTAATGTCAAACAATTAAAGAATGAATTTGTGAAAGTTTCCGAAAGTTAAGAAGTGTACCGTCAATTCATGCACCCACTGGTGGACTCGGGAAGATGGACGACTGATGTGATGATTGAAAGCTAGCGAGAGACTGAAAAGTAACCAAGATCAAGAAAGCGAAGATCTGCAGGGTTGTGATTGTAGTAGGGAATAGGTCGTATAGGTATTGTTACACATGCACGGCAACAAAAAAAACGCTTGATAGCTACTTGCGTGATCATCAAAGCAGGAAGGCTCAAGGCAGACCAATCCAAACCCATCTTTTACATGCATACGTTTTTTTCTCAAGTTCACAATCATATGTAGAGCGGCATAGAGTATACTGCTATTGTCTCAATTCATTTGTCAAATATGATGATATTATATTAGTTGGTCTTGAGCAAAATCGAAGAAAAACTGGGAAAGATGAGCGCGCGTAGAGGAATAGCAGGCCTTTCGAAGAACCGATCTAGATGCAGGTCGTCAGTCAGGTAGATGCCGTTACGAAACTTACCATTGCTAGTTCGCGATGTAAATGCGGTGTAGCGGTGATAAACAATTTTCTACACACTGCCACTCTCTCTTGTCTTGGCGTTTGAAAATGATGAAAGAAATTTTGCTTATATTTCACCTGGCTGGTATCTGTGGCTTGCAATTGGATCCAAAGGATATTTGAGGAGTGAAGTGGCTTCGCAGGATAACTTACCTAAGGGGAGAACTCACTTCACGCCTAACAAAATGGGTTGCAAATGGTTCGCAAACCACATTCAGATGCGTAAAATGCTCTACATATATCACTCTTTTCCCTTCACACCTTCACATATCACTACCGGTCGCAACACAACCTCATTTGCTTTTTCAGAGTTGTGTAGTCAAATATATTTCTATCATTACTTTCAATACTACATACTTCGCGGTCTACTTCCTCCAGATCTAGATAAATTTAGATCCCATTTTTATCACAGGGCATACTATATTTCAACCTTGCTCCTGTGCATATCTAGTCACTATTAGTAGACATACCACATACACGTTCAACACTTCTTCTGCATTCTAGTATCGATAATCTTTAGCAAACGATCCCCAACACTATATATACTCAACTATAATCAACCTTTACAACAAACATCCATCATGGCCAAGCATTCAAAAAACCAAGGACAAACTGCTAGCAAGCCAAAGCAGAGGACCAAGAAGTATTGCTTTCATTCGAGCTCATACGTGGAGTATCACTGACACTATCCAGGTCTAGGAGTGAAGAAACGTCTCATGAACCCACTGCGCAGCCGAGCAGCAGCGATGACCAGAGACACGAGTTCAATACTATCGCGCATTCAGAAGCAAGAACAACACCTCAAGAGCAGATCGGTGAAGGGGTTCAAGACTTTGACGCTGATTTCATGATGGTTGAAGACAGAAGCACCGAGATTGATCTTGCCCCCACGCCTCAGGAATGGGGTTTTGATGAGGCCAATCTTCTTCTCGAAACACCGGAGCAAGTACTTCAGGGACCAGTCAACGTTCCTTTATCTGCGAGTGACTTTGATAACGATCGTAACCTATTCCATCACATAGGTGTTCATTTCCCGATTCCCACTCACTTCGAAACCCAATTCACCGGGTACACTTTACCACAATGGTCATGGGAACTTCCTGTCACGACAGTTCATAGGCATCTTACTACCACCAATCTCGATACCCTTCCGGCGACGACTCAATATCAACTGGAGAGATGGGTGTATGAGAACGATCATGATGAGGTAACAGTAGGCTTCCTTCTCATCAATCACCAGCGGACGACTAACTGCTCATTAGCCTGCCGATCGAATGGAAGGAGATAAATATAACCTTTAGACCAACAATCAGCACCCGAATACTCATCATTGATGAAATGTAAGTGCATGGCATGCCTTACTCTTGTTATCACCTAACAGTGACCCAGAATTCATAGATAGCGACTGGTTGTGCGAGAATCGCGAAGTGATGATAAAGTCAACCAATCGGAGGAGCATCGCCGGAAGCCTTTGAATACCAATGACGTGCTACGCCAGTCCAAACCTCTCGATCTCGAATGTTTTCTTCGATGGCCATAATATACCATTCAATCTCTCCTGCGAACTCAGAACAAGCACTATTCAAAGCTGGTACCGTATCGGAGAATGGAAACAATATCGGTCAGGTATAACAAGTCAGAAGCGTTTACCAAGCGTGTACCGTTTCTGGAGCGACTCGAAAATCAACAAAAAAACAGTGACAAGCTCTGATTGGGCTGCAAGAAACTCTATTGCACGAAAAGCACAATTTTTTTTAGCCTCTGAACATCCACCTGCGAGTCTTCATATATTTCGACCAGCGTCAGAATGCGCCATTCCTGCTATAATGTGGCGCTACGGTATTCATTCAGTCCTGGGTCATCGAATGATTGAAGACATGGATTCCCTGATTTATCTGAGCATATGCTTTAATAAATCTACCTCGTATATCAAATGATGGCCTTGTTGTACGAGAACTTGCTTGCACATTAGAATAGCTGGACCCGATGTTTGAGCGATCCAGAGAGAGAAAGGAGTTCGCCTGCTCTAGCCAGCCGCATATCACAAGTCCTTTGGTACCAGTCTGGCTTTATTTTCCGACAGCAAAGATTGTGTCGTTTGTATAGCATGGATAATTTCAAAATACTCGAGACAACAAGCGTTGTCTCTTGAACGAAAACCAGATAATCCAAGGAAAAACATTTCTTTCAAGGGAGCTTGACTGCTAGGCGAAGGGGGTATTCTATTGTTTTTGACCATGAGCCGTGTCGATTTCTTTTATTCAGCCCTCATTGCGTGTAGTGTATTGCTAGGTTTCCTCGATTTTCGCACAAGGAATGGATGCTCGGGATAAAAGTTTCTGCCAAAAAAAATATCTTGTATCGAGAAGTTATGTATAAGGTGCCATTCTCTACTGTTGTTCCCTTACAGATAGATCTATCTCAGGTTGGGCTTGTGCATCAAGAAAAAGATTTCATTTCCAAAATAGATTTGCAAGGTGGAGGAAGATGAGGAGATATCTTGATTGGAGAAGTCTTCGAGAATTTTCTTCGGAGTCGGCTGATTCTTTCTTTTTGCGACTCATTATATATATTTCTCTTTTTGACAGCCTATCTGTATTAGCGATTGACCCCCAGAATTATACATCTCGTTACCAAAGTTCAAATAGCAGTGCGGATGTGGTACAAGATGCAATCTCTCCGCGGTTTGGTGATACAAACACATTCTCCTCCATTCATAACAACTTTGTTCTAGGCCTCTTTGGTTCGAAGTAAGCGGTATAGTTGTACCAACGCACAATTATCAAGTCGTTGCCGTCATGTCGAATCCGTTTCGCAGTAAGTTCGTGAACCACTTGATGAATTTCCAAGCGTTTCCATATCAACTCACCAATGTCTGGCCCATCTGTTCCATGTACGAGCTTGATCTATCCTAGTACAAGGGTGAGCAGCCCCACTCTTAATTTAGGTTATCGGATCGAGATTCACTAGATGATGTAGATTCAACCTCGTATGCAGCCCTACGGCACGAATTAACTTCGTACCAACAATATCAACAAAATCTTCAACAAAATGAATGAGGGCTGGTATGTTGAATGAGCGTGCAGTAACCCGCGGAAGTTGGAGGGGATGGTGACTTGTTGAGTGAGAAATGTTAAACAAACCCGATTTACCCGAAGAAGTGTCATCTGAGAGAGCTCGCTTAGGTCACCCCTGGATTGGTTACATTGAACCCCACCTGTTCTATTCTAGATTTCACCCTTAATGGATTAGAACCTTTCAATTTCTTGGTTGATCGATATTATCAGCTAGCTTCACGAATTATAGCTTACTACCAAGGAAAGGTATTCGGTAATCTCGATTCCGATCTATGATCACTTAATTGCATTTACCGTTACATCGAGTTGCGTTATCTTTTGTCTGACATGATAAAGAAAACTTGATAGCTCATCTAACGAAAAAATGATACTAGATTACCAGTCATTCAATCATTCTTGGTCACTTCCAATAGTCTTCTTCCTTCCCAAGGTCCACTTTCTACACCTGGAGCCCCCCAAACCTTCACCAAAACTAACCCCACACTCTCAATCAGCTCTTTGAATTGTTTCTCGGTCCTTTCTAATGCCGAAAATCCTCCCATCATCATCCAGTCTGTACAGGCACTCTCGAATGATGCATTCTCTTCTTGCATCAAATTCTCATTGATCAATAACATACTGTCTTTACCCATCGCATTCTTAATTTGCTTCAGAATAACAGAAGCTTGCTTGTCAGGCCAATCGTGCAAGACATTGGCGAGAAAATAAGCTTTTGCATTGTGGATAGGTTGTGGTTTGAAGAAGTCATATGGTTGAGCTTCAATGCCGCCAGGAAGAGAGCTTGGTGCGATACCAGAAACCACTACCGGGATATCTTCTACAATAAGTTTCCCTTGAAGTTTTGGATGTGCTTCTTTGAAACGAATTAAATCATGTCCAATACCTCCTCCAATATCAACTATCAGTGGATCTGTAGGTGATTCTACCTTGAGCTTTTTTGCAACGGGAAAATACTCATACCATGCTGTGCGACCAATAGTGCGGGGAATGGTCATCACGGTATTGAAGGCATGTTGGATACGCGGTTGAGTAGCCATCCAATCAAAACAATGGAGGTCTGTTTGTCGAGCAAACTGGAATGGACCATCGTATGCATCGTTGGGGCTCTGATAGCCTTTTTTGGCAAAGTATGTTGGGAGAGCGGCTACAACTTCATTTTGGGTTGTGCTAGAGATTGTTAGATATGGAACAGAAACTATAGGACAAGTGTGGCATACAAATGGATCACTGCTTGGCCATATGGAGATGATGTGACGAGAGCGCTTGCTAGTGGTGTGGGTTTGTAGATTTCTCTGGCTAATTCAGTGAAGTAACCCATTCCCACCAACAGTCTCATGATCCTTACTGAATGAATAGTTAGTTCCTTACGATCATCAATATCTTCAAGTAAGGACTTACCAACAAGCAACGGATCAGCATCTTTTGGCAAAGCAAGATCTTCGGCTCGAATTTCTTTCCCAGCCGCAGACAAAGCAGCTGCCGTATCAAAAATTTCCATGTCAACTGCGAGGCTAAGTGCTACTGGTTGAAGTGACTGGACTTTCGTCAGAAGTTATTCGGATATGTGAACAGGATTAATACTCACCGAGAATATCATCTTCATCAACTTATCCCGAGGACCCTCTAGGCTCGTTTGTAGTCTTCCACAAGCACTAAGAAGCTTTCCTCGATCTTCATCATTCAACTTATCAGACTCACTAGTAGCAAGATTGATAGAATCGATAAGCTCCGAGACACCCATGATGAAGACCTGTTCGATGGGAGTGGCTGTCGTGAACGGCACGTGATACGAGATCGAGAAAAATGCTCTCGCGGAATAGTTGCAATCGTAGGAATTGAAGAATTCGAACTATGGAAAAGTAGAGATAGAATTAAATATTATGGGAAACCCAGACTAAGTTCTGTAGAGAGATATATACATTTGTTATATCCGCACACGTGACCATGCCGCGCCCGCGCCCGCCTCCGCGGAGCCTCCATTGTCCGCCGGAGCCTCATATTCACAAAGAACTAGACCAAAATTGACTTGCTTGATCTTAAATGGCTAAAATTCATGGTGATCATCTGAGTGCTTTAGAACAAGAACTGTAATCTTCGCCTGAAAAATGTGTTTGACGCGTCTTGAAGCGGGCCATCCACAAATCACAATACAATGTTACTTGTGATGAACTGTAGAATGAGCAACAAAACTCTTTCGCTGACATCCACAGTAAATGCTATAAACTCGGAGGTCTATGTCCCAATGTCTCTAGGATATCATTTGTGTTGACTTCACAAGCAGATGTCTGAATTACCTTATTGTAAAACAAGAATGTCACGTTTCCTGGACGATGGTAACTTGCGCTAAAACCAAGTTAGTACTAGCGTGTTAAGCAGCACGTGTAAACTTTACAAAACCTCCATGTTGTACAACATGGAACCTCTCAGAAAATTTACGAGCAACTTCTAGACGCATCAATGATGTACTATTCTTGATTTTTGAGGCTTCTTCTCGACTCATTGATAGGATCGCCCGACAGTGTCAACATACCTACTCATTCTTCGCGTTACGTCCTATCTGTGGCGAGAAGAAAAACTGAGAGAAGGGAAGGTGAGGCAGTAGATTGGAAGTCATCCTCTGCAGGTCAATGTGTGTCCGCAGTGAAGAGAGGATCGACATCAGCCACAATTTGCGAGCAATTATTGGATCCAAACTCAAATGTACCCCTCACGTTCATGTCGTGTTTATGTTACAGCTCAAATCAAGTCGGATCAGGCTAGACGTTACTGTCAAGTTGTGTTATTCGGGCTTTCCGAAGAATCATCCCACTTTAAATGAATTGGCCAGAGTATTAGCTTGCAGTGCAAGGCAGACTCAATTCCCGTATTTGAACGGAAAAGCTCGAAGCAGAAGCTCAAGCAGGAATTGAAGTATCAATCCGGTAGGGCTTGCATGAAAGATCGACCATAAAATTTGAGCCGCAGAAACTGCTCGCAGCTTCCTAATCATCATTAAATCAGGGAGTTTTGTCACGTGTCGGTGTATAAATGTCGACCTCGCATTATGATAATATTAACCAAGCTGTCAACGCTTCAGGGGTAATAAGAGTTCGTTATTTCTGTTCAACACCTGTGTGTTTGCGGGGCCTTCAAATCATCGATTATGAATTTGTTACACCACCCCGTTATCACTGTCCCTAAACAATGGTTGATTAACATGCATTTCACTCATCTGAGATTGATGAGTTCGTTGTGTTGTCTGCAGGCTTCTTCTTTAAGACTTCGTGTGGCGAGTTTTGCTAGTAAATGTAAGATGCAAACATTGTAACGGGTAGTGGCAGTTGAAGTTGCCGTCTGTTGTACAGCACACCACACTTACTCACACATGAAACTCTACGTACTACTTCAAGATGTAAGACATTCTCCACAAATCAATGCTATACCAACGTCTTGGTCTCGATACTGTTCATTTTGATGCAAGCCACTATCATATTGATACCCTCCACATCAGACTTGAGGTGCAAGGCTCCCTAGATATTTCGTTCCAAACTACCTGTATCTATAGCCTCTCCATCATACCTGATACGTGAAACTCTAATAGATTCTTCGGCTCAGCATTTATCTAATGAGAACTTTCCGCCAAAATTTTCCAGCTCCTGATTCCATTAACTAAGCAAAGAAAGATGTCTGCAACTCCTATGGGATCATGCCCCCTCGGCGGTAGTTGGTAAGTTTCATCTTATATTAAGGTCATGAATATCGCTGATAGATTCAATATTTTAGGTGGATATGTCTGAATCAGTCGCCGACATTCTTCGGGTGTTGCGCCAGTGATCCATGTAATGGAATTGGTTGCCCTGAAGAAGACCTCTTACCTGCGGGTATGGGGACAGCGAGTGGCCCGGATGCTTCTAGCAACGATGGATCATACTGGCCAAATGCGGATTGCCCCAACGGAGGAGTCTGGTATACTTGCTCCCGACAGACTCCGTCATTTCAAGGTTGCTGTGACGATAGCAATGCACCTGGTTCAATCGAGAAATTTGATCCATGCCACGAAAATGGTTGCCCGTCATCAAGGCTCTACGCTGCAGCATTCAGTAGCGTTCCAACTACATCTGCCTCCGTTGTTATCTCTAAGTCTTCCTCTGTCCCCACTTCGTCGTTGTCTATTTCGCCATTTTCAACTTTATCGTCCTCGACTTCATCATCTTCAGCATTATCTTCGATCTCTGCATCTTCTTCAAAATCTTCATTTTCTACCTCCTTATCCACTGTAGGAAATTCCGCTGCTGACACCAGTTCGAATCAAACTCCGTCATCTCAAGGATCGGCCACAGCGAGTGCGACAGTAGGTTCAACTGGGCACAGTTTAAACTCAAAACTACCTATTGCTGCAATTATAGGGAGCGCTTTAAGTGGAGTAGTTTTTATCCTACTTGTTCTCTTAGTTATCTTTTGCGTCCAACGACGTAAAAAGAGAGCTCCATTGGCAGGTGCAGTCGAGCCATATTATCAATCGCCACCTCAAGACATGACCATGGTTAAAGTAGCTTCGTCACCTTTCGTATATGAAGGCAGCCCTTCAGACGCTAAAGCACCGCAGAAAGGTAATTGCAACTCTTCCAGAAACAGCAGAACGTCTGATTAATAATTTGACAGATTATCGTCCAGTATCAGAGATACCATCATCTCCACCTCTCAGTCCTGCCCCACCATATCAATCCGCACCTCAATCTCCAAACTTCTCTAATTACCATGAGATTGACTCTTCTATTTTACATGAAGTCGAATCACCACCTCTTGAACAAAGATCATTTATCACTCGACCAGGGACAGTAGAAATGCCAGATACATCTGAGGATCCTTTCCGAGCATCATTACCGGAAGTCTTGAAGGCGGGATCTTCCAGAAACTGAGATATATGGGACCACATTGGAGCGACTTTGAGGAGTGGGAAGCTTTTTCATTTTCACGTATGTTTCTTCGGATCTGCCTTACGAATCTTACCTTTATTGTTATTCACATGGTATTTTCTATAATGAATAATGGGGTGTTCAAAGAATACTGCTCAATTCTTGCACGAATTTTTATTCGAGAGAGGTGAATCAGTCTCTCGTGATATTCTTTTTATTGATTCACAAATTTAGTGACGAATTCCTAATCAGCCCAACTTCCATTTTTTTCTCAATTTCTTTTTACAAAAGGTTTACAAGAAGCCTTGTACTCTTCAGCTCAAACATTTTCTAGCACTTTCTTAATTTATCCCTGGAACTCCAAATACCATATTTCATCCTGACAGCCCACCTTACCCGGCTTCCACTTACATTCTGGCAATATGACAAACAACACTATGGGTACTTGTCCTCTAGGAGGTCTTGTGAGTATAATCTTTTCCTTGCTTTTAAACCAATCTGTTCGAATCTTTCCAGAGTATTCGTCCCGTACATGTCCATTCATTATCTTACAGACCATGACTAACCAAACGTTTTGATAGTGGTGCGGTTCTCATCTATCATCTTATATAACAATACTGAATGATCAAATCATAGGTATACCTGCACAGCTCAAACGCCAACCTTCTTCGGATGCTGTACAAGCAACCCATGCAACAACAAAGGATGCCCAGCAAGCGATCTTCGAGCGGCTGGACTCGGACACGGGGAAGTTGGAGACGAGGGATCAATGAATCTTGGCTCCTACTGGCCGAACGTGTATTGTTCTTCTGGAAGTTGGTGGATATGTTCAAGCCAAAACCCTTCATTTCAAGGGTGTTGTGATATCGATCCATGCTCGAGCAACGCTACCAATTGCCCTCAACCACATCTATATCCTGCGGCATTTAAGTCGGTAACTACTGCTTTGAGCTTTCCTGGCTCACAGGGTACTACCTTTCAGACGAGTATCCTTCCAACGGTAACTTTTCCACTCCCTACCATTTCTATGACGACCCCGCATGTAGCATCTACAACTGATCAATTTCTATCATTGGCATATCCAGACTCTTCAAAGGCTACACCTTGGAATAATACAGAGTACTCGACCCAATCATTGTCGGACCATTCAAACTCTGGAGCTGAGCCTACAACATCCTCAATCCTCTATTTTACCACATCCGGTATCCCAATTTCCACCGGAATTGTGCCACCAAGTACAATATTCACTAATTGCGGTGATGCCAACAATAAAAGCACATTTATAGCAGCTTTTACGAGTGTTGTGACCGTAACATCGATATCGACATTCACAGCTGTCCGAATATCAGTGTATACAGTACCTTATAGCTCATCGAATACCCCTTCCATCCCTGATTCACTATCCTTATTTACAACCACATCATCTCCAGTCACAAACTCTCCTGACTCCTCATCCATAACGTCCCTTCTCTACGTAGCCAGCTCAACATCCTTATCTCCTACGACTTCCACTGCGCTCCCTTCCGGCACTGCAACCGATACGAAACTCATCCCCTGGGGTGCTACTGGCGGAGTCGCTTTTATCTTGGTCTTCGCACTCGTTTCCTGGTTTCTACATCGTCGTCGAAAGCGAGCCGACAAGACAAGCAGAAAACCAATCATCACTTCCTTATCTACTCGACTACCATGGAAAAATGCACCGAAAGAAATCCCCCGCATTTCTCTCTCCAGCTATCCTTTCAAGGGAATGGCACCATCTACATCGAACACTAGTGAAGAAGGCATAGATGAGACATGGTCTGCCAGCTTGGGAGACTATCGGAATCTGGGCCTGATGGATGTATCGAAATTAGGGTTGAATAATAGTACGTGTCTCCTGCTGTCTGTGCTGCTTTCAATAAACTAACGATCCATAGATTCAGAGCCTAGTAGTCAAAAGCCAGCGCACCTCTCTGGATATGAATCGCATTATTCACGACCATTCCAATCTCAGGCTTTACATAACAATGAAATTTCAACATCTCCTGGAGGAGGATTGTATAGGAATTCTTTTGCTCAGAGAATGGTGCAGAGTGGCTGGGCTGCAGTTGATTTGCAAAGTAGTTATGTAGCGCGAGATGATGAAAACGGATTGCATGGTGAGAATGATAGGAGGCGTTGATGTCGAGTTGGGAAGAAAATCATTTGTTCCTGTGGTAAAGTCATTCTTTTAATGAGGCTGGTCGTATTTTACGTATTCGTATCAGAAATCTAATTATCTATCTAAATATCAAATTCTCATACTTGGCCTTACACTTCGAGCTCCCCGTCTCCAATCACTGTAACTAACAAAGGCACTTTTGATTGAGTATCGTCCTACATCATCTCATTCCATCCCATGCCACCATTCTTTGCTCTTCTCCTCTATGGTCACGTGCAGATATCCTGCCACGATTACCAGACGCGAATCCACCCATCGTCACACTGCATAAACATGAAGATCTGTTTATCAATTGTGACACAAACTCCACCTGAAATCGGACCAACAGAGGCGCGATTAAGGTACTCGTTCGTCCAGTAAATAGAACAGCCGCGGAGAACTCTACACGTGTTTTTCAGGAAAAATAAATACTTCTGATTTACAAGTACCAAGAGTCGATTTCATAGAGCTTCTGAGCAGGCGAGTATTTAATATGCTACCCATGAACCTCCTCGTCGCCGAGTAGGTACTGTGTGAGCCCCTAGGTATTCAATCGAGTCGAAAGTCGAAAGTCGAAGACATAATCGAATTTGCTAATTCGTTAACACCGATTTAGCGTATGTAGCGTCGGAGTTGTACACTTTCTGGCTGGACGGAAGGTTGTGCTATCGTCGTGCACGGAAGAAGATGCGGGGTTGATTATAAACTAGCCGTGTTGCCAGCGACCTCTCTTCTTTTTTCTCTCTTTAACCTCAACCCTTCCAACGAAAACAACAACAAATCAGCAACTCGAGGATTAAATTCTGGTCATATAACTCCAATTTTCTTTCAATTTCGATCTCAAAATAATCAAACAAACCGCCAAAATGTCCGTAATCGTCACCGTTATATACCCCAAGACCGAAACCTCAACTTTCGACTTGGATTACTATATGAAGACACATATGCCACTTGTTCAGGAGAAATGGGGTCCCCACGGACTGAAGAACTGGACTGTTACCAAGTTGGATGAGAGCACAGATTACTCTATGTATGTTTTCCTCGAGTCTTGTGTGCTGTTCTTATCCCAGATATATATATGTATCTCGGAAGAGAATGACTGGACATCGAATGTCATTTATGTGATATAATAGCTAATAAAATAATAATAGGCAAGCACTCCTCTGGTTCGAGAGCAAGGAGGCATGGGCTAAGGCTGGAGAGGCCGAAGGACCAACTATCATGGGCGATGTTCCCAACTTTAGCTCGGAGAAGCCTTTGCTTGTTTTTGGAGAAGAGGTTAAGAGAGTTGTTTAAGGGGATGGGTGCTGAAATATAGCAATGATTGTTGTGATGCGCGTCTTGGTTGAATGACCTGGGCGTCGTACGTACTCTAGTGGTAAAGACAATACGATTCTGAGATAGTATGCACAGTCTTATATCTACATTGGGGAACCCAAATTGCGATAAGTCGGTGACTTTAGTATGGCAGTGATTATTAGCTCCTTCATATTTTCATGTCTCTTCTCAAGCGAAGAAAGGACAAAGAAGCTTTCCCAATTTGCGAGTTTATTCTTCAAATTCCCAAGGATTGAGTTTGTTGGGAAAGCTCCTTTTGTAGCATCATTTTTCTCCCTCTAACTGATCTACATGCCCCAGAAAGCTAGGAAGGCGTGCGTCGGGGTCCAAAATGAAAGTACATGTCCCTTTGTTCTTGTTCCTGCTCCGGAGTGAACCATTCCTTCCATGCCATCATCAATACATCCTTCCTCTTGCGCTTGCTTTCTTCTCTCCTTTGCCGTGATTTTTCCATTTCCGAAAAACAATCTGCACATCGTTTATGTGCAATCCAATTGGAGGGCAGATTTGCCTTTGGTGTGGCTCTCCTACACCGACAGATGTACACATCCTCGCCGTATACTTTAATAAATTTACCAAGCCGATACCATCCCTTCCATATTGCACATTGCAGGCAGAGACGAAGATGGCGCTGCGGTCCATTGCGGATTCTTTTCCCTTTTGTCTGAGTGTCTCTGAATTTGGATACATGTCGCAAGCGTAAACAGTTGTTACAAGCTAATAGTTGTTTGCTTGTTGCATAATCTTCTGATTCGGTAGCAAGGATTAACTCACGGAGTTCTTCATCAGTGGGAGTAGGAGCTGGAATGGTGGTGTTGTAGAAATGGTTTGTCTGTCGCAGTTTAGTTTTTCCCATAAATCCTAAATACCCGATAATCTTGTATTGGATCTCGGCAGGTAGGCTTTCCAAAGTGCGGGGCTCAGGACTTGAGCAGGATGTTGACAATTTGATAGATTCGAGGTATAATAGGCATGCAGTGTGGAGTACCTTTGCGGCAGGTGCTGTAGGTGTTGGCGAGCACCATATCTTTGCTAGGAGTTTACACTCGGTTGACATTGTGAAGATATTGTGGTTGGAATGGCGTCTAGACGATGGGTGACTCGATGAGGTTGATTAAGTCAAAAAGTTGTTCCAGTGTAACTGGTGTATCTGAGAACCTCGTTGAGATGATATGGGAGTGGTGATGTTAGATTGACACTGTGTCGAGAATTACAAGGTCTAATTAATTTGACGGAAGACGCATATATGACTCTCTTGATAATGAGAAATGGGAAAATTGTGATGACTATGTTATGAGATGATGCGTATGATGAATTTGGAAGTATTAATGGACGTTATATGATTGAGATATCGAATTGATACAATAAAATTATAGTAAGGACAGAAAGATGGGATTTATATAATATTCGAATTTTTAAAAGTGTGGGAAATGTCATAAGCTACCCAGATAGATAGCGTGGAGAGACTAGTCGATTGCTGGTGATCTACCAGGCTAGATTTTATGTTTAGAAGTAGATGAATGGGTTTCATTGGCCAGGACCAGGAAATACTTGGTTAGCATTCGTGAGCCTCATTAATCAAGACGTCTTAAAGGCCAAATTTTATTACATGTGGCCTTAACTTATCTATGAACACTGTGTCATTTCCTATGATGCCATTACGGTGAGTTATGAGACTCAGTTAAGATCATTTGATTTACCTTGAAATTTTTTTGGCACTACCAAATAGTGTCTTCCCTTCTTGTGCTTTACTGCTATGGATTCATATGTCCCGCGAGTTGTCTGGCCAAGAAGAAAAATGATTAGTAAGTCATTCATAAAGTAACTCTACCTCTTCTCAATGTTTTCTCTTCGTATAGAGATCGAAGCAATGTCATATATAAAGATTGATATAGGAGGATTGGATTACACCCATAGATACTTTCCCTTTTCCAACACCGATTCAGGATTGAACTGAGCCATTCCTTCTAATTTCCCTCGCTTATGTCCTTCGGTTTCCTCATCTGGTCACTTCTTTCTTTACACACACACACACCCGAGCAATCCGAAACAATAAGCAACTGGTCCAAACGGAAAACTATCAGATAACCGACATGCGCCGGGAATCTTGTAGAGTTGTTGTAACCAACTTCCTCATTCTCAGACCATACCTGGATCGTTATTCAAATCCAAGAATTTGAATCTCAAAACGGTGCATAATTATTACCTCGAGTATAAAGCTGGTATCGCACAAGCACCTCGTTACTAGACTGGAGACTGGACAAAATTATAGTTGTGCAACAAAACTTCCATGTACACAGGCCAATACACCGGGTACTCTCGGCAAGATAAACGATGTGCAACAAAACTTACAAAAGTGCATCGTATATGGGATGTAGATGTTTATGAGTAATGGATGTCCAAGACTTACCCTTTATCCATCTTCTACTTTTGATCTGTTACCTTTTGTTGAATCTTGTCGTTTTCAAGGCGTAAAATGCCATCGTGTGGTTTTGTTGACCCTCAACGCGATTTTTGAGCAGACATCCAAATGCTGTATAAGGTAAGGCCAAACAAAGTGTGAAGGATAAATAACCTTTAATTCTCTTGACAAAGAAAATCCAACGGTAAACAATTTACCATATCAGATGCTAAACAACAAAGAATATAAGAAAGAAGACCTCAAAACCCAAAATCCTCGCTTCCTCTAACAATGGAATTTTTCCAATACCAATCCGGAGCTCTAAGAAAAGAAAAACATATGAAAAACTGACTTTTTAGTTGTATTCTACGAAGCTCGAGAATTTTAAAGATTACTCACATCTCAAAATGGCCGCTCAGCCATCAACGTATACTCGCCTCGCAGAATCGCACACGCATCCTACTGGAGAAGACCATAAAGCGTTGCATCGACTTCCTGGCTTACTCAAAAGCGGTATTACGCCCATTACTCCGCCTCCATACGAAAATTACTATAAACATAAAGCTCACCAGGACTTGAAATGGTACCAGTCTCAAAGATTTGGTGGTATGTCTCTCTTTTTTGTTTTTGTGCCACCTCTTCACTCCAGAATTTCCACGCGAGAACAGGTCTAATGTTAATTGGCTTCATGGATAGGTTTCACCACGCAAGAGCTCCATCTTCACGATGCGTTTGCCCCGTATTCGAATTTGAAAGCGACTGGACAATTAACCTGTCCTATTCATCCGATTCTGCAAAGATCGAAATGGAGACGGCAATTACCTGCTCAATTGGCTAGGTACCCACTCGGGAATGGACGAGAAGGATACTGGGATGCTGTAAGGAAAGGAAATGAAAATGAATGGGATATATGCTGATAATTCGAGATGGTAGTGGGAAAATGATACAGTTTGGAATATGATGGTACCATCATTACAATTAACAACGATGTTTATGGCAAATTTGTATACTTGGCCTTGGTGAGTTTCTCTGGTTGCTGGTGCAATTGAATGCTGACTTTGTAGGTTTGACGCATTGTTCTTTGGAGAAATGGAAGAGGTAGACCCGGTTGATCTACCACCGGAACTACGAGGGAAGAAGGGATATCAACGATTCAAATTACGACGCCCCGAGATATGTGCCCAAGCTAATGAGCGTATGCGTGTTCAAGAAATGCTTGAAAGGTTTCGGGATGATGTTATTCTGGATCTGAGTAGTGGACACACAGATACTAGATCCGGATTGCCAGATGAATTTGAGTTTGCAAACACAAATGGGGCTCTGGATATAGTTACCAAAAGAGGAATAGGTATATCAATGGCTTTTGAAATTCTGGAACCATTCTTTAATGCCAAGATAACTGAAGCGGAGCGAATGATAGTTTCGTATAGATTTGCGGCCACCTTACTGCATGAGCTTTGTGTAAGTCCTGTCAAAATTTACATATATATAGAGATAGTTAACGAATGATTCTGGTGCTGACTGTGAGCATAGCATGCCTTTTGGGATTGTCTGCGGAAATGGGGCATAAGAATGGATGGTGAGGATGTCGTTGGGCAGAATTTGGAACCATGGTTCGAACATCAAAGAACGTCCGAATTGTATGTGTTGTCTTCGATCAAATCCCCAATTCCGTCGATACTTGCTGATTGATTGTAGAGGCTTCTCAATGGAAAGCTTTGTGAGGCTACCCTATGTTTTAACTATATTCCCGTTCCACAGTAAGCTGATACTTTCGGAAGGTATTTGGCGGCATCGCCCAAGATTTCTTGCGGGAAGAAAGTGTGCCTTGTCGGGGCATTCCGCCTATGGGATTTTATCTGTAGGACTTGGATTTTGTCCCTCCTCCAAAATACAATACTAATCGAAGCAGGAGTGAATTTGACAAATCAGTAACCGAGCCATTAACAACAAATCCATTGATTCTCATTAGAAAGCCTCCAAATTATTTTATTTCACATGTATGGCCAATAACTTTGACTTATTTTATCGATATTCAGAGCCAACTTTGGTGGAATACATACAAAGCGGTGTGGGTCGTTTCTGTAAGACTACAGACTTTGGGTTTGCTAATTCTTAAACATAGATTCGGACCTAGAAGTACGCATATTCCGAAACTATACGGGAAAAGAACCATCAATAGGCCAGATGGTTTACCTCCTGAACCACCCGCTGCTGGCTTCGAAACCATAGATTTAGACACCAAGATGATAGAAACGGAACCGAAGGATCAAATCCAGAGCATTGTAGATTGGTTTCGCAACTCGTATAAGCAGCGCGCCCATGCAATCAGAAATGCAATAATTGCTCACGGGAATTTAGAATCTAGTTACTTGCTACCACCCAATCCTCCACCAAGGGGTGATGAAGAGGAGGATGAAGAATATAATGAAGAAGAAGAGGAAGAAGTGGAAGAGGGAGAAGACGACGACGAAGAGATACCTTCTTGTCCACGTTATGATGAGATCAAAAACTACTTAATCAACCAGAAAAGAGAATTGGCTATTGATACGATGAGATTCAGAATGCCAGAACATACCCTTCATCAATATATACGTAGGAATGGCGGAATAGATTTGAGTGCCGAAGAATGGAGAGAATTTCTCTTGAATTCTAGCGAGCGTAAGGAATTATTTCAGTAAGATACTCGAAGCTACGCGCTGTAGATTTTATGGCTAACAGATCAGAATCCGAAACAAGAATGGAAAGCCACCAACCCCGTACCATGCAATTCTCCGCACTCTTAGTAATGGGTGGCCTACAAGCTTACCAGCTCCGACAACTCCGATGCAAGTAAGAGTTTCTGGGGCACAGGTAGAATGCTTCTCCAGTGCAACTAGGATCTATTTAGCAGACAGAAAAGAACCTTGGTACAGATTAGATTTTTGGGATGCTGATCTGGAGATATTTCTAGTACTGTGTAATAACTGGATGGCTGATAATAACCAAGCCCCTCTCCCAAGGGACATTTTCGAGGCATGTATACGAGCAGGTATACAGCCTCGATTTGTGTAAGTTTCGGATGTCCAGATTTCCTGAATGGCTTACTAATATTACAGTCTTGGCCCCAAAGGTATTATTCGCAAATTACCTGGGTCGCCTCCGCAACCAAAGAAATCCAAGAAAAGGTCTGCCCAAGGCCCTCAACTGGGTCCTCCTTCAAAACATCGGGGTCAAAATTGCTCTGGATGATGGGTTTCGCTTTGTTTTATTGGCATGAAAAGTATGTATACTGAATGCATCTATCACTTCACTGCAGTTAACAAATGGACCCGCTATCTATATATCGTGTGTGCCTTTTGATTATGTATTTGTGCCGCGTTCGATGAGGTAAGTGCCTGGGATTTGATAACGATAGGGAATTATAATGATTTGCATGCATGCAATCTATTACCGGGGAGATAGCGTCCAGTCATGGTGAGTGTAGTAGACAGCCACGAATTGTAGTCTAGAACCCTTGTAGCGGGTTTGTCGATGAACAATCGCAAGATGCAACGGTTTGCAACGGTTGGTAGTCCCGGCAGATAAGATAAGATTCCGATAATTCTGCCGTAAAATGGAAGTAGAAGGCGGTGATAATTAACAGCGCCCAAACCCAGAACTTTCCGGAAGATTAGTTTGTATCTGCTTCCTGCTCATTACCCAAAACGCGATATCAATGACCCGTTACCACTGGTTGCAGTTGAAGAATTATCAGGGTCTGTACACAAAAAAGGAAGGTGTATATTTCTTATCATACAGCAAATACGCAATGCTAGCTTGGCAAATCCCCTGCATAAAACACCCTGCGGCAAATGATAGCCGTGTGGTACCCCCTCCAATTCTAGGTTGTTTTTATCTCAGAATGGAAGTCCTTATCGAAAGATCAGTGATGAGAATTAATGGAAGTTCCATTGGTTGATAGACAATGAAGTATCGTTATCTTCCCTCGCTACATTGTTGGTTCAATGTTGGGGTAGGACGACGATTCGCATTGAAATACAAAGACATATCCTGACTGCATTTCGTACAACACGATAACAAACTTTCTTCCCAATGTTACCAAAATGTCGTCGGAAATATCAGCAAACGCAAGGCAAGATCTGAATGAGAAAAGTGGCAAAGGTCAAGATGCTGAGATCAAAGTGGGAACGCAACACATGCAAGAATTGGAGGTTGACGTTGGAAAAATACTCAATGATGAAGGGCTGGATGATATAGAAGGCGATACATCGCCATATCCTGAAGGTCAATATAAATACACATTCTGAGGAAATAGTGAAACTAACAGCATTCCAGTCAGAGCCGTAGTTCCAGAAGTCGACGATCAAGCCATTCCTGTCAATACTTTGAGGATGTGGATTTTAGGGTTTGCTTTCACTATGATTGGTGCTGGTATCAATCAATTCTTCAGTCTTCGTTACCCCTCAGTTCATATTGTTGCACTCGTTGCTGAACTTCTGGCAATGCCTTTTGGTATACTTTTGGCAAAGATTTTACCCCTCTACACTCTCAATCTAGGGCCTCTGGGGAAATGGTGTATCAACCCCGACAGGCATTTCAACATCAAGGAGCACACTGTGGTAACCATCATGAGTAACGTAAGCTTTGGTTATGGAAGCGCAGACTCAACGAGTATTATTCAAGCTGCAAAAGCATTTTACAACTTTGATTTGAAGCCTGGCTTCTCAATTCTTATCGTCCTTTGTTGTCAAATGATGGGTTTTGGCGTTGCGGGGCTATCTTCCCCTTGGTTGGTAGAGCCAGCTTCTATAATCTGGCCAGGTGTGCTGTCTAATTGCGCTTTACTTTCCACATTACATTCTCGAGCAAATGCTATCGCCAATGGCTGGGAGATTAGTCGATTACGATTCTTTATGTATGTTATGGTTGGAGCGGGAGTGTGGTACTTTTTTCCCGGTTTAATATTTGTGGCTCTCTCATATTTTACTTGGGTCTGTTGGATTGCTCCAAACAACCTGATCGTCAATCATCTGTTCGGAATGGTTACAGGTCTCGGATTGAGTCCGATCACGTTTGATTGGTCACAGATAGCATATAACACAAATCCTCTACTTTCGCCAGCGTGGGCCGGTAAGTCGCGTTTCTATTTTATGTATTCAATCCAAATGGCTGACAAAAACTCATAGCTTTAAATGTATTCGGTGGGTTTGTGGTTTTCTTTTGGATTGTTACCCCTGGTCTTTAGTAGGTCAAAGCACATCACTCCTCAGTCAATCTAAATATTGACTCTCATATCCACAGTTATGCAAACGTTTGGTACACAGCCTATCTTCCACTTTGTTCGGCTGATGTATACGATAACACCGCATCCCTATACAACGTTTCCCGGATCATGACTTCGTCGAATACTTTGAACGCAACTGCATACGCCGAATATTCACCTGCATTCCTTCCTGCTACATTTGCTTTCGTATATGGTATATCTTTTGCAGCCATTACCGCTGTTCCAGTGCACATATACCTCTGGCATGGCACTCAAATTCTTGATGCATTTGCTGGTCGGACTAAATTGGATATCCATGCTCGTTTGATGCGCCTCTACTCACGGACTCCTTGGTATTGGTATGGAGCTATCACCGTTATAATGCTTGCATTAGGTATTGTGATGGTCGAAGTTTATGATACGACCTTGCCGTGGTGGGCTGTTATACTGGCAGTAATCATACCGGCATTTTACATGATTCCATGTGGTATTATTCAGGGGATAACCAACGTAGATGCCAATCAACTCAATGTTCTAGCCGAATTTATTGGTGGATACATGTTTACTGGGCGACCATTAGCGAGTATGTATTTTTCCATGTTAATGCGAAAGACAATGATGTAACTTACCAACTACAGATATAATTTTCAAGGTTCTTTCTACTGATGTAGTGGGCCAAGGCCTGTACTTCGCTCAAGATATGAAGCTAGGTCATTATATGAAAGTGCCACCTCGAACTCTTTTTTTCGCACAAGGAAGTGCCACTGTGAGTTGGCCTATGTATTCATCAATTCAAACAGTTCTTAATAGGTTGATCTAGATTCTTGGGGCTCTTACGCAAGTTGGAGTGACTCTATGGATGCTCGGTAATGTCAAAGATATTTGCTCAGAAGATCAATCAAATGGTTTTACGTGTCCAAATGGCCGTACAACCTTTTCTTCCTCTGTCATCTGGGGTGCAATTGGACCAGGACGCGTATACTCTATCGGCAAAATTTATTCTGGCCTGTTGCACTTCTTTTGGATCGGTGCACTTATGCCAATAATCACGTGGATTGTATGGAAATACTGGAGGAAGGATACCGGTGAAGAGAGAAGCTGGATACGACTTATAAACTGGCCGTTGATATTTGTGGGAACCTATAACGTGCCACCGGCTACGGGCATCAACTATAGTAGTTGGGCACTGGTAAATTTGACATTTAATTGGTGGATCAAAGCAAAATTCTTTGCGTGGTGGTGTAAGTACAACCCCGTCTACACAAGAGAGTTGATACTGACAGACTAAAGCCAAGTACAATTACGTCTTAGCAGCTGCACTCGATACGGGTCTTGCTCTTTCAGCAATTGTGATATTCTTCTGCATCACATATCCTGGAGCACAATTTCCAGATTGGTGGGGTAAGTTTTTCCTCTCATCTCAAGTATGCTTTGTGAAAAGTAAGATTGACTAACATTTGAGCTTATAGGCAATACAGTTTACCTCAACACGGCAGATGGAAATGGTCTTCCATGGCTTTCATTACCTGAAAGTGGTAGATTCGGTCCGGCAAATGGAACATGGAGCTGATCTAGGATTCTGAACTAAGAAATGATGTCTTGTGACGGAGTCTTGACACTAAGTGTTTGTGTGAAGTAAAAAAGAGGACATGTACCACTTAGATAAAAATCCAGGGCACGCATCTTCGATTCTTACCCGTAGCTATGAGGTAGTTCCCTGTGGAATCTGGACAAAAAGCAAAAAACATACAACAGTAGGGATTCGCTGGTGGTCACCCACCCAACTACTAATCTACCGATCTGAGGCTTGTGTATGGCAGAGCGGACGGGATGCCCAATTCTCCTCAGTCTATGGTCGTATGTGGAAGGGGAGGATGAAAGCAGCAATATATACTTCATTTACTCTCACAGCATGCTGTGCCATCATACTAGTTTCAACAGTATACGTCAAATAAGAGATTTCGAATCTTCGACAGTTTCTTAGGCATCTTCAAACGCTCGCTTCATTCGGCTGAAATATACAGTTGTGAGGTATGATAAGTGAATCATGTAAATGAGGTTGGGGTCGGTTTTACAGAGTACGAAGAAGAAAATTTATGCATATTGATGGAAGGTTCTTTGCCCATCTATTTATACTATGATACTCGAGTCTACCAAGCGCATGTAGATTGCGATAACTCTTTAACTAATAGTAACTCAAAACGAATGGCTACTTCCAACCACCCAATCAGCTTTTCACGTTGCCCTCCTAAGACGTGGAATTATGTATCACGTGATCGCACCAGATCTTAGATTAGGTGGCTCTACGATCAAGTTGGCAAATAACGCGCCAAGGCTGAAATCGATCAAGACGCTTGTAACTACGAGGTATCTTTAATTATTGTAGGATCATGAACATTTTGATCACTTTTACGGCTACCACGTGTACGGCACAACGTTCTACTTCGGCTATTCAGCGGAGAACAAGAGGACGGGTTTGTCAATCTTTCTACAACTTGGTTATTCTCCACACCTTCGATATCGAGTACAGATTCGAAGATTCAAGATTTTTGAAAGCTGACAACTAAACATGATCCATTTGGGATTGATTCATAATTCAATTGAATGAAAGATGTCAGTGATTAATTCAATGGTCGGGCCGGCCTCTTTTTTATCCGAATATCTCGGAAAGCGTACTTGTACAAACTCCAGCAATTGACATTTTCAACTTGGCACGTCAGCTTCATAGTCTTATCTTTTACTTAGCCACCACGCATTCCATCTAGCCCAAATTTGCAGTCATAGCCAGAGAAAACTGTTTGGTGACGCGTGCAGATGCTCAAAAATGAATAGTATACGTGTCGCTGAAACGCAAACCCCGCTATGAGGCCAAAATCGAGAGCGATTGAATGGCAGTTGGTAAGTCCCCGCATTGATAAGGTCAAATTCGAGGACTGCTGTCGGACGGCGGCTGCCAAGAGAATTAAATTTTGATATCTATTGACGAGCAAGGAGATTTCATGGCAGCCACAAGATGACATGATAACAGATCGTGGGAGCAATCGTTGAGGGAAGCAAATGTTTCTTCCTACAATACATAGCCATGGTATGTTTTCTGCAATAAGAGCTGACATTTCCTATAATCATACTATCCAGCGTAACAATTTTATTTCAATCTCAGAAATCGTGATATTTGGTTGTGTCGTGCCAGAACACAGCCCGCGATTAGGATCTCGGGAAATTAGATTATTTCGTTGATGCTGACATGGGCTCTCCTCATCTTGCATCCTTACGACAACTTTACCCTCACTCAATTGGCTGATCACATTAAACAACTCAAAACGATCTCGCTTGATGCTCCCCCTTTGCATGCACGTGCCGGAAATAGCATCTCGAGGCCCTGGATCTGATGTAACACTCGAAAACAGTCTCCCATGAAGTAATGGACTTGAGTGCACTTTTGATAAAGTTTGACAGGGACGAAGCCGTTTCTAGAACCTTTTGCAAACATGATGTGGTATCCGTACTCTTATCCTACGTACTGTAGGAATATTTCATTTTCCTTGTTGTTGGAGGTGGCATTCCTGCCCCCAGGCCGAGCATTCCAGTTATCAGCAGCACCGTATGAATGGTTTCAAGTATTATACTTAAGCAGCCACCAGCAGCTTTACCTGTCTGCGTCCGAATCTTCTTAAAACTGTACTCGGATTTTTTCCACAACCCTCTGCGTTCGTACTTTGTCACTCATTTTGTCACTCCTTTTCAGATCTGTTCTCAGTCATATTTTTTTTTCCTATTATATTTATTTAAAAAGTCACTCCTTTACCTTACACTTCACTTCTTTCGAGTCACAAGTCGCAACTTAAGATTCGCACATCAGCAAATTTCACCAAATATACCACAATGTTGTTTTCTATTTCCAGTATCGTCGCGGGGATGAGCTTGCTCTCCCTTGCTCTAGCTGCCCCCGCAGTCCCAAGGCTAGTACCATATTTATCCCCTCCATGCTGATTCTTCTAACATCACCATCTAGTGAGGTCACTCTTGAGAAGCGAGGGTTCTCTTGTGCCAGTCCTGTCGCTGGTCTCACCGCCGCAGATTGCAACCATATGTCGTCTATCGGGATGGCCGGCATGGGAACAAACGCAAAGGCTGCCAATGGTGCAGTCTGGATCGGAAGTCAGGGACCCAACACATTTGTTTTCAAGAATAGTGCAGCCGCACCCGTCACTGTAATCATCTGGACTCAAGCTGCAGGGGATTATCAAAGCTCTTTCATGAACGCCCGAAAACCCCAAGTCTCTTATTCATTGGGCGCCGGTCAATCCGTTACAATCTCCATGGCAAATGGAGTATCCGGTGGATGGGCTGGTCTTTATAATCAGAAGACCACTCTGAGCCAATACGGCCAAGTTTTTAATACTTGGGGAGAATTCACAACCGGTGCCTATGCTACAGTAGACGTCTCTCGCGAAGTCAACATGGGTGGAAACGCCATGACCATCCAAGTTGGCAGTTGTACCTCCAGTATGTCCAAGTGTGTCTTTACTTGTAACAGCGGGAATACGTGCGGAAATGCAGGTACCTATTCGTTGATCAATTGTGCTGCCGGAAGCCAGACTGGTGCTACGTACGGTCTTGCTAGCGGTCAACCATCAGGTGGCTGCCAAGGGTTCAACAATGGTGGAAAGGTGTCTGTTACATTCTCTTAGTGTATTATATTTCTTTGCGAGGCGGTGACTTGTCTGGTGATTACAAGCTGGATTACCCATAAATGGATGTGGAGGTCTTTTTCATGTATTGTCATTTTGGAGTTGAAGACTTGAAGTGTATATTTAACATTCGAGGGGCTTCTGGGAGTCATTGGATATGAATGTACCGGTGACTGTATTTTAGGAAAATCAAACATTTTTTTCGAAAGTAAAATTACCAGCATTCTGCCTTCGTCGTCTTGTTTTCAAAACAAATATATTGAGAATCGATAGTAAATGTATCGTTTCTGCTTCTCTACATTATACATTATCCATGGCCCGCCCATACACAAAACCTCCAAATGCAATGATAGCGCCCAACGTATGAACTTTTGAGATTTATCCATCAAACTTACATCTATCCTTAATCTTTTAAATTCTTGAATAGTCATGCGTAAAAATGCTCACCCTCATCAGTAGGCATATCAGTTTAGTACGCCGCCAAAGCGCCACCTGATAAAATCAATACATCCCCCCTCCCGAAGAAGACTTACAGAAATCACTAGACTTGAGACGTACAGATCATCGATAGGGAAAAAATGATACATCTCCCCCCCAAAAGTGATAACGGACGCGCAAAAATTCTCTTATGTCGGGAGGCAACCTCTGTTGAAAAATGCAACCATGATGGAAAAACAAGATAGAGACTACTCATGAAGCTTGCAGACACATTCCTACTGATATCTTTGACTAGATATTTGTCACCTGGATCTTTTCAAATCTTTGGAGATGAGAAATCACCACGATTAGACTCATCTTTACAGAAGTATGAATTATATAAGCAGATTACTTTTGTACACCGCTTTGCACTTCTGCCACTGGGCCACCCACATCATTTGCCCAACATCCTGTTTAACAATCTTTCTCCACTGAACAGAGAAAGATCGTGGCCCTTAGAGAGGCTCGTTTGTAACGATCGGGGCTTCGGGGATCACCCCCGTCGGCATAATTATATATCTCCTTGATGGGGACAAGCTCCCAAACCCCTAGCCCCCGATAGCATTCATGCTTTCCGAACTCGTGACCTTTCGGAATTTAAAAGTCGATTTGTTGCATATCTGTATCTGAATCGGTAGTACTTATTCACGTATTTTAAAGTTTCCGTCTTGTTATATAGGAAGATTGATAAGTTGATACGTTTCGGAAACAAAGACAATGATAGCATGAAAGAGTCTTTCTCCAAAATTCTAGTAATACATTCATAGAAGTAAAGTTTCTGCTCATCCACAAACATACCAACACCCAGTATTTCATTCCAATTCATCTGATCGTGCAAGCAGCTCTATTCACAACCCTAACCTGCCGCCTCAGCCCAATAACTACCCCCAGTCTTAGCTCCCAACTCATTCCCACTAGCCGGCACAACCCTCTCGTCAAAAATTACCGCTCTCCCCGCCAATCCAGTGATCGGCTGTCCACTCGCAGTGTTATTTCCAGTCCCATTATAACCCACGTACTCACCCAAACTCGGGGGCAAATCACTGATTTGTGTTCCCCAACTACTCTCACTGCTTCCCAATACCAAAACTAATTCCTTTCCTTCCGTAAAGAAACTGTGATCGATCCAATTCTTGGTATAAGGTTTCCCATTCAATGTTGCTGATTGAATGTATATATTTTTATATGAGGGGTCAAAATTGATATTTCTGATCGTCGCGGTTTTGTTTGTGAGAGGAGAGGTAATGGATGCAGATTCGAAGTATGGAGGGATGATAAGATAGACATCCTGACCTGGATTGGGGAAGAGTCCCATCATACTGAAAGCGACGAAGGAGCCCATAGCACCAGAATCGTCATTACCTGGCAGTCCATCGTTTGTGGGGGCAAAAAATGATGGGATGTAGAAGTGGGAGCGGCGAGCTGAGAGGGCTGGACGACCGGCGTAATGGTATTGATAGACGGTGAGGAAAGCGGGCTCGTTCCCAATGTATGTTATGTTATTATCATGGAGATAGTCTAGACGTTTTACAAATGCTGCGGGCCCTCCAAAGGTGGTAATGAGACTTGCTTGATCGTGGGGTACGAAACTGAGGATGCAAGTTAGGTTCTGGGTGCTTCAAATCTGGCAAGAGATTGAAAACAAACAACGGTACATACAATGAATATTCCCAAATGCTACTTTCAAAAGTTTCGGCACCTGAGTTTTGCAATGAGCAAACACTATTGGGATTGTAGTCTATATTGCTGCACTTTAAAGGATCTTGTAGTCCCCATGTTTGATTGAGATACTTTGGTTGGAAGAATCCTTTGAAGCCTGTATTAGTACCATTCGTGAGGTATGATGTTTGTGCATCGTTATATAGGTTTTGCCAATTTTCGCTTCGTTCGAGATACTTCTGGACATCTGATTCGCGACCTCCTAGACCAGCGCCCATGCTTGCAATCACAAAATCATTGTAGCTATATTCAAGCGTTCTGGAGACACTTCGTGTCATGGTACCAAAGCCCTTGTAGTCAACTATATATTATTAGTTGAAACTCCTTGACAAGAAGACTGTTGAGAAGTTTGTAAAACTGAGACATACAATCTTGAACGGGTATATATCCAAGTGCTTTCCATGAATCCAGACCGCCTCGCCCCTCACTTGACCAATCGTAAGGTTCGACTTCCGCATCCTTGACAACAGCCTCGTAGCCAAGATCCCAATCTATACCTTCAGTAATGCCTTTGATGTAAACATCAGCGAGGATGTTGTCTGCATTTGAACCACCTTGTGTGAATCCTTTACATAGACTCATACGGCAGTCAGGAAGCCATCCTTCGTGAACATCTGAGATTGATATTAGTGGATCACGTGTTGTATAGATGCGGGGGGACACCAACAGGTATCGATGAGCGAACGAACCATTCTAGCCACAGTGGAAGGGTCCAACACTATCAAGAATGGTGTCTGAGAACGGAACAAATCCCAAATGCTAAAACGGGGTAAGCAATATTTTCAAGGTTGGTGATCAAAACCTACCAGTAGAAGGAGTCAAAGTAGGGTTCATCACTCTGCCACAACGGATTTTCACCGGTATAGTCTTGTGGATTGACCATGGTCCTATAAATTCCACTGTAAAAGTTTGTCAGAATCGAAGAGTCAATTCCTGCCGTCGAAACTTTAATGGGCGAGATCTTGTTGCGCCAGGTAGTCTCTGCGGTGTTCTGTACAGCAGCAAAGTCGAAATCGGGAATTTCTGCTTCAGCATTTGCACATGCTTGATCGCTGCTAATATAGCTGACACCAACACGTGCCAGAATTCCATCGCCGGGTGACTGAAAACGAACAAATGCTCCTCCCGGAAGAGGATAGCCATTAATTGAACGTGAAATTTTGAGATCCTTGACATCAGCACTAGCACGGCTGTTGACAAAAATACCATTGTCTCGAATGGAAGCACCCGAAAAATCTGCACAGAAGTACAGAACGTAATTTCCACTGCCAAAACTAGGCAAGAATTTGCCATTCCCGGTCATTCTTCCAGTAGTAGCATCAACAGAGACGCTGGCATTATCTTGACGAGAGTCAGACAAGTCCGTCAAATCCATCAAGATTAATGGGCTGGAAGCATTTCCATTCGAAGTGGTTGGGAATTTGAATCTGAACAATGATGTATGTTGTGTTGTCGTCATATCCACAGCAACACCACTGGATAATGTAAGTCCAAAATATCCTGGAGATGCCTTGACTGAATCTGCAACGAAAGGGGTGGCTCTTGATTTCTTTGGATAAGTACATCCGTCTACAGTATCTCCCTTGCATCCGGCATAAGGAAATAATGCAAAGTTCCCCAAAGATGGAGAACCTCCGGTTCCAGAATCATGCATACTAGAAAACCCAGTAATATTGCTACCATCAGTCGTGAAACCACCCTGGTTGCTTCCAGAATTCGTATCTGCCACAGCTTTCGCCATTCCTATAAAGCCGTTAATACAAGATTGATCTATATATTGAAGCGATGGACATTTTTCCAGTCGATATCCCCATCGCAGTTTCGATCGGAGGCTGACGGACCTCACGGTCAGTCTCATTAGTTGCTTACCAAAAGGAACTGTTGCACCAGGAAACACATTTCCTTTCAAGATGCTGTCAGCAGGAATAAGAAAGGTTGGCATTCGAGAATCGAACCTCCATTACTACTTCCAATCAATTGATCAACATAATCGAGTACATCGTACATCGATGAGTTAGTGGTACCATTCTGACCCGCGACCAGGCAAAAAACCGTGCAGAGCACGGTCAAATACAGACTGTTAAAGAAAGCCATGACTGGCAGTAAATGAAAGCAAGTAACACAGAGACTGTCACCGTAAAGGAACCAGAATAAACAGAGCCCGGACTTTATAAGATCTACTCGACCATCTTATAGTGTGCCCAAAGATAGGGGTACAGAACCAATGCTGCACGTGCAGTTGTCCTTGCCCATAAAGGCCGCATATCAGTTCCCATTAAGGAAGCTAATAAACCCTAATCATACGTTACAGGAGCTTTCCTGGTTGACAAGTGAGTTGCAATAACTTCACGAATGGAAATGAAATACATGCTTTAATTTAGCAGATAGAAATAGTGTATGTGATATGCAGGGGAATCCGGATTGTGTGGTTACAGTGCTAGGCGCAACAGCGAATGAAATGCATTGTTCAATATATCTTCGACACGATAAAAATGTCCCCGCGCTCCTTATGCAGGTCCCCCGCAATCATCTGCCGGGTATTCCGCACTATCGTTCTTGATAAGGACCAACACCGGTAGATTAGACCTTCAGGTTAAATTAGATCTCTTGTCCATCTGATAGATGTTCTTCGATGTTTGTCTCTATTTCCTGACTTGGTCCTGAAACCTTTTCAAGGATGCGTGCCGATCATACCAGCCAGATCGAACAACGACTGGATCAAGAAACTAGAACTCATTTCCTGTGTGTAGAAACTATGCAGCTTCTTGTTTGCTCGCATCTCATGATTCAATTGAACCCGTTGTTGTAGCATGTTGTACTGCAGCAGTTCATGTGCGCTGCTGTTGTGATCAAAATCCACGTTCTGTATTTACTCAGTCATGCATTAGCGTTCCTCTCCGGTTGTGAAGCCGATTAAGTATTGAATGCTGTGTCCAGAACTATGGAAGACGGTGCAGATAGAAGAAAAGCAGAATGAAGGGGATGTTGAGAGGGGGGTGGGAGGCATTTATCCTGATGATTAGATATCGGCAGAACATCGGTTAATCATTCGTTAATCAAGGTCGAACCCTCAATACCAGTCTCAGCACCCAACACCCACAATGAGCGAAGACCTACTTAACGAGATTGAAGCCATAAACTCCATCTACGATTCCTCGACTCTTACTTCCGCGCACGAAATTCCAGATGAAATTTACATTCTCGCTCTCCCAAATCACGCCACCTCACTTCGAATACAATTCCCAGCAGCATACCCAGATGTTCCACCTATAATATTGGGAGCACAGAGTTCTGGAGAGAATGCGAAGAAGGGTGATGCAGGGAAGCTGGTAGATTTCGTGAGGGATATTGTGGGGAGAACTTGGAAGGTGGGAGAGGTTTGTCTATTTGATGTTATCGAGGAGGTCGAAGAGGGGTTTGGCGCTGGAGAGGAGGAGGACGATGGAGGAGACGAGGAAGGAGAAGAGTTCGCAGATTATGTGGAAGGTACAGCCGTTGAACGTAAACGAGATACTTCGAATGGGGATATAGATATCGAACCTCCCAATTGGACACTTTCTTCAGTCACCACCGAACTGAAATCCACATTCATCGCACGCTGCATCTCCGTTTCTTCTCCTGCTCTTGCAGCTCAATATATACAACATCTCCTTGCTTCGGACAAAAAAGTCCGTTCTGCAACCCATAACATCACAGCATGGCGCATCAAAACACCGGAGGGCATAACATACCAGGATTGCGATGACGATGGAGAATCTGCGGCGGGAGGAAGAGTTCTGCACTTAATGCAGCTGATGGATCTATGGAATGTGATGGTGGTTGTTACAAGGTGGTATGGAGGACAGAAATTAGGAGCGAGGAGGTTTGCTGTTATCAATGCAGTGGCAAGAGATGCTTTTGTGAAGGGTGGATTTGTGGTTGAGAAGGGAGATGGAAAAGAGGGAAAGAAGGGGAAAAAGTGATAAGGGGTGAGGTTAAGCTTGAGAGAGGTATGGTATACTAGGGATCCAACTTTGGATATTCATATGCTTTGGCTATATGTGCAGGAGCATATGACATTGAATTTCCTACGAGCTTCAACCCACCAAGTCTACAATACATCCAAAGTTACAACCAAAGTACTACTAAGTAAAAGGGCCAAAACAACCAGGACATATGAGGTACCGGGCTCCAGCATAACGAAAGTTACTCTTCGTAGATTCTTCTCCTATCTAAGTAATGTATCTACTCAACCAAACCCTCGACTTTCATCCATACGTCCAATAGAGGATATTTGGCTACTAATGTCTTCGCAGAACCTTTGAAAAGATTAAATGACATCAACAGTGAGGGGATCATTAAATACATACGGATGATCAAATTTTATATGTTTTGAATTTGGAAAAAAAAGTATGTTTGCTTGGACGTGTTGGACTCACTAAACACTGTTCCGGGTCGTGGTTATATCTATCTACCCAAGTACGTGTGTGCCATATGATTTCCCTACTGATCATTCAAGTGGAGAGTATCAAAGGGACGGCTGTGAGAAGGTAAGTCATGAAAAGATGAAATAAACACCGCTGTGTAGATTGATTGACCCTGTTGGCCTGAGAATTGGAGGGAATCTCACACCTAAATTGGGGATATACCGTTTGAACATAGATCGAGGGTTGTAATTGGCCAAGGCTGATATTCTGAAGGCACAGTCAGATCATGCAAATATATTCTGATAGCAGTAGTAGGAGTGGGATAAAGTGGCGGACTTCAAGGTTTGATTTGATTACTAGATTGCTAGGTATGGTAATCATCAAGAGACCACTTACTCATTGGTTTAATTTGATTCACATCCACAATCACAATCATATTCACATTCACGTTTGCATGTACGTTCGTAATCACAGCAAACTCAATTTAAATGTTTGATATAAATCCATTGCAGTGAATGAAATCTCTATCTATGCATACCCGCCCTTCCTGCCTGTCTCTTTTGCACACCTGGTGATAATCCCCCGCCGTCCGTCCATCCATCCATGCACCAATCCCGTTTTCCAGTCATAAGTCATCATCACAAGAGCCTTTAAAGGCAACGAAGGTGTAGTATCACAAGAAAATAGAAAGAAAGTAGTAGAATAATATGTACAAATTGTAAAAGTGTCCACCCCATCCTGTAAGCAAACAAGATGGGACATGCAACGCGCGCTGTGCTGTGTGTGTAAATGCATCATGCCATGCTCAGAATCCATGAAGAAAATCTCATCTATCCCGATCGGATCCTCGATTCAAGAACGTCCTGCGAGCTCAAATCTCCTGTTCTCGTCATCTAGCCAACCAGGATCTGAGAGTGAATGAAGAAAACCAGCAAGCTGATTTAGTTAAACATCTCGGCACCCAGTCCCCGTCGAGCAACATGGCGCATCAATCCCTTTCCGTTTCTCTTGGCAATGACCAAACTCATCGTTTGGCCACTGGTGCAGGTGGTTCCGGAAGCCATCTGCATGACGACGCTCCAGGTGCCACTACCACATTGTTGATAAGAGGTTCCAGAAATGCAGTTAAACATTCCTTCACTTGTACAGGCGCCGGTGAGGGCTCCTGAAGAGGAAGTTGATGAAGCGCCGGTTCCAGCTGGTGCTACAGCGGAAGTAACAGAAGTTGGGGTTATTGGAACACTGACTGCGGTGGTAGCAACAGCGGGGACGACTCCAACTGCTGAAGTTGCTGCCAAGGTCGCGGCGGAAGTAGCGACACCAGTACCAGTAGCAATTGAGACGAAGACGCCTCCTGGAAGCGAACTTGCGGTCGCTGCGGGAGCTGTACCATATGAAGCCACAGCGGTAGTGGCTCCAGTAGGCTTTGCAGTAGCGGCACCACTGACAGCGGCAGCACAAGATCCAGTTGGTGCAGCGGTAGCAGTTGCAGTGGAGCCTCCATCATACTCAACGGAATCACCTGGGTTGGGGAAAGCCACATCCTTAGAATCAGCTGTTGAACAACCATTGCCGATGTTGGCAGTGAACATGTCTGGGAGAGCACTGAAAGCAGCTTGGTCGCGTGCAATGAGGTCGCTGCGCTTGCTGGAGCCGCCGGTGAGTGTAACGGGTGCACAATTCATGTACATTTCACGGTTTCCGACCTTGTTGAACCAAGTCCATGCGAGGGTTGCTTTACCAGCTGGAAGAGTTGAGGGAATGGTGAAATTGTAGGTATCTGGATCGACAGTATCTTTGTTGTCTCCGTTGTTTCCGGCAATATTTTTCATGGGGCAACCGCCGACGATGGAGTGAATGACTTTGAATGTGCTAGAGGCAGAGGGGGTTTCATCATAGGTGATAGATACTTGGCAAGATCCACCTCCGTGAACGGCACTGCCCTTGAATGCGAGATCATAAGATCCACCGAGTTCCATGGTGTTTTGAGTGGTGACTGCGTAGACTCCATCTCTTTGCTTGCATGGAAAGTCGGCTCCGCTTGCTTCCAAAGGAGAGTTGTTGAGAGTGTCGACTCCATATGGAACTGGGCTGGTCATGATCATGTGAGCATTACTAACAGCTACGAGAGCCAATGCTACGATGGATACTTTGGAAAACATATTGAATGAGTGGTTGAAGATTTTAATCGTGCCTGACGGAAAAATCTTTGTAGTTTGTTGTTGTATAGAGTTGCTCTATTTGTGCAGTGCAGTTGAAAGATTGTTGTTAAAGTCGAAAGATCGTGTTGTACTTGTAGAGAATGGATGTGGTTATAATCTGGAATGAGGAAAAAAAGATCGAGGTCAGTCGGAATGCCCAGTTTATATTATATTATTCGAGGAGGCTGACTGTTCTCGAAATTTACAATAGAAAATAGAATCACAACAATAATTAAACAATTGTTTATTGTTATGAAGCGAAAGGAATAGTAACCGAAGAGATTATTCAGATTATTCACTCTCTCAAATGACACTTCAATAGAGAATAATGATTAAACATGGTGTGTAAGCGAATCCTATTGTCTCATTCGACGACGACGAAACGAAAGACAAGAAAATAAAATGACAAAGGAATTTTCGAAATTGCAAGAGGATTCCACTTTGCGATAACGACAAGGACAAAGAAAAGATTCAAGCATTGTTTCACGTACCTTCAAAGAGTTTATTGTTTCAAGGTCGAAGAATTCGATATTCTTCTGAATGTGTCGGTAAAGGAATGGAATTCGTTCTTTCGCTGAAAGTGTCTGAAGGAATGTAGTAGTATTGAAAATTTTCTCTTGTCACAGACAAATGAGAAATAGAAATACTCGAAAAGATGGAAGACGAATTTTACAAACAAAAAGGTAAATGCCCTTTGAAGGAAGAAGCAAGTGCTCGAAGGAGAGTTGGAATTGAGAGAAGGATGCCGAGATAATTCAAGGTGGGACGGGCCTGACCATCTTATATCTCTCAGTCTGAGAGTCGATCAAGATATCTCCAAACGGGACATGGGTGAGAAGGACTTCCTTTTCGGCCCAAGAGAATAGTGAATTGCAAGAACTGCAGCAAGGAAGGTCGGAAACCATGGCTTAATTGGTCATAGTCGCCCGCATATCTTCTGTCTCTACCTGGTCGACAAACGTCCCATGTGGGAATTTCAAGGGTCTCAAGGATCTAAAATCCACTACATTTAGATGACCCATTCTCGCAAGGCTAGAGAAATGGTAGCTTGACATAATACATAGCCAGTTGAAGTGGCTATGTGATCGAAGAAGAAATACATCTGAAGCATTGGTACTATTTCGTACCATTTAGGATGAATGTGGATGATTTTGAATCAGTATAGATGGGATGTGGTTTGTGTGGTTAGCACAGACGTTGAATGATTGAGAATCTGCAGGGGAAAATGGCATTTGATAGGCTCTTGTACCTTGCTTCGGTTAATGGCGAAACCTCATGCTGTGCATGCTGTGCCACTGAAAGGACGAATCTCTGGAATTATTGGCCCCTGAGTAATATCCACAGTTCTCAAGGAGTAGAGAAAATGTATGGAAGAGTCAGGTTTATCGGCATTATTCGAATTCATACGAAGATCAGAAGGAAGAGAGGGATACCAGTCAATATTTTGAATCATGGATTCTTAATGGATGATTTTGTTTTTCTTGCATTCTATCGCGTTGAGCCTATGGATTGAAAATCATCCGTTGGGCTTGAGAGGGGTTTCGTTTGGAATCAGAGCCAACAAACCGATCTGAATTGTACTGCATTGCCGTTGCGCGTATGCAAGAGGCCTACATAAGTAGAGGTCGACAGCAGTCCATAAGCCAATTACGTGATGATGCAGTTACTTCGTAGGTATCCAAACAAAATCTTTTTGTTTCTGTTCCTGCAGCCCGAACCCCTGGATTTTCATGATTTTCCTTTTATATGAAAAAACCCAATCGTCTTGCATATACGCTAAGATATGAAAGTCCCCCTTTTATCACAAATAGTCCTCCACACGGGAGCTGGGAATAAACATCTTGGCAGGGGCTAGCCAACTAAGTTAGTGTATGAAGGATTCCCTTTACAACTGGATAGGTTGCCGCCACGGCCGTATACGACGACTCGTGAGAGTCTATAGTATCCACCAGCAAATAACGCAAAAGAACTTTTGACTCCATAGATCGTATTCTTGAATCCTTTGACCCATGACCACCTGATCTTTAGGCGCCAAGAATAATTCACATACCAGTATTGCACCTTCTAGTTTTATCGTGAATCTATTTGTTGAAAATGTCCAAATGTTTCTCGTTCATTCACTTAGATGCTTGCTCATCCGAAGAATTACTTCGGAGTTTGTCGATCATGTTAATCAATCCTTGTTGAATGGATGCTCTATTAACCTTGCCTCTCGCGGTTAAGCTGATCGTGAAACACACGTCTCGACTGTTGATGAATAACATTTCGGAGATTTTGCGGATGGCCGGTACTTATTGACTCTTGAGGGGTCCTATAGGCGGTTGAAATCGTCATCGTGATTATGAGACGCCGTAAATGACCCCAATCCTACACTAACTCCCATAAGATATGATTATAGATAGAAATTCTTGGTTGGTTATCAAGATAAGCGCGCTTAACAGAATTGTTACTTCCCCCACTGTGGGGGCCATTCTCATCCTTTCGGGTTTCTTTGACCCTTTTCACCCTTTCAAGCCGGAATCTAGGTCGCCATCACGGGCTATTGTACAACATTTGCATCCTTCCTAGATTGAAACAAATAACGTCCAGGTTCCCCACTGCACGTGCCTTGTCTGTCGCATAAGAATCTGATCGCACAGCCACATGTACTCAGTTCGAGGTTATTCCTAGATGTCTCGAGTAGATCAGTCAAATTGAAGCTTCGTTTAAGGAACGTTATTCATGCATTTCTTCTGTTCGTCCGGTGGCAAGACCTAGATCGTCTTTACAGTCGGAGAATTCAGCTGATCATGGAGCTGGGGGTATTGTCCGAGTGGTGGGAAGTGGAAACATTTCGTGCTTGATCTATTTAGTATCTCGAATGCGGTTGTGGCGAAGGGATATCTACTAGCTAAATGCTGGGAATCTTTCATATGTCAAATTGTCTGTTCTCATATTGGTCTTCAATGACTCAAGAGATACATTTTGGGCTGAGTTGGTATGAATACCTAAGCTCGACAGTGCCATGATCATGCCTTCGTAAAGTTGGATCTAGCATTCTGTCGTATTGTTACTATCGTCAAAACATTGCCATATTCCTATTCTGCAAGTTGAGCTATGCTTGAGCAGTAACTCAAGACTATTCACCTCAAAAAGAAAGTCCTGCATCACGCCAATTTAATCTATACCTCTCTGATTTAATTTCAACACTTTTACTCTCACAACGACTTCAAAGGCCGTTCATACCTTCCCATATTCGCCCCTCACTTTTACCAAAATCCTTCACATGCCCCATTTCAAAACTTTTAAAAGTTCATCAATTGTCTTTTCTTCGATTTCATTTCCACAAGGTTACTTGCCAATGCTTGGAAGCGCTCCTGTCAACCCTCTCTATTCACCCTTGCCAAGAAACTTCAAATCCTCCCGTTTCAACTTCCAACAGTATGCCATTATATAAATTTCTTCCATCCATTGGATAGCCAGCATTGTTTATTCAAGTCGTGGGAGACTGTCAATTACGGGAAATAATGCTAAGGTTGGTCGATGGTGCATGCCTTCGTCGTTTTCCTAGCAAGTATGAGAGCTTCAGAACGGGAATATTATATAAAAGAATACTGATTTCTTAATAGTTTAAGGTATCGTGATAAAAAAAACTGAGCTGTAGCACTATGTTTTAAATCAAATATTTGGGATAAGGGCTAAGGTTATTCATATCAATACAATATCTCCATCAGATCATCCCTCTTTTCTAAAAACAAACAAACACAAACCCCTGTATCAAATTCCAAGATCCTTCTCAACGCCGAATTAAAATTAAATTTCCCAGTATCGCATTGCCAGCTTCTTATGCGTCCTCGAATTTCCAAACTGCTCGACTGTCACATGTAAAAATTAGTAATTTGTCTCACAAAGGTCGTGGAAGAAAAGAAAGGGACAATAATACCAAACGCCACATCTAAGTTCTCTCCCTACTTGATTTCTCATCCACTCCTGAAGACATCCGTTACAGATATTTTGCCCACACTCCGCTCGACACCAATCCGCGTCTTCATGTCGGTGGATGGGTTCGAGGCAGGAATAACAATCGCCAAGGGGCTTACGTTGGACTTCGCGTTGAACAGGACGAGGCCGGAATAGTTGCGGTACTGCAAAAAGATACGGCACTTGTGCTTGTCGCCCATTCTCGACCCTCCGCAATGCTCTTAGTGCTGCTCGTTGTTGTTGTGCTTCTGCTTCTGCTTCTTCTTCTCTTCTTAGTTCTTCTTCTTCCTCCTCTTCTCTTACCAGCCTTAATGCAAATTCTCTATCCATCCTCATCATTTCTTCTCTTTCATCGCGAATTCTATTCGCTTCCCGTTGTCTTTCTCTTTGAATTCTCTCGACATCTCGTCGTCTCTCCTCCTCTTCTCTTCGCCGCATTGCTGCTTCTCGCTTCTCCCTCTCTCTTGCTCGCCTCTGTTCCTCTCGTATTCTCTCATATATTCTCCTCCTTTCCTCTACCCGCATCGTCAATTCCGCTCTCTCTGCCTCATCGCGAGCCAGACGTTCCTCCAGAACCCGTATTTGATCCGCAAATTCTATTGGATTCAATTCGAGACACTGAGAAGCCCATTCAGCAACAGCTGGCTCCACGTCCGCAACAGGTCGATATTCCCTCCTCCGCTGTACCATCTGCGCCGGCTGTTGCCTTCCATTATTTCTCGTCGCTGCTTGCGCCATCTGCACCTTGCACCACCACTCTTTTTCTACTTTTTCGATCTGAGAGTGCCCTCCTCCATCTTTGTGTCTCCAACAAAGTACTTCATCAAGTAGCTCTTTTATTATTCCTTTTAGCCGTCTTTCATTGTAGCCTTGTCCAGAAATAGGTAATGCTGAAAGTTCATCTAGTAATTTGGCTGCTGTGTTGCATTTTAGCTTCCCAATAGCGTTGTGGCATCTGCGATTCTCGGATTTAGTTATGCCCACGCAAGTGAATGAAGTTGTGGCATTCGGGTCAATGGAGAAGGTTTCTCGAGCATCCCATCGTGCCATTGTGAATGGCTTCTTCGATAGGAAGATTGTTGTTTGTTTCGGACAGATGGTTTTGTGTATTTTATGTGGTGTTGAGGATTTTGTTTTTGAGTGATCAAAAACATAGATACGATTAACAAGATGACACGAGGGAAGGAAAGGAAGTGTGTTTTTGTGTCTGTGAATGACAATTTAAAACTTCCTTTCAGATGGAAGTGTTTCATGCTCGTTGCAGCTAGAATGTAGGTCGAATGTACGGCTGCATGCCATGCATATTCTGTATCAACTCTTTTGCGTACTGTGTCTCTCGATATAACTTGTGTTGACCTTGATATTGTGATTTCCAGTTGTCAGTATTCCCCAAAAAGATCAGATGACTATCCAACTATTTATTGGGGTTTCCGACCTACATTTTAGGATTCTTCTGGAAGGTGGTCAACGATGTGGCCGTTTCATCAAATGAAATACCCTAGACCATCTATCCGATTCACGAAGAAATCTCTTACAGATAACGGTTTTGCCATCTTGATCTAGATTTTGAAATGGAGCAAATGATTCATGTTCACTCAAGGAGATGAATTCGTATGTATCAGAACTAGGACCTTGTGGATTAAACTCGCGATCACACTTGGGTCTGCAAATTTACTGTTCTTTCTTGACTGTTTGAATTTTTAGTAATTGAATGGAGGATTATTTTCAGACGAGTTTCAGATGTGCATTTCACCGTTTTGACTTGATAATATTAACGTATTTTCTTTTCTGAGACAATAATCGATCACTCTATGAGAGACCCTTTATGAATTGCATAACGATTACATTCTCTACTGGGAGAGCATGGGTGATTTTGTAAAAGTTCGAGAATACGAATTACGCTGAGAACTTTTAGTTTCACTGTCGGATCAGGCATTGGGCATACATCATCCCACCTGAAAGAGGCTGAAGTTATTGTATATGAGACAGGTACTTCAGCTCGAGATGGGAAGGTTTAGTGGCTCGATTTCAGAAATTGATTTATTATGGTGTCATTCTGGGAACCTGGCTAATACATTGCTTCCCCGGAAGCTTTCCTTTCTTCCTTGAAACCCTTCTTGACACTCACAACTTAAAGACTCAAGCTCGAGATTGGATCGATAGGAATTTTGAGTGAGTCACAAACCCTCCGCATATCTATCACAGAAAGACTGACTTGCAAGAGAACTCATTCTAAGAAGTTCTCCCAGAATTTGGAGAAGTCACCAGGAATCCCTTGCATTTAGGAAAGCATCTGCAAGAATCTACGACCTTCATAATGGAGAACACAGCCCCACAGCCAACTAAGACTGGTCTTAAAGATTTCAACGTCGCTTCGCCTATCGAATCCGCATCCTCACCTTACCAACTCTATTACATTCGTTTTTATTCTCCAAGTAGAATTTCTCGTACCCCATCATCCTACGCTCGTGAGTAAAACTCTTTTCCTCGCGACTTTGTCTTAGGATTTTCATGTGGTGCAACTGCTGATTCCTCCAACTCTTTAGTCGGTTACCGTCCAAGATGGGGCAGTGGTCTCGTCGACGCATCTACCACAATCTACATCGGATGTGCACCTGGTACTGCCGGTAGAATTGAGGGAAAACCATACAGAAAAACAAACATCGCGGCGGAGAAAAGAGCAAGACAGGTAGAAAGAGCAGATGTACATTGGCTGGGAAAAATCAATGATGTAGATAGGGTGGTGGCAATTATGGGGAGGGTGAGCTGGAATAATGGCACGGATATTGGTAAGGCACAAAAGCTATGGTGTCAGAGAGTTGCTTTATGGATCAATTGGGATTGGACATGGATTGTTGCTGGATGGGTTACGTTGCCAAAAGATGAGGAGATGGCTAGGAGGGTTTGGACTTTGGGAAGTTGAGGTATTGCTGGTGCGTATGGAAAGCTTGATGGAGCTCATAAACTGGTGTTTTGGCGAATTGATGATGGCAGTACTACTACCAATCAATTTACAAAGACTACACTTGTTGATGCTTCAAAAACTAGAAAGCTTGAGATAGATTCTCCTTTGAATGTAAAGCGTTGATTTTACCATAGCCAAATGACTACGTGATGAACTCATCATAAGTCTTGATCTCGGAATGGCTTCAATGAATCTGAGAATAGGGCACACCTTGAATGTACAAGGTGATCTCTCAGATGCGCGATGATCTTGCCTTTTGAAGGATATTTATTAATAGTATATGATCATAAGCAATTGATCAATTAGGCGCATGATACTGGCATGAAAGATGCTATGGTATGAATTATTCCCAATGTTCACGGATAGTGAAAGACATTGCTTACATAATATCCTTATCGAATGCTCCGCTTCTGATAAGTTGCAAAAATAATTTCATGTCCAAGCAAATTGAACTTCAAGAAACAACTTTTTTCTATCATTTTATTTCTATACTCACAAAACCAACCATGAAGCGTAAACTCGATGCCAATGATGTTCCTGTACCAACAGAGGGATCCGATACCACAAAAGAGAATGTCACTTTTGCTAGTTTAGGACTGGATGCGCGTTTACTTCAAGGAATCGCAAAGCAAAACTTTCAATCACCAACACTCGTACAAAGCAAAGCAATTCCGCTCACATTGGAAGGCCGCGATATCTTAGCTAGAGCAAAGACTGGATCTGGAAAAACTGCTGCTTACTTACTACCAATACTCCATTCGATATTAAAGAGGAAAGAGGTATGGTTTTCAATCGTCTTACGAAGTAATCACACAGACTGACCTTTTTAGCTCTCACCCACCCAATGCACAACCGCCCTCATTCTTGTACCTACTCGAGAACTTGCAGATCAAGTCTACAAAACAGTTGAATCTTTTACAGCATTCTGCGCGAAAGATATCCGAGCAGTCAACCTCACCCAGCGAGTTTCCGATGCAGTTCAACGATCACTTCTTGCAGACTCCCCAGATATCGTAATTGCGACACCTGCGAGAGCTTCATTGAATGCCAATACCTCTGCACTTTCTCTCGCAAATCTCACACATATGGTAATTGATGAAGCTGATTTGGTTTTATCTTATGGTTATGATGAGGATTTGCAAAATGTTGCAAAGATTATGCCCAAGGGTGTTCAAACTGTTTTAATGAGCGCTACATTGACGAGTGAGGTTGAAACTTTGAAAGGACTATTCTGTAGGAACCCTGAGGTATTGCAGTTGGAGGAAGCAGAGGATGAGGGAGAAGGCGTTAGCCAATTCGTTGTGAAGTAAATTGTCCACGAATTCTTTGCACGATCGATGCTAACAAGTAACAGGTGCGCCGAAGACGAAAAGTTCCTCCTAACTTATGTCATATTCAAATTGAAACTTATAAAAGGAAAATGTATCATATTTGTTGGTGACATCGATAGATGCTATCGATTGAAGTTATTTTTGGAGCAATTCGGAACAAGAAGTTGTATTCTCAACTCACAATTACCCGTCAACTCACGTATCCATGTCGTCGAAGAATTCAACAAGAACGTCTACGATATCATCATTGCTTCGGATGAGCACGAAGTTTTGGGAGATGAGGACGAACCCAAATCTGAGGATGCGGAAGAAGCTGACGCGGATGATGCTGGTGAAGAGAAAGAAGACGCAAAGGATGCAAAGAAGGAAATCAAGCAACCCTCGAAGAAGAAGCAAAAGACTGGAAAGAAGGATAAAGAATACGGAGTATCGCGAGGAATTGATTTCAAGAATGTTGCTTGCGTTCTTAATTTCGATCTTCCAACATCATCCAAATCATACACTCATAGAATTGGCCGAACCGCTCGAGCAGGCCAGACAGGAATGGCACTATCATTCGTCATCCCATCTGAACAATATCGAAAACACAAGCCGACTAGCATTGAATCGGCGAAAAATGACGAGAAAGTTTTGGCGAAGATTGTCAAGCATCAAGCAAAGAAGGGCAAGGAGGTCAAACCATATAATTTTGATATGAAGCAAGTAGATGCTTTCCGATACAGAATGGGTGATGCACTACGAGCTGTTACGAGTATTGCGGTCCAGGAAGCAAAAACCCGAGAAATTAGACAGGAATTGATGAAGAGTGACAAGCTCAAGCGTCATTTTGAAGAGAACCCAAGCGACTTGTATCATCTTCGTCACGATGGGGAGTTACGACCTGCCAGAGTACAAGCACATCTGAAGCATGTGCCGGATTATCTCCTCCCAAAGGAAGGCAAGAAAGGGATTACTGGTGGGGATATTGGATTTGTGGCAATGCACAAGACGACAGAAAATAGAATTAGAAAAGCTAGGGCGGCTCACAAGGCGAAGGGACGAGGAAAAGGAAGGAAATCAGACCCTTTGAAAACTTTCAAGGCGAAGTCGAAGAAGTAATTAATTAGCACTGTATTGAATAAGATACCATTTTTGTCAGGGCCACGGTCAAGGTAGTGTGATGATATGTTGTTGCGATGGCAGGCGTCAGTGTTTGGAACGCAGCTGTTGACTTTGATAACTGATTCAACAAAAGTCTCAATCTCGCAATCTGTCATCGCTTTACGGCATTTCATAGTTCTCATCTCCACACCTCCACACCTCTGTGCATATTGTTTATGATGAGTTTAGTCAATTCGAGTAGCTCCTCTGCTACCTTGCCATTGATCAAGGCAAAGATCACGATTACCCATCTCGCACGACTTCCAGAGAGAGCTTCCATTGAACTTTTCAATTTACGAACAGCACTCGAAGAACAGTACTCACTAGCATCTCCTTAGGAGTACTCGATGATCGTTGTCCACTGCGAAATACAAGAAACGAGATTGTGTATTGAAAATGTTATTATGTATGATTGGCTGGATTCTTGACTCGGTCGAGTCACATGCCTTGGTCCAATCATATCATCTGAAGTCGTCTCGTTCCATGATCGAGTCGTTATTGTTGCACGTCTGACCTTCGTGGATGTATCCAAGAAGCACACAAACGATAATTTGGTCACGTGATCATGACTGCAACAACGCTTTCGCTGGTTGTCATTAGAACTGTGCTCAGCACGGCATTTAATTGTGCTATAAAATGAAGTATATCTTGGAAGATGGATCTTCTTGCTAGTATTCTAAATGTATCTCAACTCGGCAGGAGCATTGGCATGAGTTAGCCTGCTTGAAACTGGATGAGTCGAGGTGATATAAATTGTCAGAAAAATAGATTCGGAGGTTGATCGTAGGGCCTGATATCTAGAATACAATTCCATGTTTTGATAAGTTTTATTCGTCAACTGGATCCATTCCTCGCCACATCTCTTTCTTTGACATATTGAATACTTGAAGTACAAGCTTTATTCACTCAGGTATAGAACTCTTAGATACTTTGTAAGTAGATGGATGAATGAGAATGAAAGAGGTTTATATGCCTAGGTATATCAATGAGTATTGAATATAACTAGCCATTCATCTCTTATGTTTATCTTGAATATTCTGGGGATCGGCCAGATGAATACTTATGCAGTAACAATAATGGCTACAAAACTGGATGATTGTATCAAGATGAAACAGATATTCGTTTAAGGAGCTTTGGACATACATTACCCATCAATTTTCTCCATTTCCGAGTACGAAAAGTGTGAGATGAAATCCATACAAGCACAACTTCAAGGCCTTGTTGAAAGTCCAGGTCAATTCACTAAATGGGCAAATTTAGAAACAATACTTTGTTGTAAATGGAACCTGCTGTAAGGTATCAAATTCAATTGTTGGGGTCCATGAGTGATTTTCAGACATATACACCGAAAATAAAACGATTCACTTTGTTAACCTACGAATAATTTATTCCTGATAGATAGATTACTACCACAATAACAGACGAATGACACTCCATCCCACATACTTCTGTTATGCAGATAAATTCCTACACTCCTCTCTCTTCACTTGAAGTTGTGAGTATATCCATAGTAGCTGGTAATCTGTGACAGCTTTGTTTCCCACTCACTGAAACGAGGCTTAACATATATTCTCAACTATGATTTCCTCAAAATTGTCACTTCTCTTTTCACATTTTGGCCTTGTGAACTTCATCCGAAAATAGATTTCGGTTGAGGAGCGGGGTAAGTGACCGTCTGAAGGTGGTTTGGGTCATCTACATTGACATGTATTCACCTAGCCGAATCTCGTTTAATTCATTCGAAGGAATCCTGAGGCTTATTCGAGGTCTGTTTCTCTTGCAATTTCCCCTCTTCTCTTTCTAACTTTTTGTTTTACATTTCTGCATCAGATTTATCCAGACTGCATTGTTCTCGGTCAACCTACTGCTCTTCACAACTAGTCTATCCTATTGGGGCGCTGGTCGTCGCACCAGTCAAGGTATACCAGTCTTCCTAAAATCTTGATACTATAACTTTGTCGCTTCACTTTCCGTAATCCAACCACAACCACAAAGCACCACCAGAATACGAGTAAGTTTTTTTCCTTTATCAAAACACAAGAAATTGCGATTTATTCTCTGCTCTCCTTACTTCGAAGTACTTAATGGTACATTTCTATAAGGTCCTTGCCACTTCAGAGCTCGGTATCGCGTCTTGATTTCTCCTTCTTCCATCATCCTCTCCCCTTTTGTTCATCTTTACATAACGATCTTGCCACGTACTTATTCAACACAACAACTTCCAATCTTTCAAGGTTTATTTTGAGCTTCTACTGACGACCCGACAGATTCAACACATTCAGCTCACTTCTCCTTGTTGACTTTCACGTAACCGTGTAATTCATCACTTCATATCTAAACCACTAACGCTTTCATCTTTCAATAAATTTTTGCAGAGCTTTGATATCGAAAATGGAGCTCGACGATTCCTGGGATCCTGATCCCTTACCAAGTTGCAGTTCTAGAAATCAATCTCAGCCTCGATCCAAAAAGGAGAAAACTCATCACTCTTCAACACAACCGGAACTGCAACCTCATTACTACCAACAACTTAAAACTTCTCATTCACAACACCGAGGTCGGAACGCACCCATGAAGCTTTATCAAAACTTTTCAGACGATGAAAGCTCATCTGATGAATACCCTGTCGTCTTGCAACAACCGCAGATCAATCATAAAAGAGTGATAAGTCCCGCTCAATCTGCGCAGGATAGACGGAAGCGACATCAGAGTGAGCACCCAAGTCGCTTTGATCGTGGCCGCACAACAAAAGTAGAGGAGGTTGTGTATGATCATATCTCGGCGATCTCGCGGTCTCGCAATAAGTCCGTTGCCCGCAATGACGCTCAATATAAGGTTAGGGCAAATGATATTTTCGAAGGGTATCAAAATGTCGCAAACACCGTGGCAGTCAGTAGAGAATCGGTCGCTCGTAGCCATTCGCGTGCAAGAGACTTATATGAGAATCAAGGCTATACTATAACGGAAGATTACAGCCAGCAGTTCGACAGACAACCAAGTGTCTTTTCACCTCAGAAGAATGCTCAAACTAAGGGGCGTACGAAGGAGGGGCTAACCTACGAATCTATGCCGCCTGTTACAGATGCTCACAGACCAGCTGGTCGAGATTGTAAAGAAACTTCAAGAGCCAATCACGAATCAGTCGGTACACCCAAACAAAGGCAACGGCATGGTTATTCTCGTGCACAAAGTCTAGCCCCGCGAACCTCCAACGGCAATAGTGATACACAATATCTGGGCACTGAAAATGGTACGTACAGTGTCAGAACTCAAAGACAGGGAAAGGGGCCCCAACTTCGCTCGCCATTATGGTCAAGCCATGATTCTGCTGTACCCAAACCTTCCTCTGCTAACATATTGCAAGGGAGAACTGACAAGTCTACCTTGATGAAGCCACTCCCACATACGCCAAATAATCAGTCCGTGAGAATTAGATCAGTTGCCTCTGATCGCATGCAGAGCAACTCAAATCAAGCCCGAACGATCGATTATGGTCCTATTGATGACGACGATGTCTACGAGACACCATTGGAAATTGATCTTCGCCGTAGATCCAAGTCTCACGCGAGGGCTCATAATGGTCCCATGAACTTCATAAATGCTCTACCAAAGTCTAGTGTATTTCGAAGAAAGAATTCCGAAGTCGCAGAGCAGGTTCATCAAACTCCATCCAGTGATTCAAATAGATCTAACAATTCGGGGGTCACTATCGATCTCGTTACGCCAGAAAGTACTCTTTGTGCCCGCAGTTCAATGCCTTTTATACCTCAACACTGGACTCCAACGAGAAGAGGCCCGATCAGAGTATCGACTTCCATGGAACTCTCTTATCAGGATGGTCTTGGCGCTAAAAGTGAACAACAACCTGGTCAGAATACTCATCGGCACCAAGCCAATGAATCTAGCCCTCATAAGGGACAACAGCCTGAAGAAAATATTCGTCAACAGCAAGCAGCTGAGAAGATTATCCGGCAAGAACTCAATGCTGATAATGAAGCTTTGCAAGAAGAACTATTTGGAGCAGTTATTGGCGAAACTGAGGGAGAAAAGAGAGAGCGTGAAGAAGCTAAACGCTTGGAAGCTCAGAGATTGCGGGAAGAGAGAGAGAAGCAAGATCTCATTGATGCCGAGAGGAAGCGAAAGAAGAATGAAGCAAGAGCCAAGAAAGAGAGCGAGAGGAAAGCGGCTGAGCAGGCCGAGAAGGAGAAAGAAGTAGCAGCAAAAAAAGCCAAACGCGACGCCGAACGCCATCATCAATCTTTGAAAGAGCAACAGAATGCAGACGAGAGACGCAAGGCCGCAAATAAGTTACTACAAGAGAAGAGAGAAAAAGATTTGGCTGCGGCCAAAGCTGCTGAGGAAAAAGCACAAGCTGCAGAAAAGGAAAGGAAAGAGAATGATGCTAAGTTTGAGCAAATGAAACGGCAATTGGAAAAGCTTGAGGCGCAAGTCAAAGCAAAATCGATTGCGGAATTGAAGCCTGCGAGAAAACCTACGGCTGTGGAAGGTGTCTCAAACAAAGTTAACTCTCTGCCTCCTCAAGTCACGCCTTCAACAAGCATGGAAATAGACAATGAAATTCCATTATCCACTACACAGACCCAACTAAAACCTGTGAATGGAACCTCAAACACGGAAAAGACTTTACCTCCTCAAGCCACACTTCCGACAAACATCGAAGTCGAAGATGAAGACACACTGTTCGTTTCAGACAATCGAAAGACAGTTGTCGAAGCCACTCCCGGACGGCAAATTTCAAACGGTCTCCAAAATACCACAGGAAGCTTTAGTAGTGACTCGACAATTGTTCAGTCCATAGGGTATGATCGACCCCCTACTAGTATGACTGAGATCTTTGCCAAGACAATTCTCAATCCAAGTGGTGACAAGACTCTCGAAGATAGAGACGCAGAGCGTGAAGCTATTCGCAAAAATAGAGCAAATGAGAATGCAGCTGCCAAGCAAAAACGAGCCAAGTCCATACCTGCGGAGCCAAACCTTGAAACAGTTGCTCATAAGGCTGCTCTGCAGGCAACTCCAAAAGCGCCAACAAAAAGCCCGTCAAAGAAGAAACGAACCCAGTCACTGACAAAGTCATTAGGGGGTTCCATATTCAGTGTTAAGTTACAACCTCTAGCCGGACATGAACCCGAAGGGTATGTCCCTCGCGAACAACCAGAAGAACCTCAGAATGCCTATAAGAAAACTACTACAGAGCTTACAGCCTCGAAACCGCGCCCACTTCCATTGTCTTTACCTCTTCCTCTTCCCCCACCAGTAAGGTCTGCTACTACTTCAAGTAGATTAGAAACTCGTCTGATTTCACAGGCAGAGCGAGAGGAAATTGAAGCTAATCGCCAAAGAGTCCAGGCTGCGGCACAGGCTCGGAAGGAAAATTCGAACAGAGCAAGATTGGAGGAGAAAAAAGCTGCATCTGCGAAAAAGAGAACAGTTGAATATCGCAAGAGGAAAGGAAAAGAACTCATTGAAGAAGCTCGTAAGGAAGGTAGAGTAATAGGTGATTCCGAGCTGGAAGCTAGGCTTAACAAGTTAATGGAGAAGCGAGAGGTATGTTTCCACAATGATCTACTGTTATTCATTTTCACTAATCAGAGATTTAAGCGCGAGATAAAGCGAAAAAGAAATCGTGCAGGAGAAAAGACTTCATCGTACGAACATGAACGTGAAAATGAACCCGCTCCTGGTACCAGCATACCTAACGATTCTGGCATGGTGGTGGCACAAGTCTCTTCCTCCGATACTACTAGCGATTCTAATCAAATTGAGGATGATGATAATCCTCTGACTCTAGATCTGAAAGAGCATAAGATCAAAACGGCTGAGGTTTTGAAAGAACGGGCGCAATCGCATGCAGCTCGACGTACCCAACCACAACCAGTGAAAAGACTGGAACCAATTTTTGACTCGGACGAGTCGGAAGAGTCTGAAGAGGATCCGATTGATGATGAAACTCTAGAAATGATGATGGAACAAGCTCGAAAAAATAATGCTCTTACAGAGGTTGCAAAAACTGGCGAAAATAACGGTGAGATCCAATCAGAAACTCGGACTGCGGAAGAGATTGCTCTTGAGAAAGAGATAGAAGATCTTTTCGAAAAAGATCCAAATGTCGGAGAAGAGTCTCAAGAAGCAACCGCTACACTCAACCCCGATGAACATAGTGCACAGATCGTTCCACCAATGCCCAATATGACAAGATACTTTGAGAGTCAATCCCCTCCACGATCTTCCATTAATCTAGAAACCCAATCACCGTTACTCGCAGCACCTAGTCAGATGGTCAGAACAGTACCTTTCAAACCACAGGGGCCCGTATCATATAAAATGGTCAATTTATATATGGTAATGACACAAGTGACGCTTCAGGAATATGAAGACGAAGTTGTTCTCAAGAAGAAGTTTTTTGATCTTGAAAAGGCCAACAAGCATGCACAGATGCTTGTCAACGAATGGAGAACCAAAATGTTTAGACAACAGGAAATTCTGGAGAAGTGGGACTCTGATCGTATGTATCATGGTCAAATCGTTCACGATGAACAGAAGACTACCAAGGTCTTTGTCATGTTTAAGCCGATGAACTCCGAAGATGCTGACAGATACGATCCAACACTGGTACGCCCGATATTTGCCAATCGATATTACACGATCCGATTTGAGAAAGTCGTCGAGGAAATTGATCCTGAAACTCAAAAAGTCTGTATGACAGACCGCACTGCTGGATTTGCAGATGCGAGCAAGCTATACACGGTTTTAGAAATGGCGAATCATGCTGCTGCCGAATATCTCGCCAAGGAAGTCAAACCCAAGGGAGAAGTTGAGGAGCAGCATACTGCGTACGAACAACTCATCCTCCCGCAAGTGAGGGCAGGAAGAGATGATTGCATCCAAGCAGATCAATTGTTTTGTTGCGAGGTGACTCGCGAACAAATTCCTTGGGCAGATTTCGAAACATTCGAAGTTAGCGTGGAAATGTTCAAGACTGAGGGCCCGATTAATTGAAACGAAAGCAGTAGATGTGCTTTCCTCTTCATCTTCATCATGAATGCAAATTGATTACTGAAACGATTATCATCGTTCAATTTCTTACCACCGCCCAAATTTTATCTTTATCAAACCACATCCTTCATTTTTGCCGCCGAACACGCACATCTCTAGATACTTACACACACCCGTTTCAACATCACATACGTTCACTACACATAGTATCGACCATTTCACCAACACCTCCGCACTTCACGTTATCCCTTATATAACATCGGATTCAATCCATACTTCACACCAAAACTGACATAACATAATTATCCATTTCATCAAATTCAACATCAAATCAACCATCACCACAATCATAATCGCCTAATCACCAAAAAATTCCATTATCACAAATACAAATAATACAGTCGGAAAAGAAAGTGCAGAAGTCAGTTCAACCATTAGGCGTTCAAGGGTAGTAATGACACGAACAACTCTTGGGGGACTCATCGATGAGTTTATTTCTTGCTGTTTATCAATAGGAAGGGCGTGAGATTTGGGTATCTTATTTTACTTTATCTGCTTTTTATTGCCTTTTACTTTTAATCCGTTATTCAGGATGAGAGGTTCCGCAAGCGTTTTGGAGAAAGGGGTCGTAATGAAATCGAGTGGGCAGTGGAGGGGTTGAGAGCATAGGCGGATGGAGAAAAGGGGCGGTGCGGGTTTGTGCCAAGTACAGTACATACGTTGGGGAAAAGCTACGTGAGGGGAAGGAGATCCACTGGAGAGGAGAGGCCAGCGCGTTTTCTTTCTTTGTTGTTGTTTTAATGAAAATTGATTAATACTGCTTCTTGAAGAACTCAAGCAGTTGTTGTCAAATTCCGTACTTTTGTGATAATGATTAAGTGATGAAAACGGCAAACGATTGTTCAGATTGTGGCTTGTATAATGGCAGGCAAAGAAGCTGATTCTTTGTAATTTTTATGCCTTCGGAGTTCGATCTTCATTGTAGTAGTTCTCAATGAAACTCCGAATTATATGTTTGAAGCTTTGCGTTTGTACAAGTACAGCCAAACGAGACTCTCATTTTCAGTGAATATTCTTCGATGTCTGAAACGAGATATGACAGCAACAAAAAAGAGACTACAGTGACAGCCACTGTTGGAAAGAAATCGGATGGGAATCTGTTCTAGGTACACTGGAGTAACAATTTAAGAGTGTACCATGAATTCGAAGTTAAAGCAAGGGTCCGCAAGAAGTTACGGTCTTCGCCTAGTCATGGTCTGCTGGCTCCTTGTATCTTGCAAACGTGGCGAACCAATTACACATTAGCCAGAGATTTATCTAGAAATAGAAGGAGAAGTATAGGTAGTAAGGGTTGGCAGGAAAAGCAAGTTGGTGAATTGCATGCCAATGCCGAGGAATTCAATAGATGAGCTTTCCACTTCAAGGCGAACTTACTAGAGGAAGATTCAAAATCTTGCTCTCCATTCGACCGGCAATCCCATGTATATCTCGCTCATATTCTCGAGTTAATCTCCACAACATAATATCTGGTAATAAATACTAGTGACAACGACATCTAAGTTATGACAACCATGATAACTTTAATGACAACAATAGATTCCAATTCTTAAATACAGAGCCGTGTCATGGGAGAACGCTGATTGCTATTGATAATTGTCATACTAAACGCTTAAGCCTGAATACCAACTCATCAATGTAGGCCTACACCTCCATGAACGGGTTTAGAGATAGTACCATTTGAAGAAGAAACAGGTAATTGTGGCGTGGTTTGAAAGTTCTGCGTGCAATATCAACTTCCCGGGTCTCCTATCTATGCTCAAAGTATTGCCTTTTGTACCCATGTATTCATAAAACAACTAGACAGCCAGGCAAGCTTACCTACTCAGCCTAGTCTCCGCTCATACCGGTGAATCATTCACTAGCTTCCACAGATCATTCACACGAGACTAGCTACTGCAAACCCAATGTAGATCCGGTTCCTCGTCGTCTAATATACCTCACTGGGAACAAATATTTGTGATATTTGACACTTGTTCTAGTCGCCATGTTTCTGATTTTTACTTGCGGGCAGACTTCTGACGAGGTGCAGAGTGAAGGTCAAACTTTCTGTATCCTCAGCACGATTCATCGCAGCCTATCCTATGCTTTCTTATGGGATCTTGGTGTGGAGCCTGCGTTTCTTTTCAAATCGGATGGATTAGTATTGAGCGTAGAATATTAGTGACAGTGACCAGGAATAATGACGATAGTGCCACTCTTGAAATGAGTTGGGCTGGTTGATTGGCTCTCAAGTAAATTATCTGGGTTGATTGGTGCATGTCAACAAATCAAAGAAAGACAGTACAGGGGGAGATGCCCCGGCAGTAATCATAGTTTGCCTTGACATTTTTCAATCTCTTCCTGCTCAGAGAGACTATCTGCTGGACCTATACCGTATTTTGCAACGTGTTTGTACGCATCGTTACACACCCCTCCATTAGGCCAACATTAGCTTGGGTGCCCAATAGAGACGGTCTAACAGAGACGAGACGGCAACCAATCATATTGTTTCATTGACAGGTATAGCATGTGTATGAGCGTTCGCAAGCCACATGGAAAGAGCTCGAAGATGATGATACATTATGACACACAAAATCTTAACAATCCTTAATTGAAGTTCATATACAACACTTCACTCATCACTAGCCAGGCGTTAAGTGTTTCCTACTCGGCCGAACTTTCACCACAAGATATCCATCCTCTTCCCCTCCAATAAAGCACATTAAGCCAAAGCTAAATACAATAAATTACACACTTCAATTGTAATTAGGAGAAGATATCACAACAAAAGTAACGCCGAATCATTATCTCCTAATACACATATCAAAACCGATAGCTTCCCTCTCAATACACCTATTTTGGAGCCTCTCCATCGACGAAGCTTAACGCATCTTCCTTTCCAACAACACCAATTCCACTAGTCTTGTTATGGAAAGTAACACCATAGCATTTATTTGCCACTAGTACCATCTCTGGTCTGAATGTTGTGCAAATGAATTGTCCACCCATAACTTTTTGTTTTTTAGAACCACCTTCACCATCTTCATCATTATCAGATTCTTCATCTGAGTTATCTTGCGACTGAGAAGCTTGTGATTGTTTGGCTGAGATTTCCTTAAGCATTTGAGCTACAGCGGTACGGTATTGAGCATCAAGATTTGCGTCAATTTCATCAAAGAGATAGAAAGGAGCTGGGTCACATTGTTGAATCGCAAAGACAAGAGCGAGGGCGCATAGACCTACAGGGAAGGCGAATTAGTACATTGGATAAAGAACTTGCGGAGGGAAATGACATACTCTTTTGTCCACCAGATAATTGTTGAATACGTTGTTGATCGTCGTGTTTACTATTGAAGCTGACACTGATTCCAACACCGACATAATTCTCAACACTATCCCGTGCTTCTTCGTCCGAATCTTCTTCCTCTCTTGCACGACGGTCTGTTTTACGTTGAATAACAAGACGACCACGACCAGCTGGGACAAGACGCTCGAAAATTTGGGCAAACTCCCTAGATACTTGCTTGAATGTTCGCTCAATGGCTTCATCCTTACGTTGATCAAGGACTTCAACGAGTTCTTGAATTGATGATTGGGAATCATCGAGTTCCTTCCTACGCTTAGTCAAACTGTCACGCTGAGTTGTGAATTGATTGTATTGTTCGAATGCCTTCTTGTTAACGTGTTTATACTTCTTGAGAGCTTCCTGAACTTTTTTGAGTCGAGATTGAATCTAGAAATGTTAGTGCACAGGACAAGAAGATTATTGTGGAAGTTTGCTTACGGATTTTGGGTCATAATCCTTGTACTTCTCAAATGCTTCATCAGGCAGGACACCCAAGTCGCGAATATTCTTGGCGCAATCTGCAGCACTAGTCGTCAGAATGGCCTTTCGAGCAATGCTCTTCTCCATCCTCTTCTGGTGCTTCTCAATCAATGCAGCAATCTTATTCTGCTCGTCTTCTTGACGATTCCTTTCCTGTTCCAAATTGTTGATGTTTGATTCAGCTTCCTCCAATTGCTTTTCGTTTTCCTTGAGCTTTGACTCTACAGCACTTGAAGCCTTGGTAATACGCTTCAATTCTCTTTGGGATTCTTTCAAATTACCAGAACCACTACCGGTAGCAAGATCGAATTCTTGACTATTTAATTGATCAAGCCTGAGTCTAAGATTCTCACGGAGATCAACCTCAATCATCTGTTTGCGGCTCTCGAGATCTCTCCGACTTCTGCTGTATTCATTCCATTGCTTTTGTAGATCTTGGACAGAAGCATTGAGCTGCTCAAGCTGTCGTTCTTCATTGGCCGTCAATGCCTTCTTGAAATCAGACGCAATTTCTGCTTCGTAATCAGCAATTTTAGCGGCATGATCTTTCAACAATTTGAGAACATCTGCTTGATTGCGAAGAAGTCGTTCAAGCTGCGCCTTCTGTCTTTCGAGGTGCGCTTGTTTTGATCTCAGCCCTGACTTTAATGGATCCAGGCCGTCAACAAGTTTGTGCTCCTTTTGACTAGCCTTTTGCTCTTCAGTATAAGCGGCGGTGATTTCTTGATCTTTTTGCTCAATTTCCTTTCTGATCTCATCTTGTCGTACCTTCAAAATTTCGTACTCATCCCGCCATTTGGTCAGCGCACGAACAGCTTGAAGTCTTGATTCCTTTGGATTAAGATATCCACCAGTCAAGGCACCTTTCCTATTTGTAGTATCACCGTCTGGTGTAATGGCATTACATCCGTGACTTCTTGCATACTGAGCAGCAATTGTGAGGTTAGGACAAACGATCGTCTTACCGAATACTTGCTCGAAGGCTGGCTCAAACTTTTTGTCGTATCGAATCTTGCTCAACATAGGTATAGCATCAGATGCATTTGGCAAGTTACCTGGTTTGAATCTGAGTTGGCTCAAAGGAACAAATGTAAGTCTTCCGCCCTTATCCGCGTTTAAAGCATTAATAAGTTGCGTTGCAGTTTCTTCGTTATCAACGACGTAGTTGAAGAGACTGCTACCGGCGGTCTGTTCCACGGCTACTCGATAAATTTCTTCAACTTCAAGGAGTTCTGCTAGAGTGCCGTATGCTCCTTGGATGTTGTGCTGCTTTTTGAGACGTCTCACTGTGGCTAATCCACGAGATGTGGCGCTATCCATGGTCTTTGCTAATTCCGACTCGGCTTGAAGAACTTCTTTGCGAGCATCTTCTATGACCGAGTGGAGCTTTTCGTCCTCTCTTCGTAGCAATTTTCTCTCATCCTGTAATTTCTCCAAAGATTCTTTGGCGGTAGAGACCTCTTCAGCTAAGGCTATTCTATTGCCACTCCATCCGTCTAATCGCTCCTGAAGACCAGATATTTCGGTTTCCAAATTTCGGATTTCAGATTGCACATTTTTCACCTCTTCGTCACCATCGATACGGTTTGCCTTCTGCGATCCAATCGTGGAGTTGAGCTCTTCAATTTCCTTCCTTAAAAATTGATCACGTTCAGCCTTGGTCCTAAATTGGTTGCTACGAGCTTGTTTTGCGTAGAGTCTATTTCTGCCAGCCTCCGCTTCGTCGAGATTTCGCTTAACTTCGGCTTCGCTAGCTTTTCGACTAGTAAAATCCGGGAGTAATTGTGCAAGTTCGGCCTCTTTCGAAGCTATTTCCTGCTTCACAGAATTCAATTCTTGCTGATGCCTTACACGCGATTGCTCTGTGGACGATTGGTTGGCTGTCAATGTTTTGACGTCTAATTCGATCTTGGCCCGAGCTTTTGCAGTATCTCGTCTATCCTCCTCCAATTGACGTCTATCTACTCTGAGGAGCTCCATTTGTCGAGTCAACTGTTTGATTTGTGTGTCTAGTTGCGCGATAGCCTTTTCTCCTTCCATGAATGCGTCCTTGTTCTCATCACCATCACCACCACCTTGTCTAAACTCATCGATTTCCTCCAGCTTTTCGGCAATTGCGACTTGTTCCTGGTGAAAGAAAGCATATTGTAGACATCGACGATCCTTATCCTTCTCCTGGTAACCTCTCAATTCTTCCTTCTCCTCCTCTAGTTCTGCCAGACGTTCCTTAATGTACTCCAACAATTCATCAATCTTGGCTCGTTTATTATTAGTATCTGTCATAATCTTCAGGGACTCAGTACGGCGTTGCTCATAGACTTGCGTTCCAGCCACTTCCTTCAATAAGTTCAATCTCTCGCCATCTTTCATGTTGGTAAGAGCTGTAACACGTCCTTGAGGCACAATGTAATATGGATTCGACCTAGAAAATCCTGCGGTTTCCAGAAGATTAAGAACATCGGTTTTTGTAGCATTTTTCTTGTCCAAAGAATATTCATCCTTTTTCAATCCAATTGTTCGACGAAGGTAGAGCTCGTTCTTGCCAGTAGGAAAACGTCCGTCGGAATTGTCGAAAATGATTTCAACGTATGCGGACATAACCGCAGATCCTGAACCTTCGTGAAGCAAAGCCTGTCGCTCTTCACGACCCATCTGAGTATACGCATCGCTGAGAACGAATCGAATGGCCGCGAAAAAGTTACTCTTTCCAGATCCATTTCTGCCAACAATTACATTGGTCGCTGGAGAAAATTCGTCGATGAGTGTTTGATCCTTATAACTGTATGTGTGTGTTAGGATGCATTATCTTCTATCGTAGTTCAAAACGCACCTTTTGAAGCCCTGGATATTTATCTGCTTGATATAAACCATCGCGACCACTTGTCGCCAGTGGGGCAACGATAATTCTTGCTGATTGTGAAGAGCGCTTCAAAAGGGAAAAACTGATCTCGATTTATTCTGAAGAATTTGCAAGAGATCCACCAAGCGCAACTGTATAATCAGTATTCAATCGAGGTTTTAATGAGTTTGTCGCGTCAACAAGCTGAAAGTTCAAGAAACGCGATTGAGGTCGCGATTCTTAGCGTAGAAAAGTGACGTCTCACCGCCCTGTGGCAGAAATTCTCCATGATAATTTCAGTCAGTCATTCTTCACCCACCACTTTTTAAAGCACCTAAGGTCGATACACAATACCGGATTAATCTGCTTATTGAAGAGATGGCAGATAATAACGAGATACCCACACTTGTATCTGCAGCAGCAGGACAAGAACCATCTCACACATATATTCCAAATCAAGGATATGCCCACCCCGCCACTTCAGATGCCCCTCCAATGACTCCGACTTCTGGTGAAAATACAGAATATGCCGCAGATAACGAAGACGATGCATACGATGATTTATTCGATGAGGAAGATGACGGGTACGTTGACGACGTCGATTATGACCCATCTTCCGGTGATTTAACCAAATCCTATAACCGTCAACGCAAGCTCAACGATGCAACCGCCACTGGTGCCCCTCGAATAAATCCCCAAAGACCGGCTGCGAATACCAAGGCAAGTGTCGATGATCAGATCACCAGTTTGTCAAAACATGCTGCTAAGATCAGATTGGATGGCAGTTTCGATGGAGGTCATAAAACACATGGAAAAGATAAATCGGATCGTGCGACGAGTGAACAAGTTTTGGATCCTCGTACACGTATGATTTTACTTCAGATGATCAATAGAGGTATTGTTTCCGAAGTCAACGGATGTTTAAGTACGGGTAAGGAAGCCAACGTATATGGGGCCTTATCAATTCCCTCGACAGACGCAGATTCACAACCAATTCACCGGGCTATTAAGGTCTACAAGACTAGTATCTTGGTCTTTAAGGATCGTGATCGCTATGTTACTGGTGAACATAGATTCAGATCAGGATACAATAAAGGAAATAACAGAGCTATGGTCAAAGTCTGGGCTGAGAAAGAGTTCCGAAATTTAAAACGTCTACATTTGGCTGGAATCCCTTGTCCAGAACCTGTCCATCTACGTCTACATGTCCTTGTCATGGGGTTCCTAGGTGATAAGAAGGGATGGGCCGCACCAAGACTTCGAGATGTAGAGCTCTCTGGTGATGACGTCGATGAACAGTATCGATTGCTCTACCTACAACTCATTGGACTCATGCGAAGAATGTACCAAACATGTAAACTTGTTCACGCAGATTTGAGTGAGTATAACGTATTATACCACCAGAAAAAACTTTTCATTATCGATGTTTCTCAAAGTGTTGAACACGACCATCCTCGTTCATTGGAATTCCTCCGAATGGATATCAAGAACGTATCCGATTTCTTCAAGCGCAAGAATGTCGAAGTCTTATCCGAACAAACCATTTACCAATTTATCACTTTCCATGATGGACCAACCCAGGAGCCGGGACTCAGTGAAGCGCTTGAGAAACTACTTCTTGAAAGACCTGAAGAAGATGAAACTGAAGAAGCTGTCGCCAAACGACAAGTAGAAAATGAAGTTTACCGTCAACAATACATACCACAAACTCTAGAGCAAGTCTACGATTTCGAGCGCGATGCTGAGAAAGTAGGAAAGGGTGAACGAGGCGACCTTGTGTATCGAAATTTGTTGGCTGCGGATAAGATGCCTATGTCTTCGGGCAACGAGGCGGATGCAGAGGATACGATGGGCGACGGTACTAGTCAGGCCAGTGATGATGATGAAGATGCGGAGGGTGACGAAGATGGAGAGGATGGAGATGATGACGATGACGAGAAGAGATTTGAGAAGGGTACACCGAGAGGGAAGAGATTCGAGGATAAAGATGCTAAGAAGGTTAGTTCATTTCGAGCATTTGTTTTGCCATTCGCCTTTCTACCCTTGACACCCCTATCATGGAATGATGACCCAATTTCCATCCACAAAACATGACCTCCCTTCTGGGACCAGATTACAAATCACGAGAACTTTATGTCTGACCATCACTCAAATATCTCCATTAATTTGCTTCATGTCATATTTACTGGAAGCTAACACTATTTTCCAACAATAGGAACACAAGAAAGCAGTCAAAGAAGAGAAACGTGAAAAGAGAAAAGACAAAATTCCCAAACATCTCAAGAAGAAACTTGTGAGCTCGACGGCAAAACATAAGCACTAGTTTTAAAGTCGAAAAATCAAATCAAACAAATAAATTCTTGAATCAAAATATTCGATCGCCGGCTCCTTCATATGATAGTGACCGGTAAGTAATCATTGCCTTTCTCTAGCTACCTTCCCCACAGATGCAGAGAAATCTTCAAAACGAACACCCGGATGAAGAAACAAACATCACTTCTCCCAACCCAATACATCGGAGTAGTGTCTTACCAAGGGGTTTCCTTCGGCAAAACCTCTTTGGTGTATGGGTTCCACTACCGGGGAAGCTGAAATACTTCTACTTTCAACGAGAGTAGGAGATATGCTGATCAAAGAGAGCACTGACGGGTGTTCTGTTCACGGAGTCTGTTTTTCCTTGATAGTTGATTCGTTGGGAAGAGATACCTAAGAGGAACAATGTGAAAGTGGCAATTATTGAACTAAGGGAAAAGAACTTGCTCGTATGATGACATAATAATGTAGCGAAGTCAAGTGGAGAACAAAATATACTATCTGTGTATATGCATATTTATTCATTCGCTATACCCTAATGTTTGCTATCTAAAACTGTGATTCTAAACTTACAATTCCTGGAAAGGCCGTGGCCATATAATGTAAACTCCCTGTAAAAAACGCAAAACCACGGTTCATTATGAAATTATCCATCTCCATTATATCCACAATCCTGACCATCCGTGCATCCAACCATCGCATACATAACATCGTATCGTATTTCGTCCCAATATTTGCTTTCCATTTGCCTCCTTCCGTCCCAGACCAATTCATACAAGCATCGCATCTTATCATTTCTCACCCGTCAGATCGTTTACTCCCTTCTATACCCCCCATTTCTCTTCTTCCTTCTATCTTCGGTATAATCCGTTTCATTTCCACCTCTCTCACTACTCAACCCCGGAATAAAGCAAGGATAACTCTTGTGTCCGGTATCCCCACTAACCTCACTATCCTCCCTCACACTACTCAACTCGCTTCCACCGACACTCGATTCAGCAGCGGAATAAGCAGGGGGTGCCAAATGTGATTGATCTCTACTTTGTTTCCTAGCTTCACGTCGAGCACGTCTCGCCTCTCGTTCACGACGCTCTTGCTCTTTTATTGCGGCTGCGTCACGAGACGAGATGAGGGAAGATGCGGCTGCGGAACTGTTGTCGTCACCAACGCGGAAACTGAAATCTCTACGTTGAGCTGCGCGTCCCTTATCTTGAAGTTTCTTGGCTTCTGCTTTGATTCTCTCATCATCTGTTACACTTGAATCGGCCTCGCTCTGTCTTGAACTCTTCTTGGTTGTGTTCTGTCTGTTCCAGAAAGTTGAGCTTCCACCATTATCCTTAGTCGAGGGAGCAACACGTGGGCCTTGAACTGTTCCGATAACCTTTCGAATTTTGTAGTGATCTTTGTTGTTACTCTTCTTTGGCCTCTCGGGGGTACGCTCAGGAGATCTCTCGCGGTTTTGCATAAGTCCATCGGAAACAGTTGAGCCTTCTTGGTTTGTAGATCCCTCCCAAATACTAGATTCGCTTTCTCTGTTCATGCCGCCAACTCGTGCTGGTTTCTCATGACGGTATGCTCGAAGATCCGCAATATCGTCGCCGTATTCGGATTCAGGTACATCACCCAAGTCACCACCGCGGAGTCTGCTCTTCTTATTCTTCTTTTCCTTCCGTGGGTAATTGACCTCACTCATTTCGCTATAAGTGACCTCACTTTGTGTGCCTAGTGAACTCTCTTCCTCATCATAGTCCTTGTATCTCGATCTCTCCATACCACTTCCACCCCTCTTACTCTTTTTGTTCTTCCTTCCCCATGTACTCCTCTTCTTTTCTCCATGTACAATACTACCACCTCCAAGATCTGTAGCTTCTGAAGCTCCAGAGAGAGTAGTACCATTGGGTCCTTTGCGTCTCAAGACCGTAGACTTATAATCATCCCAATCATTTTCATGAAAGACAAATCCACCATTCTTAGCGATGAAAAAAAACCAGATACCGGTGATAACAAAGCCAGCACCGATCAATCCAATAACTATGAAGACGAATTTGTTAGGAACAGTGTCGAAAGGTGTAACACCACTTGAGGGATCAACTGTGGGGACTACATCGCGTGCGGTGAGAGCTTTGGTGATGATATTTGGTGCGGAAGAAACGATGTCGAGAGATGGAGATGAAGAAGCAACGGCGGTACGTTTGAGGAGAGGGGAGACGTAAGAGGAGATAACAGGCATGATTGATATCTTTTCGTGAGTGTCGTGATTTAGGTTGGTATTCGAAGATGATGAAGTTTTATTTACTTCAACATCCAACTAAGTACAGCTTCGTACCATCAGTAGTGATAAAGGGTTATCGTGAATTGGAATATTCGTCAATTGAACTTCACAAAGTAAAAAATTACCGGAACAAATTGATAAGACTTAAAAGACTCAGTCAAAAAGTTCTGGTGTTGGATAGTATTGCCAACTCACGTTCCTTGGAATAAATTACGAGGCTGGGGAAAAAGCGGGAGGCTGGTCATTGTCGTTCGTTTACACAGCAACCGGGCACGTGCTTAGATCTATTTTTGGTTGTAGTTCTCGCTTTCTAGGCTCTTGTGAAAGATCTAGACAAACAATCAATCATATCAAATCCATTTGAGTTGGTTTTGCGTGCATATGCACACAATATATGAGAGCACTACAAAAGTCTAATTGTTTAGGGCTGAATGTGGGACGATGAAGTGATTAATAGTCCTAGTGGATCGTCAACCTAATGCTTGGTTTGGTTTAATCTTTCTCTGTCCCAAATCTCCTTGATGTCATGTCCAAAGTATCTAATCTCGATTGGTAAAATTGGGATCTGTGAGAAAATACCAAGCTTTTAAAGGAAGGGGTTGTAGGCTTTTTATCTCCTTAGTGTAATGTCCTTGGTGTGCCATTTTCAGAAAATTCCTCGCATTGAAGTCACTGCGCATGCCTCTCTTTTGCCTCTCTGAAAGTTCATAAGAGAACGCAATAGTATTCGATGATCATATGCCAGAATTAGCCCTGTCGTTCCTCTATTGAACCCCGTTTTTTATGACTGAGTGCACCAGATCAGGCTCCCAGATGCAGCCACCCGCTTGAAAGGCTCAATCGACAACGAATGATGGCTCACAATGGCTCAACTTGGAAATTTGAGACCGAGGAAAGGTGCTTTACATACTTTTATGGAGCAGCTTTTCCTGGATTCATGGTGACTTGTTGTCCAACTATATTAAAAACGTAGTCTTCTGAGTCATTGAGCCCCGGGTTACACAGGCACTCCAAAATCCCCAAACAGTTATTCTGTCCCTCTCTTTCCATATTTCCTTTTGTTGCGGTCTCAAATGGAATTCGTGTCAATAGTATCTACTTCGCGATGGATGTCGTAGCACATTTTTTGCGACATGAAAAGGTTAGTATTTCTCTGCGTCCCAAATTCTATGTTAGAAGTCAGAACAAGAACATGGCCAGATCTAAGAAATCACTTTTAGGGTGAACACAAAGCCCAAGGATTCAGCACAGATCAGTTTTTCTTATTCGCGATCCAGATCTAACTGCAGAGGGTCGTTCAGATTGCCAGGTATTCTCGAAGGATTTTTCGGACAGCAGAGATGTCACACACATCTGATGTTCGCCCATGACAAGAACCATCCGTACGGCACTCTTATCCTTCGAAAATGCTATTGCCAGAGGTGTGAAAGTTCAAGCTTTGGACATACTTCAGAATTAGGATACTTCGCCGAACGGCATAGGAATGGACAAAGAGTATCTACACAAACATTTCGGCGAACAAGTAGACTTCGATAAAGTTGAAGAAGGGTGGAATGATAAAGCTTCTGGTGAATGGGTTCCGAAAAGTCAGATGTGGAATATCCCTGCTTTAAAACTCGCGCTCAATGGCTTACGATCAACTACCACCAACGTCGAAGTTGTGATAGTCAGTCATGGAAGCGTCCTCAGAGAACTCACTAACGGGAGGGGTAAGTTGCGTGCCAAACCAAATCAAGCACACAAAAGCTAATGGAAATGAAATCTAGGAGATTGGCGATCTGGCGAAGTCCGCAGCTATTTAATTGATGATAATGGGAAACCTTTTCTCTTTCTAGATAAGGGTGGTCTCGAAGTTCGTAGATCACATTCTCTGACTCAACATGTGATACCTACATCAGATTAGATCCACTCCCAACCAACGGGGCCTTCAATTCTTGCAAAAACCTTAACACACAAGCCTTCGGAATCTTCTGAGAAAGCCCATGCAGTAAAAATGAAGGTGGTTATTCAAATCGTTGCAAAGGATACCTCGAAAAATACCAAGGAGGAGATACTGAAAGTTTTGAAGAGATGTGAGACTGACGTGGATGCATTATTCAAGATTTTTCAGGAGGAACTTCAGCCGACCAAAGTCGAGGGCGGTGACATTGAGGGCGTCAAAGCACGACCAATAATTGTGTTGAAGCAAGGACCAATAACGAAACAGCCGATGAGATACCAATAGCCAATTGAGAGGATGAGTGATGACGATATTGCTAGAAAAATACCTTTGAAAGCAGCATAGGTCAGGCACATCTCATCTACGAATCATTCGGAGTTATTATGAGAATCTTATGTCTGGTGGTTATAGACATGTTAACTTTGGGGAACATAGTTGTCGGTGTGCATAAGTGGTTTAAAGAGACTCAAAAGTGATAGCTTATGAGATAAAATTGGTCGAGAGGGCACGGAATTAGACGTTCATAACCTTGAAAAGAAAAAGAAAAAAATGGGCTGTTTTCAATCATATTCTAGTCTAGTTCACATATCTTTCAAAAGTCATTCTGACTCGCAAAGCACTCTTACAAATTTCACTAATATCGGATTTCAGAAGAAGACAAGGCAAAGCAACTTTGATATTTTCATATTCGTGTTCTCATCACCCAACGTCCTGGCATTTCCATAACTAAGTGTGCTCTTTGAATATACAATGATCACAACAAAATCTCCATCTCAAGTTCAGAAAATCAATGTTACTACCATTGTCTCATGTTGAATTACTTTCACCTGTCTTAATTGCTTACTTAGGCACCATATACTGCACAAGAATTATCGAATTCTCAATCTCTTGAAAAGATACCCTAAACGTGCCAAGTTAAACTCCTTACCCCGCCCCTAAACCCTCGCTAAAAACATTTCTTTGTTAATCTCATCCATCATTTAACCGTGCTTCTACATGGATACCGTAGAATATATAGATTGGTCCAAATACTCCATGCTACTTATCACATCACTCACCTCTTTATTTGCCACACAAGATCAGCCAACGAATCGTATCAACCTTATCCTAACGATGAGATATCCCCTCCGTAGAAATTCCATCCACTGACAACTATAGCCCATTCCCACCCAAAACAGCTCAAAACTCCCACAAACATTTTTTTCCATCCTCATGACTTCCCCCAAGTCCTCTCATAGGTCAAACTCGCCGAGTATTCCCCTCTGCTTACGCTTACACATGTCCCACGCCATCCCGGCATTTATCCTCAAGCTAATACTTCCCAACAGTCAACACCCGAGAACTGTTGCATATCTGATTTTTCGCCCGATAATTGTCCTCGGTTTAGCTTCGCTAGATCACGTTCATGATGACATGTTGAGGATTTGGTTGCACGTCTGAGTTTCGTGCCGACTTCGGGACGGTCTTCGGTACTGTTGTCGGTACTGTTTTCGGAGGTTTGGTTGGAGAATTTAGTATGTACTTGTTGACTCGCATGATAGAGATTTGATGCATTTTATTAGCGGATTCGATGAGAACTCGGGATAGGTCTTCTATTATCTTTTGCTTCTTCTCAATTTGCTGGTATTTGATGGCTAGTATCTGTACGTTATTCCCGCGCTCTATTTTAGCTGCATCATACATTCTACTTATACGTCGCATGTTCTTCAATACTGCATGCGACATACCTCTTTGCTTTTTTCAATATACAATTGATTACAAAGATCCCTTTCTTATAGTGTATAGAATTCTAAGATTATCACCATCTCGAGAGAGATAAATGCTATAAGCTCAAAACCTATATCTAACATCGCATAGATAATGAGTGAACAAATTTACCACGCTACATAGCCACTTCATGTTCACAAAAACTCCAAAGACCAATTCTTTCCAACCCCCAACTTCAAACCTCCACCAGACTCAACCTCTCGCGGATCAAAATCCACTGCAGAAAGACCTACAATCGCTACGACACCTCTCAAACCTCCTCATGAATATCCCAACTCCCCAAAAAAAGGAAGAAGAAAAAGAGTGAAAACCCGCAAATCATTGAAACTCAACCAGGTAATGAGTGAAGTGTGCATTCCTCCCCTAGATCCACAAATTCCTCTCTTCTCCCTACATAACAAATTCCTTATATATTCACCCAGCTTCCCTTTCCACTCCACCCAATTCCCAGTCCCCAATCCCCAATCTCTCCCAAAATCCAAAAAGATCCGACACCACAGAGATTCGAACTCTGGCTCCCGAAGGAAACGCCTGTACGATAGCCGTTCATCCAATCTCCTCATCAAATACCAAATTACCACTACCGCGATAAGGAGACGTACCAGGATGACCAAGCTAGTAGCAGGGCGTCGCGTTAACCACTCCGCCATAGTGCCCTTTTTTGATATGTTAAGTGAGTTGGTTTAGAGTTGTATGGAGATGAGGTTAGGAGGTTTGGAAAGTGAATATCAACCTTGAGCTTACCAACCATCACCCCATCAACCATAAAACAAACCAAATACTTACATTACAATATACATCATCCCTCCCATCCCTCCCAAACCACCAAACCACCAACCCACTAATAACCAACACTCAGACAACAAACCCAATTAACCCCCCCCTCCAGCTCCACATCTCATAAACCCAAAAGTAAATAAACCCAAAGCAATCAATCAAACTCCGAATGCAAAGACTCAAAAGAAGAATGTAAATTGATGTCCTTCATGTTCCATCGATCTCACCAACCTGGAAACTCAACTCCCATACGCATACTAGGTACCTACCTAGATAGTGCTTAGAAAGATCTTTCGAAGATCATCATCCGCCTATCTATGTAATTGAGGGAAAGAGGTGCATACATCTTCTTCCTCAACGCACCCAATACAAACAAAAAGAAAATGATCTAAACATTCCGCATCCCACCCACCGCGTCGCGTCGCGTCGCATCGCATCTCATCGCAACCTAAAGAACATATATAAAGCACCAAAATCCAGAGACTTCTCCAGTGAGCGCCGAGACATTCCTTGGCTATCATCCGAGAAGAAACAACTAATACTCAATCTCGCATTGAGGTATCCACTTGACAATACAGTCACATCACCAAGTTCAACTTCACTGCAGGAACTCGACGACTAGGAAATACAAGGGGGTATCATATTTTAAAACTATCCTAAAGCTATCTAAAGCTACCCTAAAGCTTATAATCCACAATCAATCAATCAATCCAATCCTGAAGGTTCTTGAAACAATTCTGATAGATAGACGAGTCCCCACTAACATTAAAGGAGGTCCAATCTATCAATCCATTTTCCGTCCCCCCCTCCCATCCTTTCCATATATCATACCAAACAGACCATGTACCAGCCATGTACGCCAACTCTTACAAACATCTCTGTCGATAATTCATATCTTACATGCTGCCATTGCTAGCAAATGTGCATGCATCTGTAGTTCATCCCAATCCCAATACTTTCAATCCAAAATCAAAAGGTAATCGCCAAAGTGAAGATAAGAGACATGAAAAAAGAGATTCATAACCATAGCTCATACAAGTCGTACATTCATCATATTGAAACATTTCCATTTCCACCATAAGGAAAAAAAAAACAGAAAAAGTGCTCTCAAGTGCTTTTGGGGTATAAACTTTTTCCGCTTTTCTGAAAAAACCAAAGAAGAGGAGAAAGTAATGACCACATATCAATATGCACAGAGAAGAAAGATGTTTTAAAAAAGGAATCCAAAAAGAAATGATACGAAATCGCCATAAACAATCATGTCGCTAAATCGAATATCCAAGAAATGAATCGTTCAAAGGAAATAAAATATGATACGTAAAGAATTCAAAGCCATGTAGAAGTAGTTGAATTCTCCCAGTTGGCATTGCGAGATTCATAGTCCCTGGCAGTGCGAGACTCATAATCCCTGACAGTGCGAGATCCATAGTCTTTGGCAGTGCGAGCTTCATAGTCTTCACGGCGTTCGCGAGGTGCTCTGTCCCGCTCTTGAGGTCGAGGTGAGACTCGGGTGTGGGAATGTTGTGATCTCATACGCGATCGGGCTGATTGACTGTCACTCCGATCATGTCGGCTTCGGCGCTCACGATCATCAAGTAATTTAGGTCCGTGTCCATGTCCATATTCCGATGCAGTTGCTTGGCTTCCGTCATGAATTATTTTTTCTGTGCGGTGAATCTGAATTTTTCCTCCTTCTTCGCATTGAATTTCAGCTCCACCAACTGTGACTTTAGCTTGGCCAGTTACCTCGATTGTAACATTATCATCACCACCACTTCGGGTTGTACGGGTGGTTTGTGTGCCCCGATAATCACTAAGGTCATGACTTCCACTGCTCTTTGTGCTTCTGCTACTACCCCCAGCCTGTCTTCGTTGTTCCCTTTTCAAAGCCTCAGCAGTGAGAGGGATAGTTGGACCACTGACTTCCTCGAGATAATCGGCTGCCGCAGAAAGTTTTGCGCTATAGCCACTTGATCCCGTAGTAGACGCTTGAGTGGATGAGGCAGATGTAGATTGTCCATAGTAGCTTTGTCGACGTCTGTTTTTGCTAGCAGTCTCAAGTCTGAATCTTTCTGCTTCCCTGGGTAGTTCGCTCACATCATATGAAACTGAGTTTCGATGAGGACTTGGTCGACGAGGACGAGGTGCTTGACGAGGAGGTTCATCATGGTACTCTTCAACGCTGTATTGGGAAAGCGTGTCGTCGTACACTGGCACGTCAACTGTTGGTCGTCGCATAGTAGGTTTGGGTGGTGGTGGCATAGCCTGAGAGTCTCTTCTGCCTCTGCTGCTCTTGCTCTTGTTGTAACTGCTTTCCACTTCGCTGTAGTTACTTTCGCGACTGCGCGAGCTGTCTGCCTTGCTAAAGTTACTCTCCGATACAGCAGAGCTATTTGTCCTTGAAGGGATCCCAGATGGTACACGTATGCTACTGGTGATGGTTCTCCCGACCGGCTCTTCAATAGAAGATTCGTAACTATCATCGTAATCATCTTCGCTGTAAATGTACTCTCGCTCATAGCCTCCTGTGATCATTCGAGGTGTTTGAACTGGCTCAGGTCGAATGCCATATTGAGAGGCCCTTTGTTGAGGTTCAAATCGAGCGGAAAGAGAGCGCGATGAAGGTTGAGCTTCCTGAGATTGAAAGTAGCTAGTAGCTTGAGGAGGAGGAGGAGGGACGACAGCATAGCTGTTGCTGAATGCTGGTGAGGGAGGTGGAGCTTGAAATTGCGCCGATTGATGAGCAGGTTGAAAATACGCAGAACTGGACAATGGCGGATAGGCAGCAGACACTGAAGCAGAGGCAGCGTGGTAACTGGAAGGTCGTTGACCACCGTGGTATGTTTGAGCGTGGGTCAATGCGCGAGGTCTCACAGGGACAGACGTGGTATTGGGTTGCGTAATGACGGGAGGTTGAGGGTGTTTAGAAGTAACTGGGGTCTTAACTCCGTAGTGCTCTGGTTTTGCGTCAGTCTTGACACTGAGAGATCTTCGGTGCTCCTTGTGCTCCTTGGTCTCTTTGTTTTTTAGTGTTTGTGGTGGACGTGATTCGACTGTGGAAGGACGTCTTTGGTTCGTGGATGGTCTTCGCGACTTTTTACTTTCTTTTGTGTATTCAACATCTTGTACCGCATCGGGTGATGATATCTCGGAGCCTGTAGGAATTGCTCCTGTCGAGTATCCCGAGTCGCTATTTGTTCTTGAAGCTTTACTTGATGTGCGATCGCGAGTGGTAATCTTAGGACGTTCCTTGACCTTTTCCCTTGAAGGTGCTTTAACGCTTGCGCTTCGTCGAGTACCTTTCAAAACTTTGCCCGTCTCTTCATCTTCGTCTTCGAAGTACATGGCACGTGGGCCACCCATTGTTTAGATTGGAGCGACGACAATAAGGGTCGTCAACAACAAGATACGTATTTGATATTAATCCGTAGAGTTGACGGGAAGGCCTGCTGAGTGTAAACAGAAAACGCACTGGACGCTTCTACTTATATAGTAGCAATTGATGTCGCACGAAGAAAGTGTTGTGGTCTGTATGTGTGTGTGGGTGTGTGTGTTGTTATGAAGTTTGGTTGACGGGGTGTACGGGAAGTGTGGTGTGGGTGAAGGGATGAACCGACTGAGGGATGGAATAAAAATTAAAAAAAGTAAGAGAGTAGTCGTAAATAAAAAATATGGGGAGTCTAAGCTCCTTTTTAGTGTCTAATCCGTGAATCCGTAGGGAAAAATAGTGAAGACACTAATCAATGATTGGATGAGCGACGCAATTCCGCAGTAGTGTCAATTAGGTAGTACTTTGACAGAAAGCTGAGACTTGGAGTAACGGGTAATGTTTGACTTTTTTTTCTTTTTGGTTTTCTTCTTTCGTGGATTGTTCTTTGCCAGGTTGAATAGAATGATGAATTATGGTTGGTGGTGATTAGGTCCGTAGGGTTTATCGATTTATCGATAGCGAATAGTGTGATTTGGCAGCCTAGGATTGAATGTCGATGCGATATGATATGATATGGATCAGCAATCCGGTAGCTAAAGAAGAACCCTAAAGGAGGGGGGCTGAGAGGAAAGTAGATAGTAGATGTGGATGTGTGGGTAAAGGGGACTTTTATCGAAGAGAGAATCTGCGATGATATGATAGGATCGTGTGGTATTGTCAACGAGGATACGTTGGTAAAGCCTCTCTCATAAACTTTCTGCTGGAAGTATGAGATTAAAAGCCGAATGGGGAATAACAAGATGATACACGGTACGAGGTGTACACTCTTCAGACCTGCCCTGGTTCAAGCTGTGGTCATATGTAAAGGAATAAGAAAAACAAGTACACCGGGGACTAATTGTGCTATATTTTTCCGTTGTTTTTTGGGTTTTCTTTGCAGAAAAATACTCCTAATCCTTGGGTAATGGGAGTATCCAAATGGGAACGAAAATAGGGAAATCCGTTTAAATAAAATCCTTGTCCGGTCTGTGGCTGCTATTTTGTGACTGTCCTTGGGGAAGATGAAGGTTTGCTGTAATTGGGTCTGGTTCCGGGTCCGTAGGGGTATCCTATTTTCCTGCGGTTTCCAAAATTATTCCTGTGGATGGTTTGGGAAAGGTGATGTAGTTCTTTGCGGTCCTTCTATGTCTTGGAGACAAAATTGTTGACTTGGTCAATAATTTGGTCTTGCTCGTAGCTTTGTACTTTTTGGAAAATCCACCACATGCGAGGATGTTCTTGTTTCCCGTAGGTTAAATCCCTCCGTAAGTTCGTTGCAGGGGGTAAATCAGGGAGAGAGAGAAAAAAGTTTCTCAATCGTTCGTTGTGTTGTCGGTCGGTCCTCCAGCCTAATGCTTGTCGTAGTACAGGATTCAGGAGCTCATTGGGTATCAATGTGTATTTGTGATAAGTGGAGTTGGGATATGAATACTCCGTCCACAATTCTCATCTCAAGGTAGCTAGAAAAGACTAGGGGGGGATTGGAAGAAAAAGAAGGGTAGGCGTATATGTAGGTATGACTCCTTATTAAAGTAAGATGTCTATTTTGAGCTGAAAATAATTGAATGCAGCAGTAAGAATGGTGAAGTATGTAAGGTGGTCGAGGAGTGAGAAATGTATGTATGGGTCTTGAATGGTAATGTTTTCAATCTTAGATGGTGTTGGCAAAGAATAAAGGGAAATGAAACGGATGGCAAGGTATGGGATGAGATAACAATAAATGGATTGACGAAAGGGAGTGTAAAAGTGTGAAGATAGTCTCTAACTGGTTGTCAAGATTCACGCCGAGTAGGAAAATTGGCGAGGGATGAAGGGATGAAGGGATTTGCGAATGGAGAATTGGAATTCTAGAAGTTTATTTGCGGGGATAGCTCATGGTTGCGCCTCCTTCATCCACTTCGCTTCGCTGTTTTCTTCCATTTCTCCCCTTCATTTTCCAATAGCCCAGATAAATTATTCGAACAAGGCGGCAATTGCTACTTGTCTTCCCCAATAATATTCGTTACAGATACGATACGGGATATTTTTAGTTGAGTGACCTACAATGTATGATACATAAAACCGTACTTGGTTTCAAAGTCACACTGACGACGACAGTTGCTTCAAAATTCTGGTTGTCTGGTTATTTGATACACGAGAGTTGCCTCCTTGGCGAGTTCTGCACACTTTCATGTTACTTGATATCATCATCATCATCTAGCAGTAACCACGATTGGCAAATGAGTAAACTGTTGGTTGCGGCTTTTCAAAGTCGATCTCATAAACGATAAAATGGGAAAAATGGATGCACTGCACCAGATGCACGATGTACCGTGGGTACCTAAGCCCACATCGTCAGACCCATCTACTTTCACAATACTTTCTTCCGTACATAACACCCACCGATTATTTGCTCACACGCCGAGCTACCTGCATACACTCTAAAGTAGCATATGCACGTCGACACGATACCTACGATGTAGGTACTAGCTTGGATTTTAATGGACAAGTGAACTCAATAGGTCAATGACTTATTGGATTTTTTCCGAATGATGATTGTTTGAACTTTTGATGCCTCTCGGAAGTATTAGCAATTAATGAAGAATTTGTCGATTAGTTGGATTTGGCTACCAACGAAACGAGGAAACAAAACCAGCCACTTTACAACAGACGCCATTTCAAGCCATCTTTTATGCATTGGAAAAAGTCGAATTTGACAAGACCAATGGCTAAAACATGGATTTGTGAACCTCGTTCATTCGCTCAATTACCCTGTTGTGTAAGCAACCAATTTATTTCGGCTCTCTTCCATGACTATTCTCCAGCAACTCAATCCGTCGGAAAATCACATTTACCATCCAATACCATCGATTGATTCAACACGTAGAATCTGACATTCTTCTTTTAGAAATCTGCCTTTGAGATTGCCTAGCAACGAACATGCATTCATTCTTTCTATTCTTTCCCTCAGTGCACGCCAGTCAACGCGTTTCAAGTCAAGCATTTCGTTGTAACATCAAGTTTTCAGAATCACCGGGTATTATCATCACCATTGGTAACTAGCAGTCCCCAGGCAACGCATCGCAGCACAGTGCACATATACTGCAAGTCATATATGCTCAGCCAACAATTGGTAGTCTTTTTTCACCAATCTTTCAGGACTCTTTACGAGCTTTCGTGACGCGGCTTTTTCTTGCTCCTGCCGCTTCAAAACATTATTCCTGATGACTCTTTGAACATCCCTTTTTTTTTCTTTTTTCTTTTTGAAGGATTCTCATTCTCAAAGCCGGAGTAAATAATTCACCAATTAGAGCATCGGCTCGAGGCGCACTATTATGCATTAAATGCAATGATTTTACTAATCCCCATACACAGTACTCGATTTTCGGCACTACTGTAATCTACTGCAAAGGGGATGCTACTACCCTCGCCTACCTGGGTTGAATCCCTTTCGGTCGTCTTTTCCGAGGGAAGGTAGAGGACACACAGGCAAAGATCGGGGGCACATGTTCACATCACCTTGATTTCCATGTACAAAACCGAAAAATCTGACAGGTAACACCCGCTGTCGTACTCGATGCATGTATTGTATTGTACGTACCCAAGTACCCAAGTACCGATTCGAGTCAGAAGCATAAATTGATTGCGTCAAAGCCTTTAAATCCTCCTGTACGGTAGATGCAGACGAGATGGAAGACGGGACAAGAGCAGACTCGCTATCTAGTGGTAGCATTTCTGCACCACAGTTTGTTGTGTATCTTATCTATACAGCAGATCGTTTCCTTTCCTCATATTGCTTTCCCCTCCGTCTCAACCCTCCATCTCAAAGTTCTTCGCTATCTGTCCTTTCCCTTGCGCTACCTGTATACAAGGCTGAGACCTACCCCTCCTCCATCCTACTATCTTTCACTCGCCATCACTATCACAAGACAATCTTATTCTCTCGCCTTCACAAGCTCAAACTATAGAACGTCAATTAAGCATCGGGCTATTGAATCCAGAAGAACAATTTTACGTCAATCACTCTTCGAAGAGTCGAACGGATAATAGATATCTCAATCAACTCTGAAACTAAAATAAAAGTTCAAGCCGCAACATTTCACGTCGATGAATGATATCTCAGCCCACTACACCCTCAATTTTACCATGCCTCACCGCTTCTTTACACTGCACTGCCGTTTGGTTCGCACTTTGCAATAGTTTACTCTAAGCCACAATTGCCTTTGATTCCTGCGCGTTCCTCAATTGCCCGTTACTTTGTCTTTTGCTTGCTCGATATCATGTGTCCCATCGTTTTTGCATTCAACCTTTTGAAGAAAGGGATCTCAACGCCGTAGACTGCATCCACCCATACTTCCCGTGCTTGGCTGCCTACATCTGTACATACATCTATTTGCCTTTGAGTCGCCTCATCGTATATCATTTATTGGACTTCTTGATTTCCTATTCGGGAAAGGAATACAAACTGGCACCCTCTCTGCCTATAGATGAGGGGATAAGTATATCTCCACAATTCTGACTCAAAAAAAGTCACTCGTCCCAAGAAATGCCCATCCAATGTTACACTGAGACCTCATACCCATTCAAAACTTACAAATTTATCCTTCTGACCATTTTCATAAGCGATTGAGAATGTTCAAGAAGTGGATGGAAATTAGATTTGAAGAATTAGGTCGCACATTCATGAGTTTTGATTTTGATTTCTTCTTCGCTATCCTTTCTACTCCAGATGAATATTCATGAATGATTCAAGTTTACGTGTACGAGTATTGGCAATCAATTCCAAGGCTTTTGATATATTTCTCTCTCCCCGCGTCGCCTCATTCTTCATCCTTTCTTCCCGCCTTAGAAGGCTGCAAGGGTTTTAATGCGTAATGTGTAATGTGTACCAAAAAGAGACTTTTGCATCGGTGGCGCAATGCATCCATTTACCCTTTTGGGGGCTAAAGGACTTGATGCATACGTTTGATGCAGTGCAGATGTAGATATTTAAGGATGAGTTTTTGGTGAAGATGCTCATCACATGATAATGTCGATCGATCTGCGCTGTCTTTTGTCTTAGTTGACACGTGAAATCCACGTGCACTTATCTCATCTCGGGCTTTACTCTTTGTACTCTTCTTGACATATGCGTTAACTTACATGTATCGCCGTTTAACTAAACACACACAACATCAAGATTACAACACACTTCCTACTTGGTATTTCTGAAACAAATCATTTTTCCAGCATGGCTTAGACTTGGACTTCTAGTGAGGCTCTCATTCTATCCATACAGATAAAGGCGAATTATCGCCGACCATGCGTAATCAAATGTGATACGAATCAAAGCCTTGCATATGTACATCGTACCGAGTAGCCTTGCCCCTCACAAGACTTTTTATCTTTTCTACAAGTTCCAAGGTTATTTCATCATGAATATTATCAACCCCAGCCCTTTGAAGAAATGTCTCTCCGAATTATTCCTTCTCTTTTATATTCTCCGGGGTGGATACTCAGCCTGAACCCCGGATTCCTCATACGATTAGCTATTCCACTCCTTCATAATCCTCCCTTTATATATTTTCATGCCCAAAATCGGGAACGCCCGGTACACATATTGATCCGTTGCGTTATCCATTTCCAAGAAAGTTTACCGTCAGCTCTTCACTCTAGATATCAAAGTATCCCGGGCCATCCTTCCGGCTTAGCTCAACAAAATACAAAATCCCATCCCCATAGAAAAAGAAAAATTCTTTCCCATGCTTTTCTTCCCTCAACCCACTGAATCCACCCAACCTCTTCCTTATCATTCGTGCCCAACGTCAAATTTCACACGTGGTATGGTCCGTGCTATATGCATGTATGGGGAAATGCATGGGTGGATGATTATCATATTTTCAGGCCCCTCTTTCAGATGTTAATAATGATGAGGAATTAACATTGATTTTGCCCCTCAACTTTTTGCCCTCCTTTGCAATACCTAGTCCGAATGTAACTGCATTCAGTCAGTGTATCTTACTGGATGGACAAAATGAGGAAGAAAGTAGGTATTTGTTTTGATGCGACTTCGTTCTGGTGCGACTTCATTTTGCTTTCCCACGATTTCTCATCTAGCTTCCGTTTTTTCCCTCTCCACAGTGTAATTAGTAGTTACGCTGTGCTTCACTCCATGGTGTTCATGCAATGTCGGGGCCAGTATCAAGGGCCACGCTAAGGAGCATGATCGTCTTTTGCCCCCAGCTCTGAATCAGTTTTTGCGACGTGCCTTAGTGGTGTATGAATGCGTTAGAAGACTTGTTAGATACATATGCACGGGACGAACGAAAGGAATCGCATACTACCACACAAGACGGAGAGAATATTTGATTCTCGAGTTCTAATGAGGAGTCTAAAAAGTACTGAAAGATGTTGAAACTACCCTGAGTATTTTATTGGGCAATTCGAATTGATGTGTCGAAGAATATATTATCAGAGTTGGAAAGTTCTTGGAGAGTCTATTTGACTTTAGCGTACCCTGTCATTTATCCATCGTACGTTATGTGCGATCATGTATCAAGTGAGTTACCTTCGCCCATCGCGTATGCAATGGGCACAAGGAAGTGAATAAGCCCTACCCGTTTTTATGCCCATATATGCACTTATCACGGCACGGGACACTTTTCAAATATATTATCTCCCCTGAGGGAAAATAATGCTATCCTTTCCGCTCCAATAATCCATAATGCGAAAGTGGGCTCAGATGTAGCTCGAGATATTCGATACTACATTATGCGAGCTCTTTGCTTGCTGCTAGCTTTTCTTGCTTCGCGCTTTTCCCAATTTAATTAGGGAATGTGTTTTTCACTTTCTCTTTCTTTCTCGGAGGGGTTGGTTTGCGCAAACTTCGTCATGTCGCACTGGAAATGCTGAATTGAAGACGCAGATTGGAGGGGAGAAATTGGATGAGGAGTGAGGAGATGCGTCCGCTCCAATCATGTTGGATTTATGTTTTGTTGATCTCAATTCGTGATGGGAAGGCAACATACATCGATCTCATAGCTCTACACTACTTACTTACTGTCTGAACGCGAGCACAGCGGCTCCATATTAAATGTTAAATAAACTTTCCAAGGATTCTAGGCATCCCTGATACGTTGTATGAGCACGAGGGCACATTTTAGCGGGGCCCTCGAAGAACCTGGAGAGAGGTATGTTGATAACACATTGTCCGTCTGAAACACATGTAAAGGTTTTCGGAATCGGATTGTGAAAATTGTATTATGGGCTTGGGAAACTGTAGGAGAGATTCTTGGGGCTTTTGATAATTGAATCGAAATTAGTGCAGAATAGTGGTATCATGTATGAGCTAGATTTGAACAATCCTTTTTTGCAAGAGAATTTTTTCCACAAATGATGGTTGGGGGATTGCCAATTGAATGCTTTTCTTTTCGGACTTGGAGGTAAGTCGGGAGAGCTGTAGGAATTCAGCATAGTTCGGTGATGCATTTGCATAGTTAGACGGTTGATACCGGTGTTAACAGTGTAGACTATCATCAGTCATGAAATTGAAGGGAGGAACTAGCGTGTGCCAGCGTGCTTCTTTCTTTCTTATCTCTCTCCTATTTTCTATTCTATCCTATCCTTTAGCCGATGGGATTTTATGCTCGGGTGATTGATTCGCGCTATTTGTTTATCTTTCCTATCTATCTTTATCCCGTCTTCGTCTTCGTGCTCGGCTGATCACATGCTTGTTTTGTTTTGGGGGGTATCTGGATGGTGGATTCTGGAGGCTTGGAAGTTTGGGATGGGGATAGGGATTGTGTATAGGTATGTATGTAGTGGTTTTTTAATGGGAAAGGGGTGATTTCTAGGTAGATGTAATTCAATGTTCTCATTCTGGAGCTTTAGAAGATACTGTAGATGTGCGGAGGCTTTCATTGTAATGACTATCGTATTAAGACTATGGAATCACGAGAAGATATATCTCTTGATGACTAATGCTGGCGAGAGATGTAGAATAGTGAGTCCTTTATGGAAGAGAAGTGATAATTGAATTTCTTTTTACTCTTGTCTTGTCATGTCTCATCTTGTCTTGTTCTATTTTACTTCATTTTTTGTATCTTCTGATGATTTGGTGTATCTATCACGTTCTAATTGCGGATAGAAAGAACAGTAGATGGTGATAATTACAAGCTGTGAAGTAATAAATAATACATAATAATCTCAAAACTCTACACAGCAAACAACAAGAGAAGCCAAATTCCACAATAATACAAAAACCTCTCTCAACCCCTAAACAACAAAAGACGAAACCCCCCAAATCTCCCACCATACCGTCTCAACGAATACTTAGAGATCCTTAAATCCCTCGGACATTCCTCGCCGAAAACAAACTCTCCCTCCCACAGATCCGGAATCTCTACTACCCAGATATTTTCCATCCCTCTGTCAACTCTTCGGGGTACGATCCATCGGCGCCAGAATTTGTTGATGTATCGGTACCATGATCTCCGGTTCGCGCGTGCCCATTCCTCTCCGAGGGTTTCGATTAAGTGGTCCCAAGCGTCGAGTACGATACGTTGAAATCTGGAAGCGTAGGTTTGGTCCTCTTCTTCCTCTTCTTCCTCTTCTTCCTCTTCTTCCTCTTCTTCCTCTTCTTCCTCTTCTTCCTCTTCTTCCTCTTCTTCCTCTTCTTCCTCTTCTTCCTCTTCTTCCTCTTCTTCCTCTTCTACCTCTTCTACCACTTCTACCTCTTCTGCCTCTTCTGCCTCTTCTGAACGAGTCTCCTGCTCAACGACAGTTCTTGGAATGCCGACTCCAGAAGTGAGATAATCAGCACAATGAGCTTTTAATTTATCTTTTAACTTTTCCGGAAGTATCCACCACATAAAAAAACCGATAGTGAATAGTACTTTACTGATTATGTCCCATACAGCATCAGTAAACACCTCAGCAGACCATTGTATCTTGGGCTGGATTCCAAATACCCATTGATAGAAAGCAATAATGAATGTATTGTTTAAGGGCTTTTCAGGAGTAGCCTCTACTATGTCCGTGTTTAGACTTCCCTCGTTATCCCCGGGTTCGGAATTAACATCACTCTCGTCTTCACTCTCGTCTTCACCCTCGTCTTCGTTTTCGTCTTCGTTTTCGTCTTCGTTTTCGTCTTCGTCCTCAGTATCATTCTCGAGAGTATCGTCGCTGTAGTCGTCGTTGTATTCGTCAGTGTCATCGTTTCTTCGTCCTCAGCTTCATCCTCGACTTCAGTTTTATTGTAAAACTCCTCAATGTGACGTCTCACGGTGTCATATTCATCATCGGTTTCAAGATTATAGAGATGGCCCTGGAATTCAGGATCACATAGAAAGCTTCCAAAGAGACATCTCGTTAAGAAAGGTTGCGCTCCATCATTTCTTTCATCACTAGAGGCCAATGAATCATCTGACTCTGAGTCCATTGCAACTTGTGAAGGGACGTTTTTCTCGGCGATAGGAACATCTGAAGATGTCTCAGCGGTAGCTGATGTAACTGAAGCCATATTGGTGGCCGTTGTCGCAGATGACATGGTATCCGAAGTATCTGTTACAATTTGAGGATTCTTGGAAAACTCAGCGAGAGAGGCTAGCAACGAGGCAAAGCGAGAGTCCAAAACAGCCTTTCGACGAGCTCTCTGTTCTTTCTCCCATTCTTCTTCATCAACCCAACCTTCGTACACAGTCCCATCTTCATCGATCAACTCATTGGTATCCTGTACGAAGAGTGGACAGCGTAGAGAACCATCGGAGTTATCTCTCTCGATACCCTCGTTTGTATCTCCTTCATTTTGATGAATATCACGATCCTGATTTTGTGACATTGTTAGATCGGTAGCGAGCTGATCAAGATAGATAGCTGTCTTGATCAAGTTTGCCTTCTATAAATCAGTATACTAAGCAATTCTGAGGATACCAAAACGACATACCAATTGAAATATAAGAAAACCTATCGTGAGAAAAATCTGATTACTGGCCGTAACTCAACCCTTAAGCTACTACGTCACCAGTTTTCGAAAGTTGTAGAGAAAGAGCGAAGCTCAAATCAAAGTCAATAAATTACTTCTTGTGAGCTCTACTGCCGTGGCTTTTGTCTCGATGTAAGATTTGACGATTATAATATCTTTTTAAAAAATTATGTGAAGTAGGTATGTACAGATGAAGAATCAGAATTATTGAAGAAATATGTTTGTGGGCAAGAATAACGCTAAATCAGCGTCATTGATTCTCAAGCACCTCGACCTTGGTTCAACGACATTTCAAGTAACTAGTTACAATGAACACCTTGGTATTGACTTTAGTTCTGTCACACTAACATGAAGATCACTGTAAAGTACTTTGACATGTCGAGTTTGAGGTAATTATTCATTCGTTTGTCATTACGTGATCACATACTTCGTACAAAAGGATTGACCGCTAACGTCTTCTCGATATCCGTACATTTGAAAAATAAAAAAATTTAACGCTTAAATCGAGGTATCAAAAGTTGATACTGAGACACTAATACATATGACTGGAGCAGGATCTTTGTCTTTAGAAGTGCTCGTTCTCGATTCTTCCTTTGCTTTCTCCAACTCTGCAGCTTCCTTTGCTTCTTTTGCTTTCTTCGCTTCCTTCGCTTCCTTCGCTTTCTTGTATTTTTTGTGCACCGCCGCCCATGTCTTATGATAACGATACCAGATAAATGCAGAGATTGCGAGAATGAAGACCAAGATGAGAGCGAGTCTGGTCATCATTGGGGTTGTGTGAACTGTGTTCTCACTAGAGGCTTCTTCTGTTTCAACGCGTGTTGATGTACCATTGGATTCGTAGGATGTGATGTTTGGTTGCTGGTATACGCTTGTTGTGTATAGAGATCTGATAAGGCTCGCCGTTCCGTAATAAGTTGGTGACATTCTGACGGTCGAGTAGGTTGATGAATGCGTAGTTGCTAATGAATAGGTTGTTGTAAAATCTATTTGTGATGTAGAGATTTTGAACCTTTAAGGTTTGAGAGAACCTTCAAAATGATGATGACAGTGTTGTTCGGAATTGGTTGGATGTTTAAGTTAGATACGGCAAAAAGACAGAACAATGAAGCAAGTACCAAGGGCTGGGGGAATATATGTAACACATGCACTTTTTAATTTACATTGTGCAAAGTTTAATATCAATAGTCTGGTTTTTGGTCTCAGGCTTACATTTGGCTTAAGGTTTTCCATTTTAGCTTCGAAACGTCACTTCAAATTTGTGTTACAGATCTCGAAGTTAAAATTAGAAAAGAGTCTATAAAGTAGCTCTAATCACCAAATCTGAGGTCAGTCAGAAATTACCTACTACTACCAATCCTAAGTTCTCGAAGATAAAAGATCTTCACTGTTTTAGTATATATCATGAGAAGACTACGCATAAAATTTCAACATCTCGTAGGCTCATGACATTTGTAAATCATGATGTCAAGAGCTTGATCAAAATAGTACTCGACCTAGCTCTGGAATAACAAATTGTAATTTGCTCTTGAAGTTTTAGTTCTGAATCGCTCGAATGCCCAAATCGCTATGAATCTTTAAGCCATCTGGATATCCATGTGTAAAATGATCTAAATCAAATCTCCCAGGATTACTGTCTATACAAACACTTTTTTGCCATCGTCCCATGCAATTCCCTCAATGGTATCTAAGTGTAGCCCAAGAGATCCTTTTTCTTTAAGTTCAGATTCCATCTTCTCCTGCAAGTCTCGAATTGCCGCTGCACCATCTCTTGTTTCATTCTTTCTTTGCGATCGTCGCGAATCAAAAAATATAGCTTGATTACATTAGGAATGAATTTGAGGCTGAATAATATCATCATCCATCTTAAGTATTGCTTTTTGTTGTACAGTATCTCGTCAGACTTTTGCCGTTCATCACTGTTAGTGGAGATTGAGAGGCTGGAGGAGTTCGATGGAAGGGTGTAGTCGAAGTAATATTGAACTAGTGCCTGTCGGAGAAAGATACCAGCATTTAATATTCAACTCAAATTAGTCGATCCAATGAACTCGGGAATTCAAATGGTTCATCGATTTGAACCATCTCTATGGCACTTCAGTCTAGACTTTTCGACATACTGCTTCTGACACCCGTAATGGAAAGGGCACTTACCATATTGCTGGAAAATCATCATTATTTACTAGACTTGGAAGAAGTCCTTCAAAATACTGTGTATTGCTGTGGTGTGTTGGTGTGAGGGTATACGGCGGGAGATTGAGAGTACTATTTACAGAAAAAAGTCTTTCGTAGTGTTTTCAAAAGGTCACTACAACTTTCCTGGAATTGCCAACACTGAGTTTAAGATCGCATATTTATTGATCCTTATCATGGGCAAGAACTATGCAGATACCAACGTCAAATTTTTCGGTCCCCTATCTAGTTCGCTAGTTAGCTCGCTAGACCACTTAGTGTTACTTAGTCAACACGCTAAGCTCGATGACACCACACACGCATTTGTCAAAAGAAAAAAAGAATGTGTGTAGAAGAAAAACCTATGGAGCCGCTGTGGGCAAATGAAATTCCAGGACCAAAATATATTGATTCTATATAATTCATTCACACCTAATTCCTAAATACCGGAAAAATTCGCTCAATCCTGACCTTGAAAACTTATCCCGAGAATACCCTAAACACTTTTCTCTCTTTCCCTTTGCTCCAAGTAAGGCTCGAAATCTGACCAGTCCATACATTCGAAATCACAATTGAGAAGAATCGATACGAATATAAAGAGGAGAACAGACATGATTGCCCATGCACCAGCAGTGATTTGGTCGTTTTCCATCTTCATCGGTTTGTTTGCGATACAATTCATTTCTTCGGGAAATTTGGTGGAGTTATTGTGGATTTAAGAGCTTGATTGGCGCCCTGAGTTGTGTCCGAACAATGCGCGAATGCTGGTCGAGGTAACTTTGATAATGATGGCTGCATTTTTAATTGTTAAAATAAGATTGTGGTGTGGATGAGTGTTTTTCAGAGTGACTAGCTATCTTCCTTGGACGAATGATGCTTTTATTGTAGTGAAAAGGGATTGAACGATTTCGAAGTAAATGATGGTTCTTCTTTCGAGATTCGAGATTGTGTGAAGTGAAAGTTTGAAGAAAGTAATACAATGAAAACGTTTTTTTCTATGAAAAGAATTTTGTGTGAGATGATGAAACGCTAAACCTCTTGCAAAATGACGGCTCAAGCTCTAGCTCAGAACTTCAAGTATACACGCGATTACATATTCTGTTCCCAGAAGACCACACTTGCATAGCCTCTAAGCCACCAAAATTTGGGTTGAATCTACAGATTATCTAAAATCTTTGAGCTAGTTGATCGAAGTTAGATTCCCAGTTTACTGAGATTTCATGAACACTGGAATTTGCCATGATTCTAAGTTTGACTCCAATTGTTACTTTGTATCCATGTTTGCAGCATTCCATTCATCAAGTTGGTCCTGATTTTGAACTTGCAGTACAATTGAATCAACATGAGCTGCAGAGGTCTTAACCATTCCCTTAATTGAAAGCATGATCTTCATACGATTTTTCTAAGCTGACTGTGGAAAGCAGTGCTATGATGGCTGAGACGTCGATCAAACTTACAATTGTAAGTCGTATGATTACAACTGACGCGAAGAGTTTTATCTCTATAATTGAGGTCGAGGTGCATTTGTGCTCTACACAAATTAGCCAACACGTGTCGCTTTCCTTCTCCATTGGCGTCTTCCGTCCTTCGCCACCAATGTTGAAATTTACTGGGTATAGATGTGAAGTTTCACAGAATCCCGTGAAGATGTCATTTCAATCAGTGTCTTTAAAGCTCCAATACCGATAGATGAGGTGACAGATATCAGCAATACTCTTTTACGCCAATTTCCTTTTCACCTTGGGTGGTCTGTCTGAGGCTTATCCTCACCATCACACACGTCTATCTTTCTGTAAATTTCTTGAAAAATCATGTTCTATTTCTCCTTCCGACAATAAAGCTCAGATATACCATTTTAGGTTTCGATCAATGAGTCATTTGGATTTGAAGATATCCATCCACCCCGCTGTTACGGAGATAATCAAAGATACACTCAATGCAAGTGATTGAGTAAGTTCACTGCCTGTAACTCTAAGCCATCTGCTCTATGTAGTGATACGCTTGATTGACAGGTCTCCATTGCTTTGAAGCACGTTTTTCTGTCAAATATACATTTGTGGTTATATGGTGCTCCAATATCACCGTTGGGAAAGGAAATCGGATTATGTACTTGATTTCCAACGTAGAGTTAACATCAGGACTCACTTAATAGCTATACAAGGAAACACTTAGATTTGGGCTTCTCCTTTTCCCACGATAAACCTCATCCGCTCCATTCCCTTTGTGCCCATCACTTTAAACGTAAGCTTCCGCTAAGTCAGATTCGCGACCTCTCTATTGGGCTCGAATCCTTCTCCGGTAGTTTCAACGCTTCTTCCTTATCTTTCTCTCCATCCATCAGGTCCTTTCTTAGTATATATCTCTAGACTTCTCTACTTTAAGTCTTGTTTGTAATTAATTCTGTTCGTTAAAAATGAAGAGGCTGAATAGCTTGTTGAAGTTGGACTTATTGATTTCTAAAAGGGAAAAGACGATATAAAAGGAAACAAACTCATCTGCACAGCCAATTCTTGTGTAACTCATACCAAAAAGTTTAACTCTGAATTCAATCTGTCTGATTGAAATAAAACCTTGTGTTTCAAGGTATTGTGATGGAATGAATCAATTGTCTATATTAGAGAACGGTGAAACATTATATAAAGAATAAATTTAAAAGAGTTTTAGTCCTATCCGATAGGACCTAGGATCAAAGACTAGCGAGCAGGAATGCTGTTTGTATGAGAAGAAACGGATGACGTAGCACCTAAAATGGTAGGTCCTAAATGTCAAATTTGTATTCTGTCTGAACAGATAGTTATTTACAAGAAATATTAGGCCTTAAATAATGGCTACTGAAAGAGCTAGTTTCTCTCGCTTGTGTATGGGATTACTGTACAGTGACTATTGAATTGAAATCATTCACTTCGTTCACACAAATACCCCACCTACCAGTCCGAGGCCAGCAAGGTTTAATTGACAAAACATTTATGCTCTCTTCATAGCCTCCAACAAGATGTTAGCATCATCCTGAAAATTCTGTTTCCATGCTTCTTCTCCTCTTGACGGTTTCCAGCCAAGACTCCTTGCAACACTCGCTACGGTGCGTGCGTTGCTTGCATATCCAGATTCCACATAGGTTCTCGCGTTGCTAGAATCATCGGCGAGATTCGTAAAACCCATTGTCGGTGCCAGAAGTGCTGTCCCCTCTTCCAAATCTACGTGAGTAATTGTCTTTTCCGGTATTAGTCCATTCTTATAGCATACTTCGGCCAAGCCTGATGTCAATTCCAACCATGAATGTTGTCCATTGGAACTGAAAATGATCCCCTTCTTTCCACTAGGGATAGATTCAACATTCCCCTCCATAATCTCTTGCGCAACGAGAGCATACAGGTCAGCTAGATCCCTCACATGCACATGACCCCAGATTCCCGCTCCATCGCCAAGCACCACTGGCTTTTTCACTTGCACTAGTGCCTTCATGGTGTATAGTGCCAGACTCTGTGTGTTGAATAGACCGGTTCCAATTCCATAGATGATGGGACTCATGATCACAAGGGTCTTAACGCCTAGCTGAAGACCAGTATCTACAACGCCTAGCTCAGCAGTTCGCTGAGGGTAAGCGTGCTTATCTTCTAGCTTCTTCTCGAAGGTGTACACATCATCTTTGACATCGTCCCATTCATGGGTGGGCATAGGGTTTGAAATCGGCCGATCACCGATGTTAGAGATCCCGGACGTATGGACCATCCACACCTCACATCCCAGAGACTTTTTTCGTTGCGCTAGGCCACGCACCAAAGCCTGCGAGGAAGCAGCATGCATTCCTGAGGTAGTATTGATGACAATGTCGTGCTGAGAAGCGACCTCAATGGTACGGTCTAAGTCGTCGAGATCTTCATAGAGAACTGGCTTGACACGATCGCCGTAGGCAGATGTGAGCTGGGCAGCGCGTTCACTGCCACGAAGCAGACAAGTAATACAAGCTGATTTCAACGATGGTGCGGATGAATTGAGGATGGTGGCAAGTACAGTCCCACCGATGTAGCCTGTCGCTCCAGTGAGAAGTATCTTCTTTGATTCTTGTGACATCATTCCGTTTTCGTGAATATCTCAAACAAAATTCCCAATCGAAGTGTTGTGATAGCTGAGCGTTGCGAAAGACAAAGCTTATGAGGATGAAAAGAAAATGTTCGGGATGAATAGCGTGATGCACTTACATTTATATATGAACTGAATTGCTGTCTCCACCATCGATTGGAATAATGACTTGATCCGCCGGTTCTCGGTGCTAAAAAGTATATTGACTTGATTCACCGGCTCTCGGTACCGAACAGGATGAGGATTTGATCCGCCGACTCTCGGTGCTAAAAATTGGTACGTGTTGGAAAGATATGGCACGTGCACCTTAAGTGCATATATGACATCTTCTCCTTCTTAAATTAGTTCGATTTAGATCACTACATTCAATTCTACATAATCAATAATGCATGCATTACACTGGCCCGCTCTCTTTGTTGTGAATAGTACGCGATATTAGACTTTTAGACCCACGCATTGCTTAGGCATCAATTGTTAATGTACTCGTAGCCTCAATAACGGTAATACCGAAGGATTTGATAATATCATGATCTGAATAAAGAAGAAAAATCTCGGAGTTTATCTCCCTTCGGTTCTCCGGGTTAAAGTATCATGTATATTTGTAGATACTATTATATAACATATTTATATATCTTATAATATTATTTTATTTATTTCATTCCTTACATTCTAATTCTATAAAATTATTTATTACTGTTGGTATCACTATGGGGATGGTGAAGTCAATATAGTACTATGGTTCACACTGCTGTAATTGTGTGAACGTAAGTGAATGACTTTAATTCAATGGCTACTGTACTACACCTAAGCGAAAGAGACTAGCTCTTTCAGTAGGTCTATATAAGACCTACTACTTCCTGTACATAGCTAGCTCTCTAGATAGAATACAATATAGACAATTAGGACCTACAGTTCGTAGGTGCTACGTCTTTCGTATCCTTCTCAAACCAATAGTAATATTGCTTGAGGTTCTAAAAGCTAGGGCTACGAAATGTATATGCTATAGTACCGAGGCACTAGCGCAAGCGCTAGTGCGGTCACATGATCCCTGTCCCGACAATCACAATAAAAAATAACATTTTTAATAATTCGATTTATTTAGTTGTTCGAGAATACTCTTACTGTCACGGGTTTAATACGTAGTTATGTTGATGCCTTAGGCATCCACCCTCCATATAGTCGGCGCCTCTCCGCCTCCTTCTTTACTCCTTGTAGAATATCATACATCTTACCTAGTACCTATCTCTTGCACCGTGATACTTACTAATAAAAAAAAATTATTTTTATTTCCTAATACAATTATATAAAATGTAAACGAAAATAAGCTTCTTTATAAAGATAATAAATTTTTATACCTTTTAATCATTAATAATACTATTTATCTTTTAAATCGTATTTAATTCAATATTGTCACGAGAGAATTAAGCCTATATAAACCCAATTAGCCTAAGGCTATTGGTGGCGTCACTTTTAGCGTCACAAATATAATATATACTACAAACTAGTTTATTTATATCATATAAATACTAAAAGAAAATCACTTAATATGTATAACACTTTGCCTTAGAGGAACTGTATTTGCAGAGTACAATTTATCCTTAGAATCTACGACTACAGAACTAGGAGTAAAGCGTTTGTAGGGCGCTTCTATATACTAGCTATGTATACGTGATTGTACACATAAGCGATCGCATTGCGATTGAGTGCGATCCGTGACAATACCTAGAAAATACTTACTTTAATTTCTTACTAATTGAACTCATCGCCGAACCCTTGAAGAGCCTGAAAGGGTTAGTTAAGGATACAATGCTGGGTTACAGTAGATAGACATTTGACATCTCAGTATCATTCATAGCTATCCGTTGAATCCAGACTGTGGTGTAGAACGTAGAGAGATAATAAAGGGGTTTTAGTTTACATGATTTATTCCTACTCGATTACTACTTGATTACTATGTGTAATTATATAATATGATTTCCACTTCTGATTTGAAACTATTCATCGTAGGTCATGAGCATATAGTGAATTTGATTTTTAAGAGAATAAGACTAGTAGTTTTGGTCTAAATAGGAAGCTGACTCTGATCAACAATGAATAATGATTATGAATACCTATAATTAGTAATAAAAGTGAAATTACTTTCAATTGTTTTTATTGCTCTTTGTATATTTATTTAATTTTGTCTATTTTTATTACTACAGTGCAACAATTTACATTCCCAACTTCTTAGACAAACGTTGCCAAATTGCAATTCAACATCATTACCTCCACAATTATATCAACAGTAGACAATAGTCTCGGAAATCTAGGTGCCAGCATTGGCACAATCAGTCTCTTCGTCGATGATTTCGTTTCAACATATAATGTATTTCCAGACAAGTCAACTCAGAAGCAACAGGTTAATGTATTCCTGCAGTCACTCCCCGATCAAACACCGAATTAGTAGCCAGAGCTTCCGGAGAAGTTCTCAATGATGTATGTCTCTTCCTCAAACTACCTGCCTTCATAAGATAGCTCCCCAGAAATATCTAACATCATCTATCCTTTAGTACGAAAGCATCCCCATCGGCGGTATCTCTCAACTTACCAGCAGCGTCCCACTAACCTTCTACAACCCACTCACCTATGGTGGTACCTGGCGCCCCATTATGAAAACCGACGCTGCAGCCCTCCTGCAACAAATCTATGGTCAGCAAGCTGCCCTCGGTTTCAACGGCTCCACTATCACATCCGTTTATCTCGCTTCTCCTGTTGCTTCTTTCAAAGCCAATTATGCAAGTTTTGCATGCTACGTTAGTATCACGACGACTGTGAGTCCAGGGTTGCGTGTACGGTACAGGTTATGGCATTCAAGACGGATGGGTCGACGTATGAGGATGTGGCGGGGTGTGGCGGGGTGTGGATGTGATGGGTTGGGACTTGGTGCGTTTCTTCTCTCTCTCTGAATTTCTACGCACATGGACACATGTTAATCTTCACCTCTTTTTCTACGCAGTCGAACAATGCACATTCCCCAGCACATGGACAAACGTCGTCAAGCTTTCCTTCCAAATCGTCACATCTGAGTTTTTGCAAGAGGTAGGTTCGTCTCTGGGTAGACTACTGGGAGGATTGATTCGAACGGTGGGATCGATTGGGTTAATTGTTGATAATTTCGATGCGAATTATAATTGTGTCGCTAGAAAGACAAATTCTGTGGTTGCGCCGGAACTTTGTGGATGAGTGGAAATTTTGGGAGGGGATGGAATAAGGGGGTGTGGGATGAGAGAAATGGGGTGGGATGGAAGAAGATGGAGAGGTGTGGGGAAGTAGAGGAGGTAGGTATCACATCTCGAAAACAAATATGATTATTTTACATTTCCTATATATGGTCTTTTCTCTAGTCACTTTTTACTAGGTACCTATGTAGCTTATTTGAATCTTCATTCATTCCTCTCACATCCAACTGTCCCTCTCTTCAGGGACCAAACAAGCCCTTTTACATATGTCCCCAAACACTTATTTGAGAATCACTGAATAAATAAATGAATAAATACATAAAACATCCATTCACTTTCCTAGTCCTTACTAACATCTCAGTTTTTCGGCAGGGGAGGAGAAGAGACGAATTAATCAATGAATGATCAATCAAAATACATCTATCCATCCACCCATCCATTTACCCACCCATCTATCAATCTACAAACGATCATCGAGTCTTTGAAGAAAACTCGTGATAGAGACAAAATATATAAAAACTCTACATATGATCTATCGACCTACGTACACACATCTTTTCCATATCTCCGCAATCCTTTCCCCATTCTTTCCTACCCCTCTTGCACTCTCCCACAAAAACAGATAGATATGATATCATCAATCAATCCCCCTCTCTCACACAATAACTCTACAACTACAAACCCAACAGAAAATTCAAATATATATGTATATACTCCCTCCCATCCCCCTTCCATATCACCTATTCCCAAATCCCCCTCCCTCCTCAAAAAAATATCCAAAAAATTCAAAAGAAATCCAAAAAAAAAAAAAGATATTCGAAGGGAATTGAGCCCAACGGGGGGGTCGAACCCCCAACCTTGTGATTGACAAATTTCATCTCTCGATGTATAAGAGTCACACGCTCTACCGATTGAGCTAGCCGGGCAGGCTTTGATATTTAGTTATGGACACGAGAGCTGTTTGGATTTATAAAACAGTACGAAAACCCACATGGATGAAGAGGAGGGAGAGAAATTTTCTTCTAAAAATTTAGAAGAAAAAAAAGTTTGGGGGCTCGGATAATGCTGGTAGGTACCTAGTGGGGAGTGGAGTCACAATCTAGTAGTGTGTCAGGGAGTGAAATAAGCGAAGCCGATGTGGAGACCAGAGTCGGGAGTATACCCACCCTTATTATGTAGGAGAGCTCGAAATCCATACTAAAATTAGTGTGCAAAACACCTACTACATACCTACTTATTCATCACCACTACCACTACAAGCTCCGTGGTACTACGTCAAGACCCTTTCCTTCGAACTGGCATCCCGTATTTGCACAATCTAAAGTATAAGCCCCGAATAGAGTATATAACACGAAGCACAATCTCAATCTCAACATAAACAAATTCCACCCAGAAAGAACTTTCACCCCAAGGGAAATAAATCTCGAGGGAAATTCAAAACTCCCATAAAGAATCTCATTTTCTTCCATTTCAGCCGAGTAATCTTCTACCATCAAATTTCGCATTGAGTTTCGTTATATAATTATTCAAGTATTCAAATATTCCAACCCCCATCACTCAATTCATCTTTTCCTCCGATATTGAATCCAAACAATCATTACATGTACAATATACGGAGCAATATCAATAAAAATCACGCCCCGATATTGGCGAAATCTTAGTTTGATGACCTGCATGAGGAGTGAAGAGGTCACAAACAAAAGCCAGATACTCTGCTTCGCGACAAACCCAGATTGTGCACCAGTGCCTTGGGTACGCAATATCCGAGAAACAACAAGTTTAGCCAAAGCACAAACATCATATGAAACGACCAGCACCAAGACCGCAAATGGAAACGCGCTCCAGATCCAGAAGTTTTGACAAACGGCGGCCTCGTAGGGCTGGGTAACATCTACAATGTCTGCTAATAGATTGAGAATAAATAGGACTCCGATGGCTATTCAGTTTGAAATGTTTAGTAGAGTTTTGTAAACATTCCATTTCCGGATCAAGGAATAATGAGCTGGGAGGAAAACGATTGGGACTATGGCTGTTATAAATGTGAATGGGACTGCGGATATAAAATTGTATCTGACCGGCCACTTAGAAACATTGATTTCTATGGCGTTCATATCGAAGAATGTCTAACATTGTGATTAGCAAATAATCATAAAACAGAGTGGAAGCGTTGCGAGATGGGTTAAAAATGCTCACCCCAACGAGACTTAGTGGTAGGAATAAAGAAGCCAGAATAGTAAGAGTAGTTGCTGTAGCCTTTTGGTCCAAGTCAAGCTGTGCAAGGATCTGATTCCATCAGTATGTTCAATGCATGATTTTCGACATCTATAAATAACGTACCATTCTACGGACAGCATGAGATATGTCGTAGACAACTTGCAATTCAACATCTAGGGTTAGGCTTTGATCGACTATGTGTTGAACCCAGTCTGGAACCGTGCTACACCACTGTTCCGGAAACACAGAAGCCTCCTTTCTGAGGCGACCGGACGCAATTTGAACAGATTCGATATGATGGATATACACGAGACATGCGTTCGCCCAACCGGCTTTTGGTTTTGCCGCATTCTTGAGTTTCTGCTCTAAATATCAATCTCGATAACGATGTTGAGAGTCAAAACAAGTAATTAATAAAGCGGCCTTACAATTTCATAAATCCTTCTCATCAAAACCCGTAATGCAAGCCGACTATCGTTGAAGCCTATTTTGTAGACTATCTTTACAAGATCCAACTAGTGAGAAAGAGATTATGGGTGGAGGTTATTGGTCATCCCTTGCGATGAAATCTGATCTCGAACGTTTCTGTCAAGAGTTGATGCGGTCTCAAGACTCTGGAAGACGACAATACTCCGCCAACTATTACCATTTGCCGAAGTAGATCCCCAAATAGAGTATTGAGATATTTCCAAGGGGTATTGTCCATGTGGCTTATAATTATCATGTAGGACTCATCTATAGAAGGTGGCGGTACCGCGCTGGGGAATGTGTGCACTTCTGTGGATGTTTTTCGAGCTCTAGTTGCGCATAACTTAAAGTTGTCAAACGAATGCCAGAGAGAGCATCTTTGGGCATCGACAATATGCTGTTTCAATTCCCAGGGAAATTCTGCTATGATACCGTTAATTCTACAGAAGGGTGATAGCCAACAAGTCACATACCTTCTTGGATATCGTCAAGAATTTGTGAGTTGTTTGATTCTGCGTATCCAATAATTGAGTCCATAAGAGATGAAATATCCAGCGTACGATACTGAAAAAATGACTTTCCCAGAAAAATACTAGCAACCACGGCCAATTTGCAAATCAATGCCGTAAAAGGAGTGTCGGAGGTAAGGCTCCGTATGTGCATATTCATTAAAGACACCGTTTTAGTCGGAGGTGGTGAAATGTCAGCACGCAACGAGATGGAACTTAAAAGGTGTAATGTTAGCAGAATTTCTTGCGTTTGATTAACAATAAGATGGTGTAGCATACCACATTATATTATGAACTGAATGATCCTATAAACAAATCCTATAAGTTATCTGACGTAAATAAGAAGCATCTCAATCAAACCCACACTTGCTTTTAAAGCAAGCCAAAACTCTTCCAGGCTTTTCAATGGTTCAGATCCGCGCTCAATCGTGACTAAAAAGGAAAATATATCGTTAGCTGCTAATTTCTAGGTACGAAATCAAGAACTTACTATTAGCATCCGTGGATAATACAATCAATGAGATCCAGATATAATCCGGGGCGTCTAAATCACTTGTGTATAACCTCATGTTGGCCCAAAATTTCTCGAGAACTTCGATTGATTCTCGTCCTTTAGTTTGAACCAGATCCAGCTTGCTTAAAAGATCGTGATCAAATGGATCAGCGGCAATCAACTGCTGAATCTCTAATTCGGATTCTTCAACAGACTTCTTCAAAGCAGAGAGTATTTCGTCTCTGAGATCTTTCTCGTCCATCTTCGTCGCAGAAGGATGTTGACCATGATTTCAAAACCGATAGAACTTTTCGTGGACGACACCAAATCAAAGACCGTTTCGTGTTCTCAGCTTAAATCAAGTGAAGCAAACCCCTCAATACAGAATGAGAAACTCCCAGAATAAGAGATAATCGTATGCGCACTATATATCAGTCAAAAATTACTCCCAGCCTCATCAAGTATGAATACGATATGCAGCTGAGCGGCCATATAGTTTCCACGCTCGTTTCTCTATTGGTAGATATCACCCAGAAATAAACCACGATGAATCGCAATAAGTATGAAGAATATAACTTGATGAGCAGATGATCATGTATACTTAGAGCCTGTGTTGGTGTCCCCACGGGGATGGTGAAGTCAATATAGTATTAAGATTTATAATGTTGTAATACTGCTCAAGGGCCTAAAAACTAAGACTATGTAATCTATACGTTAAAGTATCAAGATGCTAGTGCTTACACTAATAGTCTAGAATCACGTGGTTCCTACCCGAATAATCTATTTAACGACTAGATTTCTGCAAACCTGATTTTGATTGTGAACTCCATAGATAGCGTTTGTTTTATTAATGATTAAACGCTTCACCAAAGAGAAAGAGGTAATAATTAGAGTAGATAGATAGGTAGACAGTTAAAGAGATATATATGTGATTCTTTTGATTTGTTCCGAGACATTTGTCTTCCTACTTCGTGATAACCGACGTGTATAATAATGCAGATATCATATTGAGAACTTATTTAAATCCCCTTCTTAATCTCATGTAGGTTTTCCATCCAGTGAGAGGGAATATTAATACTCGGAACTATATACAAGAAACTCCATTTCATCTCGTCTCGTTTTTTCCCTCGCAGATTCAAAAATTCCCATTGACAATTCTCAAGAAGCCATCCAAAAATCCTGATATATCGATATAATTCCTCAATGCATGAATGCGCATATATATTTTAATCCCAATCCTACTTCCCATTTCGATGCTAATCCCAATCCCAATTCCAATCTCCCTCAAACAAACCCATAATAATCATAATAATACCCCGCACTCAAAACCCAAAACCCAAAACCTAACTCCTAACCCCAACCCGTTGTCTATTCCCCCCACCCTGCACCATCCCATTTAAACTTCCCAAACTCCCCGTTCCCGAATGCGCGCTCCCACTCCCTCTACTCCTCGTTTCCCTCCTCTGTCCACTACCCCCGACATCAAATTCTCCCGCTCCGCCAACCGTAAAATCTCCAATCGCACTTCCATCCATACTAAAAACTGTATTTTTCCCCGGCATTGTATTCCCATCAATACTCAGACCTTTGAGTCCTCCCACCATCATATCGATTTCCAAACTCTTATCACCGCTAAAAGTTCTGACTCCAAATCCTCTTCCTCTTCGAGAAGGTTGACCGAGTGTTGCCAAGAGTTCTGGTTCTTCTTCGCTTGAGATCAAAACTTCTTTTTCATGCGAATGTTGATATTCAATCCCTTGAGGATTCGGATCACATTCATTCGCAAACTCATTTCGATATTGATGCTCATTATTTGCAAACTCATTTCGATATTGGTGCTCGTCACCCGCAAGCTCATGTCGATATTCATGCTCATCATCTGCACCTTTTCCCTTTACACGTTCCGGACTAACACTTGCGGCTTTAAATCGACTCCAATATTCCCTCTCTTCTTCCTCATCATAAGATTCATCATCATCATCATACTCATCATGATCTGCAAATTTATACTCATGATCCGATCCCACATGTTTCACATTTCCTAAAACCCCCGATAATTCATCTTCGTCATCCGCAAGATCATCATCGATGACCACCGGATAACTTCCACTTTGAGGTTTATTGTGTCCCAAACTATGCATTTCATCTTCACTATCCCATCCACCAATATTCCTGTCACTCGTAAAGCTAAAGGCTTTTTTAAGGATAGGCGAGACAGTATCTCTTTCTTTTCTTGCAGAAACCTTACTCCAGATAGGTATTTCAACACCTGGTAATCCAATATTTTCACAATTCAACAAATTTGCCATATCCAAGACACTAATCCACATGGGACAAATATATCCGACGTTTCTGCGCTGACTCCATGCCAATACACTACCAGCAATTCTACCACTATTATTGCCTGGTCCTGTACTGATATCATCTCCTCGTTCCAAAACCCACGCTCCACTATCACCTGGAACCCCAATTTTACCCGCGACTTGCCAACTCATGGAAGGAGTTTTTCGACCATAAATTTTGAGAATGGACATTGAAGGAAGTATTCGTCCGGTTTGTGTGCCACTTGTTCTAGCTGTACATTTCACTGGTAGATCTGGAAGATCTGTTAAAGGTACCACGCCTGTCGGTTGTGTTATCAGAGACATCGAGGAAGAAAGATCTGGTAGACGATCTTCTTCAAATTCGAAAAGACACCAATCTATTTCATGGGTTATATTTTCATGAGCTAATCGACGAATTCCGGAACTCGTATAAACACTACCCAGTAAAAATGAATCCAAATGATCCTCGTCTCTAGTTTCGGGATCAGGATAAAAATTTGGATCAATGTCATCGATAGCTGGTTGGGTGACTGGATAGTTGTGGACGTTTGATGAAGAGACTGGAATAGGAGGGATATCTCCTGGTTCGAGAGTAGGGAACTCGCCATCGGAATCATCCTCATCTTCTGATGCATAAGGAGATGAATCAGAATCGAATGATGAGCCGGAAGATGAATAATCTGTAAAACTATAATTGTATTCTTCATCACCGCTCGAGTAGTAGGATGTATCCGAGTGCGTTAAATCTGGCATTTCAAGATATTGAGGATGGGCTTGAGGACGAGCTGAAGAGCGGAGAATTGGTTTTGATGGTTGAACTTGTTCTTCATCATCGTTGTCAGAAGGATCATCCAACATGTGATGAACAGACATTCCATAAGGTTTGTCATCGACTGTAACGAGACCTCCAAAGGAAACAGGTGGAAGATGATGATCATTGATATATGCCCCCATACTAGCACCATTCTTAGGACGTGCTTGATGTTCAGTGTTCTTCGCTTCAAGTTCATCACCATGTGCCATACTTCTCTTTACACCACCATTTCTTGCTCTTACAACCTTTCCACGACAAACTTTCAAGCCATATGTAGCTTTGTCATAAACAAGACTCTTCTTCAGTATACTTCGAACCTTATTGACACTTGTACATATGACGAGAATGGTAGGTTTCGTTTTCGTGGATGATTCACCAACTGATTCGAGAGAAATTTCGACTGATTCGGGATATTTTTTATAAAAACTTCGAAGAACGTGGTTGACATGTGGCATGATATTTTTATGCCACAAATTAATGTGTTCCTGACTAATCCGAATGGCGGGGAATGTCTTGAGCTTGGGTTTCGACTTGATAGGTTCAATGGCTGAGACGGAGTAGTTAGACAAAAAAATTACATGAAAGGGTCCTTGAATGGGTGTCAACTCACCAGAAGATTTCTTTTCTGGCCACTCAACAGTAGCTTTTTGAGGCGATTTTTCACGGATCGGTTTCTCACCCCAATTGATTTCTGGTTCTTGAGGAGCAGTAATGTCAATCTTTGCATCCCTTCGTTCACGATAGCCCTTGATAGATGAAGATGGGGCTTCAATCTTCACAGGTGTAGGTACAAGTGATGGCTCATCACTTCTTTCACTGTCATCATCTGAAACATCGTCAAGTGAACAACAAGTATTGAGTGCTTTCGATACACGCCAAAAGACTTTTTGATGCATAACATCTGGTCTTGCTTTTCGTGAAAGTTCTCCTTCAGGAGCACTCAAACATGCTTTCACTGCTTTGACATAGATGTTTCCACATCTAGATGCGAGACGTTTGAGAACCTCGGTAGGGTTTGAAGGGACTTGAGATGCCCTTGGAAAGAGTTCGGATAAAGAACTCCATAGACCAATTTCAAGAAGAATCATCGCAAGACTGTATAAATCCAAGGATTTACTTTCTTGAGATAGATTGGTATATTTCGTACTTCTCGGATCCAGTGGATGCTTGTACAACATACTGGCAGAGTCAAAACTTGGACCGGAATCCGTAGCTGTATCCGAAAATAAATCATAGGAGCCTAGATATGATTGCCGCATATTAACCTGTGTCAAATCAAAAGCGCGTGGTGGGGTAGGATGTTCGATGAAGAGAACATTGGAAGGGAGTAGATTGCCATGAACAATGCCTTTCGAGTGTAGATCAAACACAGCATTGGCTATGTTGTAGGCCAACCTGTACTTGACCTCTAGGTTGGGTTCGAACGCAGGACTTATTAGAAGCTCAGACAAGGAACTTATGATGGGCATCTGTAAAGTTGGGCTTTGAATGTCCATCGGTCCAAAATTTGTTGGTAAAGCAAATAATAGACAAAATCTCGAATGCTCTGCATCTTCGTAATATCCAATGAGACGAAGTAATCCGACGAGTAACCGATCTGATGAATAATAGGCCTGTGAAAGTCCAGCAAAAAGTTTCTCGAATCGAGTCATAGATGGAGTGATTCCGGTCACCGAATAGATAGGGTCATAAGGGGCATACTCGACCAAGACCGGAATCGGATCAGGAGGTTGATCAATGGCTTGCCTCAAATCCGAAGAATTGCCCGATCTCCTCATCAAAACTATCTGTCTTAATGTGTTGTTTGATATTGATCTTGAGGTACCACGAGTAGCAATGATTTGATTCCCGGTCCAGATCAATGTTGCTGGATCTATTTGCTGTGGTGCTGACATTCTAGTTGATTCAAATTGTCTCTCCTCGAATCCTGACGAGTCATCTTTGGAGCTTGAAGCTTCCGAGGTTTGTAGTCCCGTCCTTGCTGATTGACGTGTTTTTGATAGATCATATAAAGTATCAATAGACATGGTTAAATCTCGAATCAAATCCTCAAACCTCGTTTTATCCCACTGAATTAAAGCACTCTTTTCCGATTTCTCGGATGGTCTCTCGTCCGATGTCAACCTTTTGGAAGATTGCCATAAAGGTTCAGCTTCGGCCAAAATTTCCTTGATCGTTGACATAACATTTCCGACAATTTCAGATAATCCAGCTTTTGATACTGATTCATCGATATCAGGTGACTGTGAAGGATCCGACCATTCCAATCCCCACGAGACCAAACGACTTTGTTGAATACGTAATTTTCGATGTAATGATTGAAGTTCATGATCTTCGACATTCCTGACGGGCTCTTTGATGAAATCATAAATATTTTTGGTATCGGTATAGATTTTAGTTAGCCTCCTTTGAAGAGGCATTGGATTTGTAAAGTATTGATCCATGATGGGTGAAATGGATGTTGTATTACGTAGGTAGTGCCTACACTGGATAATGTCGTGTAGTGAGAGTGACTGGAGGTGTAGATGTGGTTGTGGTTATGGTTGTGGTTGTGGTATGGTTATTGTTATGGTTGTGGTTATGATTGTAGTTGTGATTGTGGGTTTTTTTGAGTTGTTCAGATCATGCAAGACGGCGGGTAATGGATAAACAGCGATAGAAAGTGGAGTACCAACAAGCAACCCCTCAATTTGGAGAAGATGTGAATTAAACTGATAACGGGAATGAACTGGTGAAGAGAAGAGAAGATGCAGAAGAAGGAGCGGTAGAAGGAAAAGGGATTACTGTATGATATGATTGTATGTGTGAAGCCAAAAGAAGGAAAAGAGTCAACAATCAAAGTGAAATAATCAATGGATCAAGCTAGATGATAAGAGGTCAAGGTACCAAGGTAAGTAGAGCAAGTGTTGATGAATTATGTAACTCTCTCTCTCATTTCTATCATTCGGGAGACATAATTTGATTGAATTCGGATGCCTACAGATCTTCGCCGTCCCAGATATTGTTGCCTGGAATGAAGATATAGACGATGATTGGTTGAGAATGATTATGTAATACGCATCTGGCCCAAAGATGCACAGGATGCACGAGATGCGGCAAAGGTGGAGGAGTGGAGGGAGGACTTTGGCGGGTATTGGCTGGGGATAACTGTAGAGGGCGGAAAAGGAAAAGAAGATTTTGAGAGATGTCAGACAAGTTCGATATGATTCATGTACGAGTCGTGGAGTAAATGAATACCATGTTCGATAGGTACCGTGTGTAAATACAAGAAGACTCAAGGAGGACGTGGGAAGACCAAAAAACCGTCAGCTGGCGATTGATGCATCTCTGCCGTCGAGGTCGAGGTCAAGGTCAAGGTCGAGGTCGAGGCTATCTTGGCGATCGATTGGCATGAAAGCTGAGAACCTATGAGCTGTACCTACCTGGGTGTGCAGATTGCTGGAGGTGAATATGTCGATTTCACGTGAGCTGATAGAAAATGGGTGGTGGCTTTTTACTATGTGGCACAGTACCTAGTAGTCATAGAATAGAAGAGCTTCCTTTCCCCGGATCTTCCATTCGTCGATCGTTTTCTACTTACTGGGTACTGGGCAGGTGGGTAGCTAGCTAGCTTCTTTAGATATTCTCCTCCAACTTCACATGTTTATGCTCCATATATAATCATGTATCTTTCTTCCTTTCGTATCATACATGATTACATTGACTTCCTATTCCTATTGCCATTCCTATCCCTATCAAAGCCAAAGCATCAAAATACTGGAGCCTACGGAAGGCGAAATGCAAAGACCGGAAAAACAAATGCACGACAACATTGAAACCACGTGGGTACGCGCAATCATGATGATTACGAGGATCTCAGCTCATGTTTTCTTACTTGGCCATGAGGGATACACATATCCACATACATACACTAGGTGACTACCTAGTCGGTACGTCTGACATATCCGGCTTGCAGACTCTCTTCATTCGGATAACCTATCACATGATCCTCATCCACTTTTATTCCGTGTCTTTTTTCCCAATTCGGATTAAAGCTGACTTCTCCCATGATACCGGTACATGTATATTCAATCGATGCTGCCTATTTCCAAGAAAGCACCATCACGCCTCAATCGTGCATCAGGAAAAGCAAATCTTACCAGATACCCTCCCTCGTCTCCCAATCAACATCCTGTCATGCATGTCAATCATACTGAAACTGGGTAGGTCATCACATCTATCAATCATCAACATCGTTTCACCATGGTCGCATCTTTTTCCCACTTGAGATATGATATGGTCAGCTTTCAGATGTGGTGGTATCCTCTTCACCGTCTTATGTACCTGGCCCTGGGGAGGTATGTATACTTACGCTTTCAAACATATGGTTCCATCACAGAACCAACACCAACATCTGAATTGTTTCAATTTTCTATACTGTACTACCCCATCCAATGATAACCAAACATCACTCGCATTTCTACTTTAGGCTACAGTCAATGCAATGAATGCATCGTAACTGTCAAAACTCTTCCGGTCCATCACCTCAAAGCGTGAAACATTCCCAAGGCTCATAACAGCGTCGTATTATCACTTACCAATATCATCTCCCTTACATTCGGGTCCAGATTGACATTACACTGGTTGATAGGCTGATGCATTACAAACATTTGCATCTAGGATACTCGCTTTCGGTATCGATATCGCATGAAGTTTTCAATCCTCGTCAACTTGATATGCAAACATCAACATCAATTAGACCCCATCGCAAAACCAACACTCTGGGAACAAGTCTTACTCTTCAGGTTGTCAAAATGAATAGCCGAAAAATGATTCAATGTAACTATCATACCCACGGGCAGTCAGATCTGACAACCAACTATGAGATTTCGGAACAATCATGAGTTCAGAATTGCCTATTTCCATACACGTGGTAGTATTCACAAGCCTAAAACATCTGTGGACTTTACATATCTTCCACGCAGAGCGCCACCAACAAGCAAATGCACACCGATCTTTGCGGCATCTTTGTGTCGAGGTGGGTTTAATTTCCACTGTGTGTTGCTGGGTTTCTTGCAGGAATAACTCTACCGTCGATCCCTAAGCTCGGGTCCAACACTTCTCTTTTCTTTCTCAAGCATTTGTGTTTTCCACGTTTTCCCTGTTTATTCATCAATATTCATGATATACTTCAACAGTATGATAGACTAGACATACTTTATCCCTCTACCTTATTCAGCTCTCACTTCTTACTAAATACTCAATATCTTTCTCTTCATTGCCAATTTATCCTTCATCCGGGGCTTCAAACCTTCCCTACCCCTGTCCTTACATCTGTTACTCAATATCTTTCTCTTCATTGCAAAGCTCATCAGACCACAAACTCACAGAGAAATCACCAATCCAGTCAGCTCATTATACCGAATCTATTCGTCAAGTTCTCTACATCAATCCGTCGCACACTTTCCAAAAGTTCGCAGCCATACATTCTTCAACAGTGGTAAAGCCTAACCAGACATTTCTATATCCTCCAGCACCAATACCAATACCAATTTCATACTCTTCCCTTCTCTATTATAGTTTTCCGTTTCTGTGATCTCGTTTTGTTTAAATCGTACCTTTAAATTGTAAAACAGGAAATGTTTTTCTTTTCAGTCGATTTTTTGGACCTCTATCATCTTGTTTTAGTTATCTTCCTACAGATGCAAATGATCATATATACGTCTTCCGTTATTTCCCACCATTCAACCAATTTCTATCATACTCCATTCTCCCATTCTCCCATTCTCTCATCTCATCTCTATTCATTTTAAACTAGGGTGAGGTTGTATAATTAAATGAGTATTAGGGAAATGTTTTGTTGCATGTCTAGGGATACGTACCGTGGTACTTTTACAATACATGCATCTAGTCTGCTACGTATATCTACAATATAATAATAGGCAAGTTTCTGTTGCATATCTAGGGATACGTACCATGGCGCGTTTACCATACGTACGTCTAGCTATTACATATATCTACAATATAAACATAAACATCTTTTTGTTGCATGTCTAAGCATACGTACCGTGGTATATCTCTAGTACGCATGTCTGCTTCGTACGGTATGTGAACGTTTCAATCCTCGTTTGTTACATATCTAGGGACACGTACCGTGGTTCGGCTAAACCACATATGTCTATTGTGTGTATCTATACTACGTCCGGTGTTAGAACAAACAATTTTTGTTGCAAATCTAAGCTTACGTACCGTGATATATCACAGTACCCGGTACACTTGTCTATTACGTATACCTACATTATATAAGTATTAAAAAAACACTTTCTGTTTATTGCACATCTGTCATCTCATACGTACCATGGTTCGTTATACATCTATACATTACCTCCTTTTGCAGATTCATATACACGTACCGTGATATATCTGTAGTACATACATCTAATACATCTATTCATGATACACATCTATGCTTACTTATATCTACCCACGTTTACACTACTCCCAGTATTAGAATCTATAAATGCTTATTGTACAAATAAGTATATATACCATGATATCCCTACTATGTCATCTATTGTATACATCTATTGTATGCATTCGTTAAGACATCTCTATTGTATATGATATGTTACTAATACAAACTCGTTCTTGTTCCATATGTAATCTCCCTGTATATTTCTCTATACATACCCTGTTGTAATCCTATACCTACACATCACATCAAATCCATCGATCCTCTCTCCCTCTCTCTCTCTCTCTCTGGATTATAAACAATAAATATAATCAACCCAATCTACCTCAAGAAAAGGGTAATTAATAAAGATTGAGTGCGTAGTGAATTGCTGAGTTTCTCGAGGAGAATATTACAGAATCGAGGATTTTCATTTTCATTTTCATTTTCCATCTATATCGATAATTCAAATCTATAACCTATCTCTTGTTATTTCAAGATTCAGTATATTAAATATGTATCAATATAGGAAACCGATCTATTACTTTTCTCATCTAGAGAATCCGTCGGAAATTGAAAATGACGTGTGGGTTTATTGGATTATGTGGTGTTATGTGGTATTATGTATACTTTACTTGACAATACAGTAACATCCACATGGCATGATCAACAAATATTCAAATCTTTCAGAATTCAAATGGTAAATGTGAATATCTTTTCCTTCCCTCGCCTCTTTCTCTGTTCATCTGATTTTCAATTTTCAAATTCAATTTCCAAATCCAAGTCAAAGATCCGTGGATAACTTACTTTAATCCAGGTCATAAGTACCGTATCGAATTTCAGTCTTATCTTTGGGTATACGATGCTGCACGGGATGGTGAACTTGTAATTGTAAGATTTACATGTGTTAGCGAGTGACCTTGTGATTGGATTGTTGATAATGAGAGGTACCTATTCTTACATTATGAAAATTGAATGAGCGAGCGAGTGAGTGTACCTTATAGAATATCGAAG